TTTTATTGACCATGATTGTCATGATGAGCTTGACTGGTATGGAATACAACCAAAAGCCGCAATTATAGCTTTTTCGCGTGCAACCTATGACTATAAAATACCCAAATGTATGTCCTAAATTCACCCAGGACCCTTGCAAATATTGGATGAGAAAATGGGACGTCTCAGCGATGCCCACCGAAATATTGCCATTGGACGATTACAAGCTGGCGAATCCAAGAGTGTCGTGGCGAAGACCTTCAGCGTTCATCCCAGCACAATACCTCGTTTGTGGGATCGTTTTGTGCATTCCATTTCGACAAATGACCAACCAAGACCAGGAAGACCGTGAGTCACCACACAGCCCAAGATCGATACATCCGGGTAACCCAATTACGTGACAGCCATCATTCCGCCCGGGACACTGCACAAGAACGGTTTGTAGCCCGGAGAATGTCCGACCAGACAAAGAGGAACCGTTTCCGAGAGGTAGATATGCGTGCCAGACGTCCACAAGTTGAACCCTCTCTGACACGATTACATCAACGTCCGTGAGTCAGGTGGTGTAACGCGGTGCACTCATTGGCCTTGGAAACTGGACGCACATGTGGTTTAATGATGAATCGCGGTATCCCCCAAAGCAACGTGACGGAAGACAGCGTGTCTACAGACCACGGAAAGAACGTTTTGCATCCAAATGCATTAAGCAAGTGGACAGATTTGGTGGAGATGGTGTGATGATGTGGGGAGCTATGTCATGCACCTGCAGATCGGAATTGGTGCTCGTCCAAGGCAATCTAAATGCCGCGAGATATATCGACCAGATTCTCTGTCCTCACGTGCATCGTCTTGTCGACCGCCAAAGGGAGCTGTACCACCAGGACAACGCCAGACCTCACACAGCACGTGCTACAGTGGACTACCTGGACAAAAACAACATCAGTGTCCTCCCCTGGCCCTCCAGATCCCCGGATCTGAAACCAATTGATTATGTGTGGGATCAGATAGATAACCGTGTACGTCAACATCGTAATCCGCCATTGAGGCTTTAACAGTAACTGTTGTTAAACATGCTGCAGGAGGAATGTAGGATTCCACAACGAAACATCCAACAACTGATTCAATCTGTGTCAAGGAGGTGCCGTGCAGTTCTAGCAGTAAGAGGTGGCCCTAGAAGGTAGTAACGTCAACGTCACCTCGTGGACAGCAGTAATGACTATGATGACTATCATTCTTTGAAGTGTGTACGAGATACCAACGTATTGCTCTACATAATTTCAATGCTCAACCGTTTATTTTCGTTGATTTACATAACTGAATAAGTTTTCAATGATATTTTGCTTTTGCGTTTCTTTTTTTGAAGAGTGTACTTTTTCAACTTCTAATTGATTTGTCCTGGGGACATACCCAAGAGATCCAGAAAGTTTCATTGACATCCATCTAGTAGTATTTGAGTAAAGATGCTAACACATAAATACACACACACAAGCAGGGTTGACTGCATACCCTCTGCAACAAACTTTCAGTTTTAACAGAAGCACTTATGATCATAGTGATTATTATGCATCATATATTATTGAGATTTATGATATATACTAATAGTCGTAAAACACCCATCACAAGGTACATTTTGACATACTACATGCCTATGTTGTGATAGTTTTATAAAATTATGATTTTTTTTCGATTATGGGTACCGATGTTCAGTTATCCCAGAGTGACACTTATAATCATCAGAAAAAATGGAATCATGGTTTTTCTGAATCCATATGCAATACTGATCACAACTATCAGTGGTTCCAAAAAATTAACATCCACTTCCCACGGGAAGCATTTTTGCTACATAAGCCCCTGCACTATGTATTCGAACCATACGTTTTCCATCCAAAATCTGTTGGCATTTGTCAACGGAATTTACAGAGAACGATGTATCAAAGCTTGATGGTGGTTTGGAGTCTTTAACTGGTTTTGGTACAGGTATAATTATGACATGACTCCATCTCATGTTCAAAGATCACAAGAGACTAAAGTATGGGATATCTTTATCTCTTGTCGTGTTGACCTATTCATGTTTGTGATGCCACTAGGGTTTGGGACAAAGACTGGACCTGTATTTTATACATTCAGTTTATCAGAACACTACTCCTTACATGGGTGTCACACACGGACACGACATATGTTTACTGTTCAGCTGATTTGCAAGGAAAAGACAAGTTGCCCTTTCTCGCTAACTAAACATCACCGGTACTTGTTTGTAATGTCTCGAGCCAAAAAAGTGGGCCGAAGTTCTTTTAGGACAGATCAAAGGTAAACTGTTAAAAGCATTAGTACAACTTTATTGGCACACGGAGTTCAAATCGTTCTGAGACACGACATAGTGTTTGCAAAGGTCATTGTAAAGCAATTTTTAGACGAATTCCCCTAGCGTGTATGGAGTGAGAGTGTTTTTACGCCACTTTTAGCAATATTCCAGCAATATCACGGCGGAAGACACTAGAAATGGACTTGACGCATTGTACCCACGTTGGGAATCGAACCCGGGTCGTCGGTGTGACGAGATAACGCTTTAGCCACTAGGCTACCATACCGCCCCACTCCTATTGATGTTTCAGCATGTCATCATTCCCCATGTCAGTCTCCATACACGCAATGTTGATTCGCCAAAGCACAAGCAGCGAAAAACTGAGACATCATTTTCAGCTGATCGTAATGTAGACTTTCCTTGGTAATATTATAGAAAAGCTACAAAATTACGAAAGATACATATTTAACGGTACACAGCCCCATATTAGTCGACTACCAAGAGAAACTATCCACAATCTATCTTCGCTGACATTCATGCGTGTACATACGATTTAAGCACGGACGAGTTATGCCCCTTCTCTTCACGATGGTCTCTTTCTCGTTGTTGTGCTGAAGTATTTGATTCTCGTGTCAGGTGTAAATCGAAACTTATCTATATATAATATTTATAGATGTACATATGTTGATAGAAAGATAAATAGATAGATATTAGCGTTATGTGTATGATATCAGATTGATATCCGACTGTTTCATATCGGGCCCTTCAATATCTATCCTTTACACAGGCATATCCTTTGGACTGAACTGGTACGTTTTACATACATAATTTCAAAAATGGAACAAACTGATATGCTGCAAAGTTTCATGTCCATAACATATCTGTATAATGTTTGTTTTATATCTAAAACATGTTTAATATATTTAATAGGATTTTACTTTTTATTACAAGTGTGTCCAGTGTTGGTTGGCAGCGCCGATACTGACTTCGTTATCACGAGGAACCAACTTAAAATACAGCAACACGTTCGTGCCCAAGAATCATGTATTGTACCTTATTATATTCATACGGTTTGGACTGAGGGAGCGAATGAATGTTGATTTACACCACGGTCAACAATATACCACGAACAAGTCTACACAGATTTCAGATTGAATATTAACATTTAAAATCCCCTTTTACTGGTAATATCAAATAGAATAAAAACATATAAAAAACAACAACAACAAAACCCAAAACAAACAACTTGAAGCGAGAAAACAATATGACTCATGTCAATTGAATGTTGTATAAACACACAATATTATATTACGAGACAAAAGACCATTCAATGATATTTCAGCAAAGGAACGTTGACTCTTTAATCTAATAAACGCACTTAGCTTCACTTTCGCTGAATAAGGATAAAAGGCTTCCTTAATCACAAGTGAATTGTTTTGAATCCCACACATTCCTCGGCCTTCACTACCATTCAGTACCATAACGTAATTTGCTTTATGTTCCTGTGAGTGCATATTGCTTCTCGTGTTCTTATTCTAATTATATACTGTTCTTCGTGCGTGTTACATGATACCCTATATCAAGGAATGCATTATATACAGAAACGTCAATAAATACATATGCTTAAACTTTGAATTTTAGACTTTATAGCAATTAACAGCATACTGAAAGAAGCTTAGAGACATGATCCGTGAATAAATTTGCTGTGCTAGATGGAACCACCCTAGAGTTTCTCCGGGATAGTATTTACACACTGAATGCATATTTTAGAGGTACAGGTCTGGATGAATGATTAGTCTATTCAAACATATGCTAGCGTCCTAGCAGTTACATCATTCATGTGTTCTATATAGTTTAACTGTTGCATTTGCGCATAATGTTTGAGAAACAACAAAACCGTTCCATGTTTCATGTGGCGTTGGACAAGGTTGTATGCTTTAGTCCATATATTTCTAGACTTCTTATCCGTAAGACATTGAGAGCCTTGTGGCAAAGTTATATTTTCAGGAAAGATCAAATATACAGTTATGGAAGAACGTTATGGTGATATCTGACAATCGTCGTATAAAATATAAGATTTATTAACCTATAGATTCATCACTTTTTGTACGGAACATTGTACGCACCTTTCACAAATAAAAAAATACTATCGTGTACCGCAAACACTTTTCATTTTTCCAAAATAGAAATGGGAAATTGATCTGAAAATATTACTTTGTAAAATGATCAATGTTCTATCTAAATCCATAGAAAGTATGGATAGAAAGTGTAACTTTTGAAGGGCATTTAGAAGTGGAATGCATAAGAAACGCAAGATTTATGGATTTCAGCATCTTTATTGTGAGTAACACGACGTTTCGGAGCGTATGCTTGCTCCTTCCAGTATACTCCCTACTATTCACCTGATGAAGGAACAAGCATACGCTCCGAATTTTTGTGTTACTTACAATAAAAAAGTTGACATCCTTAAATCTTGATTTTCTTTAAAAAATTGTCCATAATTTCCATAAACATAGTCTAGCTATGAAAGTACGAAAGTACATTTATGTTTGTCAACATATTACGCATCTGCATGAAGCAGTGGGTCCAAGCCGAGTTGCTTTTCTTCGTGATCTCCTTCTTCTTGTATAACAAAATAAGCAAGACACTGTTGAGGTACGAGAGCCCAGGGTTATGCCCCTTACCTTATATTTATCGTTCGTTGGGTTGGACAAAAACGATTCGTCCGAATGGTTTTCATTCTTTATTTACAACCTGCGTAGCTTTCAACCTAGATTAAGCTGACACGCCGCGGTCTGACCTAATTGTTATTCGCCAACCTGAATCACCCCGGCCAACAAAGATACCGTGACACAGTTGCCTGAGAATGTGTGTTGACTCAAATGGCGCTTATCAGCCTGAACTGAGCGTCCAGTCAAACACACCCGGACGAGGTGAAGACTCGCGGTAACTAGGATGTACTCTGATGTCGACATACAGTAGGGTATACCTCTCCCTGCACACAGACTTGGCCATGTGAGCTTAAACTGTAAAGCTAGTGATCGTGGACGAACGATGGAAATAATGGACGTACGTGTTCTCCATGGAGTGTGTGTTATGCTGTTGGGAGCATTAATCACTAGTTCAGGTGGGTATTGATCGTAGTATCATGCTTGAACGTCCATTCACACCTGGATATAGAAGTGGTACACAAATATCAAACGACCTAGTTCGTACAATGTGTATGTAGTGTCAGGAACTATATCGAAATACGGTACATTCAGAAATCAATATACCAACACAAACACCTGTTCATCAATACTGAATACACACACAATATTATTTGATACAATTTATTCTCGAAGTAAACAGAAGTCTAATGGAAACTATAAAGTGAAATGGTATGAGGATAAATAGTATTTCTATAATAAAGGTGTGTGTTCTGCTTATCGCTCAAACAAAATGGTGGATGAAAGATTGCTTAATGCTTACACACTGTGTGAAATACGCTGTGAATATTCGAGATGACCCACACTCCGTGGCAGACAACATGTTTGACTCATTTCAGCGACCATAGAAATAAATTTTGAAGAAGAGAACGTGCCGTTTTCTAATCCATATGATGCTCGTTACATTGTTCCTTTATAAAGGCACGAACTATAGTCGGGAATGCTGTGTCATGACCAGCTGGTGTTTTCCAATATTTACATTTGGAACATGCATAGCAACGGTTTTATTTACATTTGTAACGGGCATAGCAACGGCGTTTTCATCTCAGTCATGTCGGGTATTCAAGTTACCTATCAGGTCAGCGATTGTGAGTGGTATGGGTTTACACCACGCGAAACAACAGCACCGCAGTGTGAAATCAGGACATACCAATAATTATAATAGAACAAATTGTCTGTGAGTTGTTTACTTCAGTTACAAATGTTGAATGTTAAGGACACCTCTGTTGCGAATAAATCAGGGTTTGTGTTAGCCATTTGAAATAGCTTTTTTTTCTGGCTTCATTCCCAATCCGCATGTCAACATATGACTAATAATTTCAGAAATTCTAAATTAAAAAATGCTACAGATTCCTCACTGGCAAGACATTTTTAGGACACATCAACCTGTATGACACAACATTAAGCCACAATATAGCAAAGAACATGTTTACAAGTCCGTTAAACTTGGTGATTCCCTTGCTAGTATTATTAGCATGTAACATCTGGGATTCACAGATAACAGTATTGGTCGGATATTTGTAAATTAGATAACTATGATATAATTTGATTGCTCCGTGCTTGTGAATGCGCTTAGTGATTATCAGTTACCTAAATATCAAATACATTGCTATTACATATAATTGATACTCGATATGCTCCAATCACGTCTTTCGGGTGTGGAAGGAGAGCTCAAAGAAGATGAAGAAGACGGTCAGCCTGTCATTTTTAATACTGGTGCATCAAAGCAAATGTCACAATCGATAACGACCACACAGTCATCGGAGAGAACCATTACATTACAAACATTTGAATGTGTCACGTCTTCACAGTTGTTTCCGTCATTTAATGTGGCTATGTTCTACAGTAGAATTTGATATCTCATTACAAGACAACGATATATAATCATTCGGTTGAAAAGTTGAAGAAGTGGTTCACCAGAGAATTAGGAGCATTTTGATCTTAACAACTAAATTAGGAAAATATAGAATGCACTAGGATGTCACAAATTTGGGAACCTATGCTCGCTTTAATCAGAGATTCGGCAACTGGTGGAAAGGTGATTAAAGGAATATTGATTTGCAAAAGCTGATGATTACATTCTTATATATCCAGTTATGATTTCTAAACATCTCATAACCAATATGCTTTTTGTTTGAGGATTTAGAATGATACAGGACTCTACGGGATTCGGGACATAATCTCTTACATATACATGGATATATCTTGAATATGTTCTTTACAGATGCATGCAACATTACGCTCTATGCTCAGAGGGAGCCGCTGAACTTCACTTCTCCAAACTACCCTCACAACTACAGAAAGTATGTACAATGATTTGATTTGCATTCTCTTTTTTTGTCTACGTGACACTAATTCATTTTGAGTCAGTGGGGATGTGTAATACCGAAATGGCATTATGCAATATTTCGGCATGTCAGAGCATCAGGTTATATTTTATCATTCGTTCAAAGCCGATCTTCTGACGACAGATACAATATGTTCATTTCAAGATCTGCCACCTTTTGGAGAGTATTCAATATAACGGAGCATGCTTCTAACATGTATAATAACGTACAGTTTCGTCAACAGCAATGACTATTGTTATTGGAACATCTACCCCCAAACAAGCGGATACAGAGTTGTACTCGACATGGTTTACAGCAACATCGCAGGCTCAATTTATTCATGCTTGGACAGTCTAACCCTAAACATGAAACATTCCGGTATGTTATATATACTCTTCATTGCATTTGTAATTCCGACTTACCCGCCTTTGTTGTTCTTGTCGCTTCCTGCATGGATACTGTTTTCTATATGGATGCAATTCTGCTGAAAAACCGTTCCGCGTACGATATGCATAAAAAATAATATTACTTGATAAATATTTGCTTAGGCAGGTAGCCTTTACACACCTTTTTCGTGAAGTTCTTGAAAGGCATATAGAAGTTGGTAACAAGTATAAGACAAACTGTTATGGATGTCAACGTCTTCTTTATTGTATATACGTTTCTGGGATTTCCTTGTCCCTTCGTCAGGTGAACCCAGCCCAGTCGAGAAAAGCCCAGAAACATGGTGTAAAGAATAAAGAAGAAAGTGACGTCTATATTATTTTGTGATTTACGTTCTGTTTGCTTTTTCACAACTGCAGCAAAGCAAGAGAAATGGAAAGTAGAAAATATGAGTAGCCAAATATGGTTAAATAAATACGCATTGAAATATTTTATATCTAGAAATTGAGATAACTCTTACCAGAGATTTTTATTTGATCGACAGGGGACTTGAGGATCGACAGTATCCACAAGATATGTGGAAAAACGAGGAAAAGTATGTCAGCTCCACAAGGTCAATACTTTTACGTTGTTTTCAAGACGGATAACAGCATCACTGAAAGCGGTTTTCTGATTCGATACTACGAAAGTGAAGGTAAATTTGAGAATAATATGACAGTTCATGTACTTACTTTAACAACCAATATTTCAGTCCAGTATATTTGTGTTAATTAAATGAAAATCAAGAATCTAAATGGTGCTTTTTTTCACGTGTGTTGGTACTAATACAATTCGTAGAGAATCAGTACTCTCCTCAGTGAGTTGAGAAGGAAAGTCGAGTGAACACTGATCCATCATTAAGACTGAAGACATTGCACCGATATCATCAGAATTTCAGTTAATGGACCTGTTTATCGTTATTAAGCTCCCTTTATGTTAGTCGAGAGCGGAAGGTCGCGGGTTCGATCCCCGACCGCGTCATACCAAAAGACGTTAAAATGTGGTACTTGTTGGTCCCTGTCTGGCGCTCGGCATTAATGAGTACAACAAGGACTGGTCGGCTCGGAGTCAGTATAATGTGTCTGAGTGGGGTATTCATGCTTCACTGCGGCCTGGTATCTCAGTGGGCTAGCACTATAACACCAGCTTCAGTCTGGGCTAGTACAAGCAGCCGCACATACACATACACACGCATGCACGTCGTCATATGAGCGAAATATTCTCAAGCACGACGTAAAACCCTATTTCACCTCACCTCACCTTTATGTTAGTCAAACGAATATACTACCGACCAAAAGTTAAGATTCATTTAAAGCACTCTATATATGTTATGTATATGTTTTATATTGTTACATCTACTAACTTGGGCGAACCAACTACAAACCTTATGCAGATGAATTGCACGATGACCATGCATTCAACTGCTGAAAAGCCTGTGCAAATATCGTGCATGTGAACAGTTGCGTTTTGGTGTAAAGTTGTAGAAAGGATTCGCCAATGTTCACTGAGTTTCATCATTCATTGATCTCAGGACAATAATCTTTCCAATGTTACGAATTTGTTTTACAATACATCAGTTCATGTGTAAACAGTACCTTTAAACAGTATAGAATATTTTGCAAAATCTAGTTTAGATCAGTTGACTGAAGTAATTGGCTACATGTACACTAGTTAGTCTAAACTTTTGATGGGTAGTATATATAGCTCCCGTCACACAGTTTGGGCCACATATGCAATATTCTGAACATGTCAACAGATGGGACCGAAATGAAGCGACTGCAGGCGACAGTAGGAAGTAAAACATTCACCAGTCCCGGGTACCCAAATGCGTACTACCCGTGAGTTGTATATTTTTGCCATTTAAAACATACAAGTTATCAAACATGTATGAGAATACCTCTAATACATACCCTAAAATATGTTTCGGAATAAACACCCGCAAATATGATCGAGTACACTTTACTTAACGGCGCCACAGTGCCTGGTGAGAGGTAGCTGATTGTATGGAATAAATGCCGTGCATGCTATATTTCATTTAAAATCATAGGGGAAGTTGTATATACTTTAGATTACAACAATGCATTTAGCATATATTGTACGACTATGCGTGTCTTGATTTTAAGTATGACCTTTTCGGATCTTGGAAAATGTTTTCATGGAATAAATGGCTTGTTCAGTTCAAAATGCTATCACTAGACAAACACCCTGAACAGTTACCATTTACAAGGCTTGCCACGAATTCATTAGTTTTAGATGCCTTAGAGTTTTAAGAATAAAACTGTAGATACTTCACGTTTATTGCTTAGGACCAATATGTACCCGTTGTTGAAAGTATCAAAGTATCTGAACCGATATAAACGCTTACACCTGAACTACTTGCACAATAAATATATCGTTTCATAAACCATTATTATTCGAAACTAAAGGTACATGTTATGAAAGACACATTTAGTGAAGAAAAACTGTTCAATAAATGTATGTAATACTGTGTATGTATGTAATGTATGTATGTATGTATGTATGTATGTATGTATGTATGTATGTATGTATGTATGTATGTATGTATGTATGTATGTATGTATGTATGTATGTATGTATGTATGTATGTATGTATGTATGTATGTATGTATGTATGTAATACTGTGCATGTATGTATGTATGTATGTATGATACTGTGTATGTATGTATGTATGTATGTATGTAATATGTATGTATGTATGTATGTATGTATACATGCATGTATGTATGTGTGTGTATGTATGTATGTATGTATGTATGTCTGTATGTATGTATGTATATGTATGTATGTATGCATGTATGTAGCAGTAGAAGGCAGACAGTATTGACCTAAGGTGTCATCTCACTCGAGTATGTATGAAATTTGTATGATTGTATGTAATGTAATGGGCTAAATAGAATATCGCATGAACCAGATACACGCTGCATGCATAGCTGAACCGTTTAATGACAGTAGAACAAACCTAAGGCAACGATTGCGGTGGCATTTCTGTGAAGTTTTCAACCTCCACTCTTGGTTACATTGGTTACATTTAGTTCTATTGATTGTACTACTTAGCCATATCTAATTCCTTTTCGTGAATGTATGATTTATGGTATTTACAGAAGTAAGGGGGATAAGGTTGTAAATTGTTCAGAAGAAGATTTTGACTTTGCTATTTTGCAGAATTTATTAATGTACTGAAAGCACATTCTGAATAATGAATCTGTCTTTCAGAATGCAGACACGTGAGTGGACAATTACGACAGAACAACAAAATCAGATTGTTTTCCTGGAAACCATCGATGCTGTATTTCAGAACCCGTCATCGGGAGGAATTTGTTACGGCGATTACGTCAACGTGTATAATGGTCAAACTCGTGAGTTCCATATCAATCACAAATGATCAATCTGCGTGTAACGAAAAATTACGCCAATACTACACTTGTAAATCAAACATGTAGCTTTGTCTGATGGGTAAAGTCGGGAAAAGAACAGTTTGACGAGAACAAAATAAATTTTGATTCATTGGATATAGAATTACATCAGAACAAAATCAATATTAATACGGGCATGGAAGATGGCTTGGTGTGAGTATTTTGTTATAGCGTAGGAAATATACAGCAAACAAGGTACTCATATCAGCATGTTCAGTGGTGAATTTCAAAGAACAAGGTAATCAATGTCCAACAAGGTTGTAATGATCACTTCCAGGTTCGGATCTCCTTGGCACATTCTGTGGGACAGATAAACCCGTTTTTCTCAGCAGTGTTTCGTCAATGCGAGTTTACTTCCACTCAGATAACACAAACAACTACAAGGGATTTCAAATGAGATACAAGGCTGTCCCAGGTGTGTATGTTTTGTGTGATGACCTATGTTTACTTGTGGTTCCGGAGTTGTGAGATTAGGTAGGCAGGCACGAGTGCAGTATCCTGTTTCTTACTTCAAAACCGCATCGCTTTAGCAATGAATCGACGAGTATATTTTGTCTATCTTTATGATGACAGTGGCGCATTAATTCATAAACAATTATCATTGGTGATGTCATGAGACTTCCATTCGTGCCATATCTGTAGACGGTGATAGGGACATCTAGATAACAACTACTCCAAAACCAAATGTTCGATGCAAGCAGGATTTCAACCGCAGCACGACCACTTTGCCAATACAATTCCAGCAGGAAAGTAGTCTGTCATACTCTGGCCTTAATTCATCATCGCGGAGTAGCCAATCACGGATCAGGAATACATGTAATATATATAATCACTTGAGGTGAAAATTTCGGCGGATTTTGCTTTTTAGGCCCATGCACATTCACATAAGTGATCATGTCGCTGAATCCATGTATAATCTCAAATAGATAGAAATGCATGTTTGTCCGTTTTGCAATTATACAGTTAGAATGTTGTCGTAACTGTGCAGGGACGACGGGGTAGCCCACTGGTGAAAATGTTCGCTCGTCACCCTGAAGACCCGGGTTCGATTTCCCATATGGGTACAATGTGTAAAGGCCATTTCTTGTGTCCCCCGCCGTGATATTACTGGAATATTGCTAAAATGGGAGTAAAAATAAACTCACACACTCACACTCACGTAACTGCGTTCGGGCGTCAGTAAACCCTACAACCGTTACCAGAACGTATTTCCGTATGGCACACATTCATAAAATGATGTACACTAAGTTATAAACCCACATTGGTTTACTTTGCCAAGGCAGGATATGCTTGTACCACAGTGGGAAGCTGGATGACGGCGTTCGGCTTCCGTCAGTTGAAATGCGCGCACTACTCTACTCGTGTTAACTGTATCTTTTTCATGGTTCAAACCTGACCTGATCGTGATCACATGTTCACATTCCTTGTTTTGATTCGTTAACTGTATCTATCCTTGAACATACACTGATCGGTGGTGTATCCCTTTTCTTAATCGTAATAATGTCAGATTTATCTGTTCTGTTTCTCATGGCGACTGCGTTCTGCCCTTACTTCACTGACTGACTGACTGAGTTTGGTTTTACGCCGCTTTTAGCAATATTCCAGCAACATCACGGCGGGGGGACACCAGAAATGGGCTTCACACATTGTACCCATGTGGGGATTCTAACCCGGGTCTTCGGCGTGACGAGCCAACGCTTTTACCACTAGGCTACCCCACCGCCCCCCTTACTTCACATCAACTACGGCGCAAACAATCTGTCTCCGTGGCTTTCCCAACGTTAAAGCACCCATGAGAATAACATCAAATCTAAAGAAGGAATCTGTTGTAATTTTCTTATGGTCAAGGGATACAATTGACCTTATAACAATACTGGTAGCGTAAACATTTACTTACTTTTGTCTCCATTATTAGCAACGATGTGCAAAGTGACACTGACGGCAGCGCAGTACCCACTGAAGATTGTCTCCACTGGAGAAAGGTAACGCTGGTCCTTTGCATTGTGACATATTTTACATTGCATGTAGTCATTACTTATCATATTATATATATATATATTTGTGTATTTATATAGCGCTATAGTCCATCCCATCTACATGCATGCTCAAAGCGCTTTGTTTTCCCTCAATCATTGGCTGTCAATCTCAAAGGAACATCGTATTTTCAAGCTCAACTCCCTGGGGATCATACAACTTGTGCAGCCAATAGCCGCACCAACTTAATGTGGCTTTCCCATCCTTTCGAAGTACCCATTCACGTCTGGGTGGACTGGGACACATAGGCACATTACTTTGTCCTAGTTTACTGGACGTTGCTGTACCCGCAACGAAAAGTTTGTTTTCATGTGGCCACCATCTGGTCATTTACCAACGGATTCTTGGGTTGTGCACAGGGTTGTGTACTGTACACAAGGGGTTGTGACAACATTGAAAGAGTCTGCACACAAAGTTGACTCCAATGTTTTTACACCCGGTCACAAGTGGGTTCGATCCCGGCACCTAAAGCTCGCTGGATCACTAGCCTGGCGCCTTATACAGCTCGCCCACCATGCCACCATACCCCTCATCCCCATACAACTATTGTTACTCAGTAATGGAAAGTTTCAACAGTCTTAATGCCGAGACCGTTTTGTAGGACGAGGTCTGAGTTATTTCGTCTGTCTCTCAAGACATATGTTTGAAATTGGTAACAGTACAATTAGCATAATTTGTAAAATGAATATTGCTACCTTTATTTTCTGTATTTTTCTTAGTTGGAAATGTGAGTGGTATATCAAGTCACCTGCATCACGTGGACGAGTAGGCATCCAACTTCTTGCATCAGATATGGATGAGTCGGCCAACGGAACCTGTGTAGAACTGTACATATACGACGGTATGTCCTGTCACATTCTGAATGATTATTACAGGTACTAAGTCAACTTAGACGTTGAGCGTAATGACATTGGGTCAATATATACTCAACAAAAAAGTTAAGGACCACCTCAATTATCAATATTTTAGCATCTAATGATCCATGTAATACTTAAATACTAAATATTGGGATGGTCCTTAACTTTATTTTGTTGAGTATAGATCACGTGTATGGTCGTCAAGATCGCACACCTCTGAAAAGCAGTCGATTCCTGACGGTCTGTACTGACTGCTGACATCATACCTCTAAACAACTGACTGTAGGTGGAGGTTGCAATCACAAATCTGCTTTAAACGTAATCGTGGTGTGCGTCACACGGGTGTTCACATTGTGATGTCTCAGACGAATGCAGCCGAAAGTTCTTGAAACTGCTAGACCAGAAATTCCAGAAACAATGGCCCGGTCACGTTGCCGGCTTGTCAGTCGCTGCAAAGTTGTGTTTGAAACATTTTCCTGCTCATCAAAGTCTGTGTGGATGGGATAGCTAAGGTGATGACCTGATTTTCTGCATGTGATTATTCTGTTTTAAGTCTTTTTTAACGCCCTAAGAACATGCAAATGTTACTTGTCCATCACCAAGGCCATGTCAAAACAGCCTACATGTCTTTACCGTGTGTGCCGCACAACAAGAAAGTGAAAAGAATTACCCCTCACAATTATTACCAGTTACGTGTGTTTCAAGTTTCTAATTTTGCTGAGTATATAATTCTGATGTATGTGTAGGGAGAAGCACCGATGAGTCAGACTTGCTGGGAAAATGGTGTGGTTCATCTGACGTGCAGTACACCAGTAGGAGTAATTCTCTGACGGTCATCCTGCGGTCAGGTAACCAGAGGACTGTGAGGGTATCCTACAAAGAAATACAATGTACGTATCACTGGAGCATGCCTGGCGTCCGCTAAACAATTCCTGAATTCACATGACCCCTGAACACATATTCTGTATGGGTATAGACTGCACAATCTTTCCAGACCCTGCACTCACAGCTAATCATCCAGATAACTTTAAGCATAGACACCACAGATATCGGGCCAATTGTGACGTTGATTTAGTCGATGACGGGTTAATGATATGCTCCGGAAAGGCCGGGATGCCGACAGCATAGTCGTCTCACCACTTTGTTCCTACTAATGCAGTTTACCAAAGGCTGTTGATGCTGATGGGGTCACTGTAAACATCCGGTTGTGCTGATGCAGAATGCACAGGTGATGGTTATCTTGTGTGGTGGTCACACTCGATCTTCTAGTTCTGAGACTGTAGTATGTCTGGCCAACCTGGTTGAGGCGTCACATAGTCCGACGACTCTCTGTCTTGTACAGCTGAACGTTGTGTCAGTGTGGCCGTTCGAATACCCCCATCTTTGACATTCCATGTTGTCGCTCCGCAGCTGATAGTCTTAGCATTGCGATGCGTGCCTTTAACAGGTGCAGCACAAACAATCTCAGTCGACTGCGTTTTATACTGCTGGTGCATTTCATACGCTTTTACCAACTCATTTTAAACTCATGAATTTCATGATATCCCACGCTCAACATTGTAGCGGATATCTGTGGAGCTTTGGCAACACGTACGCAATGTTCGTGAGTTGAAACTTTTGTGACTTTTCGAAATATTTATAATATTTTAAAATAATCTCCCAAAGCCACGTACGTATTTTCTTTTGTATGCCATTTGTCGATATACACACATACCATCAGGTATTCTATAACTAGACGTATACATTGTCTATGCACTCTTGGTTATAATGAGAGTGTACACTTTGTTGATAATTATGGTAAATCCTGTACCTAATTGTTCTGACTGTCGTTATCTGAAAACAAATGGACTTGAAAAATATGTTTTCACCGGGAGGATCCGGGTTAGAATAGGTCTGTAGCAACCCCTGTTTGTCACGAAAGGCGTCAATCTGAATCAGGTGGTCAGGATCGCTGACTTGGTTGATGCGTGTCATCGTATCCCAATTGCGTAGATTGAGGCTATTAATGTCACACGGGATGTGGGAAATTTCAGTATTTTAGTCTACTCGCACGCACAAATTAAGTAGCGAAATCAGTCTCACATCGACATGTACTTCTCCGTACCATACATAAAAAGTAGAATGACGTTAGAATCCGGCCTTCTACTTTATCTTCAACTGTGAATCCTTCTGGCTCAGAAGAACCTTACCTTGATATGTTACTTTTCAAGCTGTATGCGGAAGTACAAGTCTAACGGCTTCCAGCTTCAGTGACAAGTACCTGACATCGCCTGGCTATCCCAAAAGTTACCCCGAGTAAGTACAATACAATCACAAATGTTGGTCTCAAGAAAACATCAGTTGTAAATTTTGCTATTGGTTTCATATATTATGCAAACACTCAAACCGTTATACTGGTATTTGCAGAAAACAATGCGCATAAACAAATTGCAGAAAACAAATTGTTTTTGCCTTTTTGCTTTTTAAACATTTTTTTTATTGCACCGAAGAGTGAACATAAACAAAAATTCAAACCGTCGGAGGAATAAATTTGCATCAAGTTATAACATGAATACATTCAATATGATTCGATATGATAATGAATAAGAATAATATGTTGCTGTCTTCGCTACAGTGACTTATACTGCGTTTGGGAGATTTATGGTCCATCTGGAAAACAAATTAAAGTTGAAGTTTTGGACATTGAACTTGAATCGTCGTCTGGTTTGTGCCAAATGGATTACCTTGTGTTCAAAGATGGTAAGTAGACCCATACCAGCAGATCACACACACGCCGCATTTGTGCTTACTAAATATATTATAATGGTATTGTGCTTAACCGTTTCCATTGTAAAGGTGTCCCTAGTATGGCGATCTATATTCGGTTGGTGGCCATCTAAAGCCCATTTTTATATTGTATTGTTCTGTAGAAATATTGTTTTATGATTACAAGCTATTTTTAAATTTACATCTATGATAATCTAGATATTTTACAGTCCTTCGTTGACAGATGTTTACATTGCCTGAGTTTATTTTTGACACTCATAGTCACGATATTGCTGAAATACTGCCGATGTGACTTAAAATTTTAACTCACTCACTGTAAAGGTTAGTTATGAGGCCTCTAATACTATGTTTCGAAAGGATTTAAATATATATAGAATATATTCATAGAAACTGCATGTTGAATTTTGTAAAATCTTTGATTAGACACTAATTGTGGTGTGCTATGTATAATTAGTTTGAATATCAAAATGAAAAATCAACACTTTGAGAACAATCAGACCGAAACAAATTACAAGTAAATAACAGGTGAATTAGGGGATAACTGTTTTTGCGGCTATATAACCACCGGTATACGTCCCCAATTCGTCAAACACAGTACAGTTATCCCCATTCTAATTCAACTCGCTTAACGCCGTTTTTCGTGAAAGAAATTCATTATTTAAACCAGGTCAAAGTTCCTCTAGGTCAAAGGTGAATCATATCACTCCTCGAACTTTATTATGTACACACTGACTAAATCTGACAATGATGAATAAATCATAGTGTTATAGGTAAAATGGACGGAATTATCAAGAAACGGCTAAGGTCAGGAGACAGGATCCGTTGATGGAAGGTTCGAACCACTTATCTTCTCCCAGTATGATAACGCGTGCTTTGCTCTTCCACTAGATTGTATAAGTTGAAGATGAAACGTTTGCTTAAACACTGACATTTCTTTCAATTACAGGTACTGGTTCTAATGCTGAAACCATCACTCGAATATGTGGTCCCGGAAGTGGAGATATATACAGCTCCTATAATCAAATGCAAATCACCTTTCATTCCGACCTAGGCATCTCACATAGGGGATTTCGTTTGAAGTACTCAGCCGGTATGTATTTGCATATATATTCGTTTTTCAGAGTGGTAAGACAATTGGTGATGTAACCCCACAGTTTAGTAATGTGAATTGGGTGTTACATTGACTACTCATACTCTGTTTTGTGTGATTAGTTGCGACATACATCAGTGCACTTACGTCGTGTTGACAACACAAATCTCAGTACACTTACGTCGTGTTGACGACACAAATCTCAGTACACTTACGTCGTGTTGACGACACAAACCTCAGTACACTTACGTCGTGTTGACGACACAAATCTCAGTACACTTACGTCGTGTTGACAACACAAACCTCAGTACACTTACGCCATGTTGAAAATACATACCTCAGTACACCTAAGTCTTGCTGAAGATAAATAGCTCAGGACACTGACATAATGTTGAAGATACATACGTCAGTAGACTTACGTAATGTTGAAGATACATAACGAAGCATACTTAACTCATGCCGAAGATGCATACATCAGTGAGTGAGTGAATTAAAATATTAAGTCACATCGGCAATATTTCAGCCATATCGTGACTAAAACTAGTTTAAATTCATAATATATACACATTACATATAAAACCCTGTCAACGAAGGACAGAAAAATTACTAGATTATCACAAAATGAGTAAAAACTTGCTAGCATGTATCTTTAAAAGTAGAAAACTATTTTTGGACAATACAATGTAAACATGGGCTATAGATCGCCAGCAACTGAAGGTAGATCACCATACTAGGAACCATTGGGACTTACATTGCCTTTGTTACCTACCTGGACCCTAGCTGGACTTACACCATCCCTTCGGCCACTGGCGATTGTAGTCAAATCTAGCCATACTTTAAAATTACAAAACTACGTTTAAAAAATATGGTAAGTATAAATTTATCTTGAATGCTTTGAGACTTACGTACCCCCACAGGAGGACAATAACTTTACAATATTTCAACCTCCTGTGAGGATACCGCCACTAACAGTCAAAGTTATTAATTTAAACTAGCCATAATAACATATAGATCCATATACAAAACATATCAATCTAACTTAATCAAGTAATTCTATTTCTTTTAAAAATTCAATAATTAAATGATTATTAACATTATACAAAAATCCAGATATCACTACACTAACGTTGTGCTAAAGATACATAAGTCAGTACACATGCGTCGTATTGACGATACATACCTCAGTACACTTACGTCGTGTTGAAGATACAAGTACACTTACGTCATTTAAACAATAGACCGATGGCCGAAAAACTGAACAAAGGGCTTGACTAAGCTCACCAACAAAAAGCAAATTATATTTTCATGAAGGACACTCGCCAACAATGTTTCCCTTCGGTCGGCGCCCTTGAGAATGATACACATGTCATCCTTGCACGTGACTTTGACATGTTCTTGTCCTTTGGAAAAGCTTATTAATTAATTTGTTTTGTCGACAGTGGGGTCTGCCTGTGGAAATATGCACCTCAGCGCCCACAGCTGGCGCCAGTATCTGACTTCCCCGGGTTACCCATCACATTACCTTAAGTAAGTACGAGACTCTAGATTAGCTTCTAATGAATCATCCACTGAAAAGCTCCGTATATCGTGTTTATCTAACTTTAAATAGAAACAGATCATTTTATTTCAAATCGTATCAAATGTATCATATTACTTCTAACAAATCATGTCTTATATATTTTTAATATTATTCGTTCTTCAGTATTTTGCCGTGTTCGGTTCTGAGTGTTTTTTGGGTGTTAAATCAGTGTAAAAATTCAATGTTATTTACCACTTGTACAGTGACAAGCTCACTACCCTTTCTCCCTCATGTACCTCAAACCAGTCCGATGCAATCCCAAAACATTAATTTGTGACATTTTGTAAAGTTCAAAGTTATATAGTTGAAATGAAGGACCAACTATTAATAATTTTTCATAGGTCAGGGATTTTTGTTTCGAAGCAATGGCTTGTGTCGGTCATTTCTTCAGTACACAAAATTTCTGTCGAAGGAGGAATCGACTTAAGAATATTTTCTTCAACTTCCATTATGTTCACCAAACAACTTATTGAAGCATTTTAGCGTTAAACTTCGGACCAAGTATTAACTCTCATTTGTTAAAAGACTGCTTCTCAAGAATGGATACTAAGTTTACCCTTCATCAGTATTGTTCAATCTGTTGTACTGTGTGATATGATCACTAACTAAATGGTTGCATGAAGTTTTGTTTTATTCCAGTGGGTTAGACTGCCAGTGGAAAATTGTTGGAGAGAATAGAAAGTCTATCAAAGTTGACATTATGTATCTTGATATGGAGACTTCAGATTTGTGCACGAGGGATTTCCTCCTCTTCAGAGACGGTAGGTACATTGTCGTTGAGAGGCATGTTTATTCTTCAAAATGTGTCACTTCATTTAGGCACACATGTGCCCAAATGTTCTCAGTGGCGTCGTCAAGAGCATCGTTCTACGAATTTGGGATACGATGACATGCGTCAACCAAGTCAGCGAGTCTGACCACCCGATCCCGTTAGTCGGCTCTTACGACAAGCATGGTTACTGAAGATCAATATTCTAACCTGGATCGTCACCGGTGGCGCCACCAAGACGTAACAGAAACACTACAGCTACCAGATTCCAAGTACGGGGATTTATGGTGGTGGGTATCACCGAAATGTTAAACATTTTTACTCTTCCTTCTTCTTTAAAATGTTCCTAGCAAAACCGCGATTCAGTTTTTCTTTATAAATGTGATAGGTATTCTATTCGTACATTCCAGGAGCTCGAAATACCACACTGGCTAAAGTTTGTCGGTCTACGACTATGAACATCTTCAGCTCAAGCAACATCATGTTCATCACATTCCACACCGACAGCTCCGTTACAGGGCGTGGATTCAGTTTGCAGTACTCTGCAGGTAAGATGAACATACATGTGGAACAAGCGATATGCATTGTTATGTTGAGTTGAGTTGAGTTGAGTTGAGTTGAGTTGAGATAGACTATGGACTAACGTCAAGTTCATGATTGTGTCACGTGCGATGTGCATGCCCGCATGTGTGCGGAGTATGCTGAGTCTTATCGGTGTCGGTTTGTAGCCTACTTCGAGCATTCCTGTCGTTAATCCATCCCCTTAATATCAGCCCTGATAACAACAAGTACAGGCATTCAGGTATGGCGCTGTCATGATACTACTAACGACCTTCTATAGTGACAGTCACCCTAGTCACTACACCGTGGAGGGGTCACATTCTACTACAAATGGAACATTATTCCTTGACCCCCATCCACCCCCACCCCCACCACACACACACACACACACACACACACACCACGGACTAGTAATTTAATGATTGTTCCACATCTAATTACTGCTGTTGTTTGAAGTAACTCCAGCGTCAACAGATCCAAACCGCCAGTGTGGAGAGACTGAACTGAGGGCATATACAACCAGGGATACATACCTGACTTCACCGGGATACCCGTCATTTTATCCAAAGTAAGTTGGTAAGGTTACGTGTCACCCGTTACATGTTTTAAGTGCCTTGATATCTTCATTCGTATATATTCAATTGGCATTACAATTTCGCTACTTCTGTACAGACACTACAAAAAGCATCAAAAGGTCAATGTATACATGTGTCCCTTTGACGGAATCTCAAATTTGCAATGATCATGATTCCCCGTGTAACAGAAGACATTTCCACAGCTTCATAAAACAGAAGTCATCTAATACTTATATCACGTCTCTGTGACGACGTTGGGACCACAGGGAGAAAATTTGATGCATCAGTGACAAAAATGGATGTCTGATGCAAATATTATTTTGACCTGTACCACACGTTCCCGAAATATTTCAGGTGAACAATTGACGAGAATTTGCATGTGTTTTTATTTATGACGGGTGCCACCGGTGGGGCAGTATAAGCTCGCCTTTTCGCGAACACCTGGTATCACCACTTTGTCATAGTGATTCATAAACACACGCTCTGTTATCGTATCGCATAATGACACATGCTTATAGTGTTTCCTCGATTAGCTTACAAACAAAATCATACAGCTGTAATATTGCTGTATCAAATATGTGCTCATGGTACAGTTACAGTTGTACAATCGACTCTGCTTTTAGCATAGATTTATGGATGTCAACTTCTTTATTGTAAATAACACGACGTTTCGGAGTGTATACTTGCTCCATTATCAGGTGAATGGTAAGGAGTACCAGGGGGATATATGTGCACACATTGAGGCTCTGGCATCAACGTTTGAATTGCATATCCAACCAGTTACCATGGATCACTGGCCTCTCTTCCTCATGTCTGTAAGGGACCAATGTATCACTGGCCTCCAGTGTCTGTGTTCTATATCCCATCACATCAATTACCATGCTGTCTTCGTGTATCACTGGAATCCTCGTGTTTGTATTCTATATCCCATCACATCAATTACCATGTTGTTTTCGAGTCTCACTGGCCTCCTCGTGTTTGTATTCTATATCCCATCACATCAATTACCATGTTGTTTTTGTGTATCACTGGCCTCCTCGTGTTTGTATTCTATATCCCATCACATCAATTACCATGTTGTTTTAGTGTATCACTGGCCGTCCTCGTGTTTGTATTCTATATCCCATCACATCAATTACCATGTTGTGTTTGTGTATCACTGGCCCCTCGTGTTTGTATTCTATATCCCATCACATCAATTACCATTTTGTGTTCGTGTATCACTGGCCTCCTCGTGTTTGTATTCTATATCCCATCACATCAATTACCATGCTGTTTTAGTGTATCACTGGCCTCCTCGTGTTTGTATTCTATATACCACTATATCCCATCACATCAATTACCATGTTGTGTTTGTATCACTGGCCTCCTCGTGTTTGTATTCTATATCCCATCACATCATGTTGTCTTCGTGTATCACTGGCCTCCTCGTGTTTGTATTCTATATCCCATCACATCACTTACCATGCTGTCTTCGTGTATCACTGGCCTCCTCGTGTTTGTATTCTATATCCCATCACATCAATTACCATGTTGTGTTCGTGTATCACTGGCCTCCTCGTGTTTGTATTCTATATCCCATCACATCAATTACCATGTTGTTTTCGTGTATCACTGGCCTCCTCGTGTTTGTATTCTATATCCCATCACATCACATTACCATGCTGTCTTCGTGTATCACTGGCCTCCTCGTGTTTGTATTCTATATCCCATCACATCAATTACCATGTTGTTTTTGTATATCACTGGCCGTTCTCGTGTTTTTATTCTATCCCATCACATCACAATTATCATCTTCGTGTATCATGCTGTCTTCGTGTATCACTGGCCTCCTCGTGTTTGTATTCTATATCCCATCATCACTTACCATGTTCTCGTGTTTGTATCAATTACCATGTTGTGTTTGTGTATCACTGGCCTCCTCGTGTTTGTATTCTATATCCCCATACCATGTTGTTTTGTGTATCACTCGCCGTCCCTCGTGTTTTATTCTATATTGTTGGCGTCCTCGTAGTGTATCACTCACATCAATTTCTCGTGTTTGTATTCTATATCCCATCACATCAATTACCATGTTGTGTTTGTACATCACTGGCCTCCTCGTGTTTATAATCTATATCCCGACACATCAATTACTATGCTGGTTTAGTGTATCACGACTTCCTCAACATTGTTAAACATGGTTTCTTTCTAGTGCCTCAATGTATGCATAATAATTAAATATCCCGCTGATATCCCCTAGCATTCACGTAATGAAGGAGCAAGCATACATTCCGAAATAATGAAGAAGTTGACGTCCATAAAACTTGCTTTTCTTTAACGTTCATGCCGAATTTATCTTGTTTCAGCAACCTAGACTGTATTTGGACCATCACCGCGCCCCTTGGAAATATAATAAGGGTCGAAGTTGTGAACATTCAAATGGAAACGTCGACAGGTTGTGTGTCTGACTATCTTCTATTCAGTGACGGTAAGTACCGTAAATATATGTGCTCTTTCTACATATATTTTTATTACGGCTTTTCCACTCTTTTGATTAAATATTACTCTAATGGTTGCCACAGAGATCACATACTACGTATACCGAAGGTATTTGTGCACGTTTACTCTAATTTGACTGGTGTAAATTATCGTGGTAAAATATCAACATGAATGTAATCATTTTAGGTGCATCGGCTGATGGTGTTCAGTTGCAAAGGCTTTGTACTGCATCATCTAGGTACATCTTCAGTTTCGGGATCAGCATGACCATCACCTTCCACACCGACAATGCGGTGGTATCAACGGGATTTAATGTGAAGTACACAGCGGGGATATTCGCCACAGCACCACGAGGTACACTCTCGCCACCTTTCGTTTGTAAGGAATGTGCATAAAGCCACGATTCATTGAGCACTAATTCATTCATATAAGGGGTTGTGGGATAGTCATGTGGTTCAAACATGAGCCCATCACCACGAACAAAACGGGTACGACTTACCATATACGAACAATGTCTGAAGCTTCCCGTTGGTGTCCATCACCCTGATATTGCAGGAATATTGAAGAAAACGTCACTGCCTCTTACATATGCAGCTTATTGTACAGGACGAACCAAACGTGATTGTAAGCCTGGCAAACTTGATATTTCATTGAAATGAAAATGCACACATTCTGTCTGGACCACTTCCGGCTTATGACATTGTTGCTAGGATGCAATGCAACAGTGAGTGAGTGAGTGAGTGGGTGAGTGAGTGAATGAGTGTGTGTGTGAGTGTGTGTGAATGAGAGTGAGTATGGTTTTACGCCACTTTTAGCAATATTCCAGCAATATCACAGCGGAGACACCAGAAATGGACTTCACACACTGTACTCATATGGGGAATCGAACCCGGGTCTTTGGCGTGACGAGCGAACGCTTTAACCATTAGGCTACCCTACCGCCCCTGCAATACAACAGCTTTGAGGAACTATGTCGTAGGGACACGATGCATCAGTATCAACTGCTTTTGCAAGGAGAATACCATGTCCTAATTTAGCCGGATTCACATTCGATTCTACGTAGCACGTGCATATATAATTATCAGTGTATGTATGTTTACGATTTTCACTGAAAGCGTCATATATAGTTGGCTTGTTGGTTGGTTGGTTGTTTTCGGCTGCACTCAGCAACATTCCAGCTATATGGTGGCGGTCTGTAAATAATCGAGTCTGTACTAGACAATCCAGTGACCAACCCGTTATAAATAGCGACAGTGGACATGAGGAAAAGAACAATACCTTTACAAGACTAGGATAGCGTATTCCACATCATATTGAAGATTTAAACTGTATTCGTTCTTCTGTCTTTCAGTCTGTGGAGCTGACACTGACGTGACGTATTTAGACGCCATTATTGAATCTCCTAACTACCCCCAGGATTATCCAGAGTAAGTTTACCTGCAACATATTTGCAAACACAGGTTTAGTCATGTCACACACAGAGAGCAGGGGGGCATTACCCTGTAGACCGTGTTGATAGTCTACATTATAAGCTGTTCACTGGTCACGATGGGGGCATGGGGTTGATGTACCCTCTATATTTGCTTATGTTCCGTGAGCCCTTTGGGGGTAGATGGCACATCAACCCATTGGCCCCGAGGGATCAATGAACAATGTCTTTATCTTACCGAACATGTTAGTGTTAATTTAGAAATGTTTGGAATGGTCATAATAAGAAATACCAGAGTTAGGAAAAGCAAATTTAGAGTTATCTCCCTTCCATCAATTTGCATTCGCAAAGCATCGGCAATTTCCGTACATCATACGTAACTCAATTATTCGAGATAAAGAATTACTAACACGAAATTCTTGAGAGGCATTTAGAAGTTAGTGAATATATAAGACAAGTATATGGATAGCAACTTCTTAAATAACAAGTTGCTATCCATACTGAACCAAATGAATTCCCACAGTTTGGCATTAACAGCGGATAACAGAGAAAATGTTACTCGCTCGTTAGCCAGTATAATAATAGAAGAGCGCCCAGCCAATCGGAAAACGACATTTATGTATGAGGTAAGATAACATTGCTTGATCGACTCTAGAACACGTCGTCCCATGTTCATGTGTTCATCTTAGTGCAAACACCAAACTATTGTCATGGATATGAACTTCCGAAGTATTATATGGGTAGGCCCAAGTTTTATAGCGCCATGTCTATCCCACATGCATGCTCAATGCGCTTCTTTGTTTTTCACTCGATCATTGGATGTCAGTCCCAGGGGCACATCATATTACCAATCTCAACTCCCCGGGGACCATACAGCTCTTGCAGGCACTAGGCGCACCAAGTTAATGTGGCCTTCCCATCCTTACGAGGTACCCACTCACAGCTGGGTGGACTGGAACACATAGTTACAGTATTTTGTCAAAGTTTTACCGCACGTTACGGTACCCGCAGCTGGGTGTTTTGGATGTATTCATGTGGCCACCATCGGGTCATATATCAACGGATTCGTGGGTTCTTTTAAGTGCACAGTGTTGTGAAAGAGTCTGCACACAAAGTTGAAGTATTTTTCATTTATCCTGAACACATGCACAAAATACAAATGCAAACCTGCTTGCTACACAAATGCCCAAACACTGTTTGGATCTTCTTATCCAAACATAGGCATGGTTCTATTTGAAGTAATGTGCACACACTGTTGATGGCTGAGAAGTACCATGGCCTATCCACCTCATACTGTTTATCGTACTGTTTCAGCGAGGCGGACTGCACATGGAAAATCTTTACTGCAAAAGAGGACCATGTGATCAGTAGCAGAGTATCGAATTTCGAACTTGAATTAGACGACCGCTGCACCATGGACTATGTACAGATTTATGATGGTAATTATGTATGACATCAGGCTCAACGTATATCTTCATTATTTTATTGCTGACAGCTGGGGTGTGCATCTTATATGAACTTATGATCACGTATGATTTCTAAATCACTACTTCTTTTAAAGCAAAACACATTATTTACATATATATTAACACCGCCAACAAGCATATTTCTGGGTTTTTTTCGAAAATTGTCTTTAACAAATTGTCATTGGCATCTGAGTTCCAGTATGTCGTATGTTGCCGATTGGTAACGTAACTCACTTGTAGTTGTCATGAGCAAACTATACTTTAGCTCGTGAATGGCTTTAGTTTTGATGAAAGGACGGTGGGGTAGCCTAGTGGTTAAAGCGTTCGCTCGTCAAGCGGAAGACCCGGGTTCGATTCTCCACATGGATAATGTGTGAAGCCCATTTCTGGTGTCTTTTGCCGTGATATTGCTTTAATATTCCTAAAAGAGGCGTAAAACTTAACTCACTCACTCACTAGTTTTGAAGAGTCTTTACCACTTGAGCACAGTGGGTAATATCGCAAGACAGAAAAAGTTGGTTACATTTGCAGCATAACTTTTATGGATACACAGGAAATGAAACATGAAAAAGCAACATACAGTATTGTGTCAAAATGTTTTGACTCACCAATGCTTTTCTGTCGTCCCCCCGAATCAGGTCCGAGTCGATCCGCTTTGTCTCTCGGCCGGTGGTGTGGAAGGAAGGGACCGAAAGTAGAGAGTTCAGGGCCGGCAGTTTACGTTGTGTTCCGATCGGACCTTTCAGTCTCCTTCGCTGGATTTTCATTGTCCTTTTCTGCTGGCCCACCATCACATGCGAGTAAAAGTATGTAAAACCTTCTTTACGTTCGAAGGCTACTTCAACCCTTCCGAATTCATCACTTATTCAGACACTTTTCCCCGCCGTGATGTTGCTGGAATATTGCTAAAAGCGGCGTAAAACCATACTCAGTCAGTCAGACGCTATTCAGATGAAAGAATAAAAGACATCTATCAACAAACATGGTTTGAATCAATCTATCTATCCCCTAAATGTCTGTATTATAAACAATGGAAATATGAACTATGCCAAAAATAATATTTATCAACAATCTCAGTAGAAAAATTCCGTGTAGCTTTATTCCGTTTTCGCTGCTCTTCGCTCGAGTTGTTTGTTGAAGCTGGGCGTTTTATTGATATTCCTCGCAATCATAGAATTTGCAACCTCTGTAACGTTAAAGTTTCAGAAGACGAATACCATTTCATTTTGATCTGGCCCGCCTATGAAAACCTTAGAAAGAAATATTTAACATGCTACTATTATACCCATCCAAATGAAATAAAAATGACCACACTATTAACTAATGAAAATACTATTGAATTACAGAACCTGTCAATGTATATCTATTTCGCCTTTATCCATAGAAAATCTGCTTTAAATTTGTACCGGTAATCTGTAAGAATTTGACACATGCTTTTCTTCTGCTCAGTTGTACATATTGCGTATATAAATGTACTATAGGCCTGTGACCTTTTAAGTACCGAGTAAAGATTGATTTATTAATATTCATATGAATCAAAACTATTTTTACGTCCGGAAATGAAAGTTTTAATCGCGGTATGCTTAATGTAAAAATGTATAAAAATGACACAAAAATCATATTATTTATAAAATACAAACATATGTTTCAGGTTCTTTCGACCCCAGTGTTGGGGGCATAATTGGTGGGACAGTTGGAGCTGTTGTGTTCGTACTTTTAGTAGTTGTTTGTTGTGTGTGGTGCCGCAGAAAGAAGTCCCTCCCAACAACCAGCCACATAGGAACCTGACGGTAACCATGACAAATAACAGTTCCCATGACACCATCACCAACAACATTTACTCTATCTCATATTCCAACCAACCGTCCGCGCCAGTGGATGAACCAACTGTGCCTGAACCATCACCTCCATGTTATGATGATGTTGTTAAAAATGACCCCCCTTCGTACTTTGAAGTGGTGGCACAGTTAGACTTGCAGCCCGTTGTGCCTTCATACCGTGGTGGCGCATCTGCAAATCAAGGGGCAGATAATCCGACATTTCGTAGCTCAGAGGTTTAGTGCTACGGCGTCCTGTTGCGTGCATGATTTGTGTAATTGACGTGGAAGAGACACGTGCACATGTGATAACCTTGAAACGACGTTTATGCCAGTACTTTAGTAACAGCTGAAAATACAGTGTTATTTACATACTTGATTCGTACTTCAATGTGCATGCTCCAATCTGCTAAGACCTCACTTCATAAATAGTCCGAGGAGTTTACAGTTTGTAGACGACCAGCAACTGACGTCAACATCTTAATCAGTGGGATATACAGTCAGTTAAGCAGTATTGCACGTCCTGGAAACATGATTTGCAAGGTTGTTGTCGTCTTATGGGTTAATGATTCTTATCATCCCTGAACAGTAGGTATGGTGTCGCAAAAGAAACGAAAAACATTCGTATTCGTCCAGGGACGATCAGGGACTAGAGTACTTCTAATCTCTCGTATCTCTCTGAATTGTCCGAATTGCTTGTTTTCCATTCTCCGATACTTAACCCATCATTAGAAGTACCATGTAAGAAGTACGTTCGCTGTACATCAGATCGTTAAAGCCAAACCTCTTACGAAAGATCCGGTGATCCTGTCCAAAGCAAAGAAAACATATTAACAGTTACTCATCAGTGTGTGGTCCTGTGCATAGAACTCAGGTCACAATTCAGTTGAAGTTAACCAACGTTCTGCGCGGAGAGTCTTGGATGGGTGACCATGTTTAACATCTTGACTCCTGAGAGTTTCTAGGGACTTCTGTCTTGCTCCACAACGAAGCACATGTGATACATGTGGTCTCACCTTAGGCAAGTGAGTTTGTTCAAATTTGCCTCTGTTCACCCAGCAGAAAAAGGGTACCCGGTGGGATAATTCATGTGACTATTAACCTTATAGCGCCTCACAAACAGCTTGGGTTATCCGGTGTAATAATAATCAGGCTGTGTGCACTTTGAGCAACCGCAACGGGTGGACAATAGTGCATCACAAATGCACTTATTATTATTATTATCACCTCTCAAACCTGTCGAAATATTCCCTTTATTTCATTGTAATTATCATCTTCGTAATTGGGAACATTGATATCTTAACATGCCAGCGTACACAACAGAGAAGTATCAGTCGGACCTATTACGGAATTTGTGGCCTACAACATGTATTTCTCTTTTATGTCTATGATGAAAACTTTGCAACTCTTTTTTTGTGATTTTGTATTTTAACATGGTTATCATCGATAAACAAAATAGATATTATTATCATAATGACACCCACAGCAGGTTTGTCGTCAGCGATGGCGACAGAAAACAGTTTCAAACAACATTACATCGCACGACAGGAGCACCACAAGGTCCAGTGCTTGTCAACTGACTTCTATGACAAAACGCTGAAAAAGAACCTTAAAAGGGAGATACCTCTTATCCAGTAATAAGGCACACCACTAAACAGTATGGTTGCAGCGACAGTATTTGTTCGCAAGCAAATCTAAGAAGGCTGCTATTCCACATCACTTTACCAGTCTAACATTCAACAATAAGAACATCTTTTGAAACACCCACAAAACCTCAAATTACACATCGCTTGTAGATGCCTTGAGTTGAGTCTGAAGACTGGAGCTAGTGTCAATAACACGTCATGTACATTTACATGCTCGTGTAAGTGTATTATCACCAACGTAATATCTTTTTTTAACGGTTTTTTTCTGTTTAAGCCTGCATCTAGCAATATCCCAGCTATATGGCAGCAGTCTGAAATTATTCGAGCCTTTTACCAGATAATCCAGTGATTGTCAATAGAAGCACATGCATTAGAAGAAGTTTAATTGCTGTCAGACCTCAACAAATGCCGTGAGTTAAAACATATCCTCATCCGAAGACAGTTTGGCAGAAAAACAACCATGTACCACGTGGAACTCACAAATCCACAAAACGTGACTACTCCAAAACGTGCAAAGGGTAACGTTGAGGTTAACTACCCTTTCAAAGTTTAACATATTTATCTTTCATAGTTTAAATATAATTAATTATACCAGCTTTTCGCATGAACAAATAAATAATTCCAGAACATCATTACAAAACCCATGCATTTCAGTGAGCGAGCATGGTTGTACGCCGCTTTTAGCAACATTCCAGCAATATCACGGCGAAGGACCCCAGAAATGGGCTTCACACATTTTACATATGTGGGGAATCGAACCCGGGTCTTCGGCATTACGAGCGAACTCTTCAACCACTAGGCTAACACACGCACCCTAGTCACTACACTGTGGAGGGGTCACATTCTACTCCAAATGGAACTTTATTCCTTGGCCCACACACACACACACACACACGCACGCACGCACGCACGCACGCACACACACACACACACACACCTCAATTCCTCACAGCATGATAGACACTTGCTTGGGATGGAGTAAAATTGTGTCCTTCGCATACGGTTCATGTGAAATAGGTCGAGACGACAGCTCCAAGCAACCTGCAGATGTGGCTCTTTATGAGTACCAATTGGTAACAATGCGGACACTAATGTCTTGTCTGAAACATCGATAAAAGAACGAATAACTGAACTTTTCCTGATATATGCAATACATATTTAGGCATGTTGTACCTGAAAAGCTCGCGTGTGTACTTCGAGTAGAGAAATGTCAATGATAACCAGTCAGTGTTCTGAGGGAGTGAAGCAATGCACCCTTGCATGTTCAGAACATCGTTTCTGTTGAGCGTCTTGAAAAAGACTCGCCTGCGTTCCTAAATAGAGAGCATATGTATGGCTGTAAGCTAGCAGGCACTTTCAAACACACATCGAAACAGCGCAGAAACAAGAGAGGCTTCGAATCGAATGAAATATATTCCGTATTTGTTCAATAAATGACCTCCAACGGGTATCGGTTTTGTCCAATGGTGTTATCCGGGCTGGAACAGTTAATTACTTTCATGGTAAATACTCAAGAAACAATCAATTTCCGAGTCTGTTTTGCTACGAGCAGTTGTGCTCAACCTTTGAGACACTAAACTTGTACGCAATGCATGTATACGCGCTTAACAGAGGATCCGTGAAGATCCGGTTTGGAATTGACCTTCAGTAACCCATACTTGTCGTAAGAGGCGACTCACGGGATCGGGTGGTCAGGCTCGCTGACTTGGTTGACACCATGTCATGTCATCGTATCCTATTTGCGTAGATCGACGTTGATCACTGGACTGTCTGGTCCAGACTCGATTAATTACAGACCGCCGACATTTAGCTGGAATATTGCTGAATGCGGTGTTAAACAACCAACCAACTATAACTGAATAGAGACATTTTTCCTGTTGCCATAGCCACAGTGACATGCGTTGACCCAACAGTCGTTTATCAAAACAATGTCATCCATCCGGATCTCAGGGTAACTACCACGAGAGAAACCTTATCTTGATGACATGACCTTATCGACAGCTCGTCACGTCTGGGTGTTTTGATGTAATGTTAGTTTCGAATTACATACTCGTCACAAGACTATGAACTGTAACTTGTGTTACCGGTGTCATTACACAACACTGTGAATATTGAGCGGGACTGTCAGCGACGATATGTGTCCATAATGAATATACCTTGTTTCGTTGGAGTATGTTTGCTGGTGTTTGGCCATCTGGTCTCAGGTATGTGTGCAGCATATTTTGTCATAACCTATATAATAATGAATATCTAAAATGACATTTTAACGGGTCTCACATGATGAAACATGTCAACGAGTTCCTTCCTAGTTGAAATCAAAGTAAACCTGTGGTGTTTGGTATTGCAGTGTCTATATTTAGCAGCACGGGTGCGATGACTACAGGTGACATATTCACTGAAATGATAATAGTTCACATAATATTGTATCTGTATTAAGCTGATTATAAATTATAGATGTACATCTGTTGCTCCTCCATCGAGTAAAGTTTGATATGAATGGAGGACACGCAGTCTGTCGGTTGTTTGCACAAGGTAGCGGAGTCCGCCATTGTTAGTTGTCACATTATCCGAGAGGCATGCTGGGATATGTCATGATGACCTGAAGCGACTTGACAAACAGGTGCATATCTAAATAAACAGTCGGGGCATGGGGATATGTAAACTGAACATTTTGCTTTGCCAAACACCAACTGGAAAAGGCACAAGTGGTTGCGTATGAAGAAAAAATATTGACGTACATTTCTCTTTCTCACTCTCTCACTTTTTCACACACACACGCGCACATCATACATATATATATTCCCGAATTACTGAAAGAAATGGGGAAAAAGAGAACGAGAGAAAGGCCAAAAATATTTTCATTACAATATGTACATAGCATTAGCATTCTCAGTAACCAGAACTTTCAGGTGTGTTTAACATCGGTGAATAATGTCATCATAACAATATTTTGGAGCTGGTCAAAGTATTGTATCATACATGAAAAGGGTAAACAGGAACGGCTCGGATACAGAGCATTTGGGTGTTCACTTCGATGTCGCCTGTTTGATATAGATCTTAGGTAAGCTTCGGCATTTAAACTGGATTTGAACAAAACATTCGGGCGTAGTTTATTCCCATTAGTCAAACCTCGATCGTTCCATAACTGATTCACCCATTCATCTGAATCGATCAACAACAATCGATCTTTTATCACTAAGAAGTTAGCTGATGATATATTTCTGACGTTGGAGATATTCAAGTTAAGTGTCTGCAATCAGTTCAGAACATTTTTTTACCGCGATTTACGAAAGCCTTTTGACCAGTTGTAACATCACATGTCGGTCGGGAGTGGTGGAGGAAAGCCTCTTCCACATACGCGCGACTTCTATTCGTTGAATAGTTACTGATGACAACGATCCCATTTCGCCCCCCACAGCTATATCCGATGTTTTACAACCAACTCCCAAGAAAAACATCGACTGACACGATGTTGAATATTATTCAAGCATTTGTATTCTCCCAGGCCCCAAATAGCGGCTCCGTACGACAGTATAGGTTGTACCAGGTTACTATAGTGGACGCTGAAGACTGTTAAGGGGTTTGAATTTACTAATTATTACGCCTAGTGCCCTCCCAGCTGATTTAGCAAGCTCCTTGGCAGTAAAGTTAAGATCAAGTGTTCCTGGAACGATAATCCTAAATACGTGTACGAGTTTGCATAAGATAATTCGTCCTTGCCAAGGTGAAATGGTCTTTCGCTAAAATGTGTCCGATTCGGTCGATAATGAACAACTTTGGTTTTCTCTATATTAATAAGCTTCCTCCATTTCGAACACCGTCAAAAATACGTTGTAAGCTCGATTCGTCGGGCGCAATATTGGCAATATCATCGGCGTAGAGAAATAAACTATCCCCTATTTTCACTCCACAGTCAAGATTGTTAATTTATTTGGCAAGAACGTTGATGAAGATTGAGAAAAGTATGGGGAGCACGCAACCCTGTCTGACTCCGAGTGCACACTGAGTGGGCTAATGAGATGGCCATTGATAGGCCAGTCAAATTAGCCATTTTCGGGCCAAGGTAAAACAAATGATGACGAAACGAAACTTGACATATATATTATATGGACCTTTCTGCATAACATACTAAAATCCCCCTAAAATTCCATTTGAGCTAAATCCACAGTGCACGTGCAAACATGCATACCCTACGATAATTTTCTTCTAAGAAAATCCTGTTTTAAAAACAGAAGTGCTCATAAAATCTTTATTTAATAATATATAATCCCATTCAATTTGACAGATATAATGGATTATAGTGCACTTATATTAGAATACTTTAAAAAGTAGAAAATAAATATTTGCCTCACGTGCACATCCCGTTTTGTTCTAAATATAAAATTCTAGGAAATTGTGACCCTGGGTCTGAATTTTGGCCTGAAACCTTTTATTATGAAATTTAATTGGTCTTATACATACGTGAATAAATTGCCATGTGATTTATCTATCCAATGGTACCAAATAGTTGGCAGACATATTTCATTTAAACATTTAAATTGAAACTGGCAAAACGCGAAATTTCATCGATATGCATACCAGCCAGAAAACTGTGTTACCCCCAACCCCTATCCCCTCGCTTTGTATGCATGAGTCTTATCACAATAATATTCAACAAAGTTACTGATAAGTAAACATTTTAATACTTTCATGGCAAATTGAACATTATCTGAAAGTTTTAATACAATAGCTATACTTATAATTATAATTTCATTTCCATTGAAAATCGCAACAATTATAAAAAGCACTGATACATAGCAACAATTATTTCACAAAAACCCCACGAATGGCTGAAACAATAATTCCCTGAGGCGGTAAACTACCACTTGTTCTTTTCGTCCATAATTGCTCATCAACTATCATCGTCCACTTAAGAGGTTCTAGGATGCATAGCATTGATCAAGTGATTTGACTTTTGTCGGCGGGTAGTTTACCACGAACAGTTAGCAATTAAGTTGAACAGTTTCCATTCTGTGTAGCTTACTTGGCTGGTAAGGAATACATATCTTGTCACAAACCTTTCTCTTCCAAGTGATTTGAGAAGGCCTCTGGTATTACCATTCACTGAAGCAAATGCAGTAACAGTTTTATAAAGTTTCTAGTTTGATGGACCAATTTGATTTGATGGTTTGTGAGAAATCGATTGCATGTGCTTCTCACAACATTTCTATCCTTGCTTCCATCTTTTCTCTTCAAGATAGTTTTGAGAGGGTTTCTATCACTGACATACTGAAGCATATCTTCATTTCAACCTGCTAGTTCCACGGACAAGTTTTATTTCACGATGGATCCAACAGAGTGTTGTATTATATGCAGCAAAAGATTTTCTCCTGGTGATATTGTCACGGTCACAAGAAGTCTAACTACCTTACTGCAAAGTAGTATAAGGCGCAAAGATGGAATTGCTGAAAACTTATCTGGAATATCTTTAGTTTCAGTTCATCTAAACTGCCGCAAAGATTATACTCGTGAATCTTCTATTTTAGCAGATGTGAATCCCTCACCTCAAAAGACGGTTTCCTTAAGATCATCACTGTCAAATTTCAATTTCAAAATGAATTGCTTGTTCTGTGGAGAAAATTGTGATATAGTTTCAGAGACTTAAAAACCTAAATACAAGAGGGATATTTTTGAAGTTCGAACGATTAGTTCCAAAGATTCCATTCTTGACATGGCTGAATATCGTGGTGATGTTATTGAACGGATATCAAGCGCCATAGATTTAGTGGCTGCCGAATGGCAGGTATCACCATACATGTAATAAGAAATTCTTTTGCAGACCACGTTCTATCAGAGGGAAGGATAGACCTGCAGATGAAAAACTTAGCAGAGCCTTTGATGATTTGTTTGAATTTCTGGAACAAAATGATGAATGTCAGTATCCAACAGAGGACTCGACCTCGTGAGCAAACTGAGGGAATTGTAAACTGTGTTTATGGTGAGATTGAATGTAGTGAAAAATCCCTGAGATCAAAATTGCTAGCTCACTGTGGTGATGGTGTTATCATTTCTAGCATTCGTGGAAGGAAACCGTTATTTTGCATTAGAAATAGTGGCCACAAGATCCTTAGTAATGCATGGTATTCTCAGAAGTTGGGAATTCAGAACCCTGAATAAGAACGGTTGCGCATAGTGAAAACAGCTGCGGATATCATAGGGAGGACATCAGGTCAATGCTTTGTGATACTGACCATTACACTCCTGCTGATGATGCTTTTCATAATCACATGATGAATGTGCCTAATAATCGCAGTGTTTTGGTTGAAAGGAATACAAACAAAGATACGAAAGGTGATGTTGCTACAAAGCAAAGGAATGCATCTGTTATTTGTCACCAAATACTCTCAGCAACAAGAGAAAGATCATTTCTTTCTATGTTACAACTTGGTTTAGCCGTGTATATACACCGACCTTCTGGATGTTATGTCAGCCTTGGGAGTGTGTTCATCATATAATGAGGCTATTTCCTATGAACATTCTGCAATGGCTGCAGATCATGAGATTGGTGAAAATACCTTCATGCAATTTGTCTTTGACAATGCAGATTTTAATGTTCGCACACTTGATGGATATGGCACATTTCATAGTATGGGTGGAATCATGTGTGTCACACCAGGTAGTTCTGTCTGTATATCTGATGTTATCAAGCGTAACAAAGCTGTTTCAGCAGACAATGTCAGGTCCAAGTCAATTGGTATTTTAACTTGTTCATTTCAGAGCAAGAAAGGTTTGCTTGGTTTGACTGTTGACGACATTTCCAATGTCAGAAAGCTGACCTCTTCTCTGTGCATATTCTTTTGGATACGCTTTGGATGAGTGGAGTATAGTTGAAATTGGAGGACACTCCCTGCTGGAGTTGATACAAGGAATGTGCCAGAAGTGTTGACAATTATGAAGTATCCAAAGTGATCCCATTGCCCATTCTGTGGGACTTTTTATCTTGTTTGAAATATGAACTTTTTCCATGTGCTCTATCACTATTCGATGAGTACTCAATGAGAATAACAGAAAACTCTGTCATTGATTCTTTGCCAGGCAAACAAAGCCTTCCACATGATGAGGAAGTTCTTCCAGATGCTATGTACATAGTTGATGGTTGATACTTGTTGAGAAAAGTGAAAAGCAGAAAATACAATGATGTTTATGATGCTAATCTGACATATGTCAATTACACTTTGGAAACAATTGCATCATTGTGTTTGATGGGTATGGCGAGTCTGTGTCCACAAAAGGTGTTGAACAGAGTCCGGGGGCACTGATATTGTCTTCAATTCTGAAACACCATAGACGATCAAACAGGGTAAATTCCCGTCCAATGGTAAAAACAAGTCACATTTTGATAGAGGCTTTGACACAACAGTTCTAAAGCAGCTCCACTGGTTACCTGTGAGAGCCAGGATTCAATTCAAGACGCTCTGCCTCACATACAAGTCCCTTCACGGCTAGGCTTCACCCTACATTGCAGATCTGATCAACCCCTACAGTCCATCGCGCGAACTTCGCTCACAGCAGCAAAACCTTCTGACAGTGCCGAACTACAAACTTAAAACCTTTGGATACAGAACTTTCTCCTGCACTTCCCCTGTCTTGTGGAAGTCTACCCCCCTTTGACCTCAAACACTCTGAATCTCTGGACTCTTTTAAATTAAATCTCAAAACCTACCTCTTTGCTAAATATTATCCTCAATAGCCTTTATTGTTTATGTATTATGCACCTATTCATTGTAGTTTTCTTGCTTTGTATGTATAATGTATTTATTTTAAGGTATTTATGTAGCGCCAAGAGCATGCTTCTGAGCGTGGATATGTGCGCGTTACAAATATGCACTATTATTGTTTATTATTATTATTATTATTAACAATTTCATGAGCTCAATATCCCAGTGAAACAAGCCAGTGCAGATGTTGACCTTCTCATTGTACAAACGGGTATTGATTGTGCTGATAATGGGCACAACGCCATTGTTGTTGGGACTGATGTTGATCTTCTGGTGCTCCTCATCCATTTGTGTGCTTCAGAAAGATTGTACTTCATTAAAACTGGGAGCGGAAAGACTGCTGATCGTCTATATAACATTTCGTTGTTACGGCAAGCATTGCCAGAGAGCTTCTTTTCTGGGTTGCTCTTCTCCATGCCATGACTGGTTGTTACACTACATCAGCCTTGTACCGACAGGGAAAGAAAAAAGCTGTCATGTTGTTCACAAAACGACAGGACAAAGCGTTCCATAATCAATTATCCACAAAGGATATGATTGCGTTTGCAGGAGAGCAGTTCTTACTGGCATTGTATGGAGCACCTAAGTATGTTAAATCCCTGAATGAGCACAGTTATTATTGTTTCACGAGAGCCGTTGCCAAGTGTCCCATTCACACACAAATGCAGTTATCTGCCTTCCCACATACATCGGCAGCATCGAGAAAACATTGACTGAGGGTTTATCTGCAAGTGCAGCAATTGCTTGGAAATGGCTACTTAAATGTGTTTTTATGAAATTATAAAATTTCAATTTGGGTGTAAAAATCAAATTATTGCAAATGTTTGAGTTTTCATTGACTTCTAAAAATGCCAAAATGCCAAAAATAATTCAGTCAAAATGTAAAAATATGATTTTATTAAGTAATATTTGGTGGTTTGTGGTGAAAAAGACATTGAACAATACACTTCAATGTGTTTTGGACATATCTAAGCCTTATCATTATACCTATAGATCGTTGTGTCACCCAAGGGTAAAAACAGAGAAAGATTCTATTTTTAGCACAAAAAGACCCACAACTCCGAAATGTGATTTTTTTTCTTTCTGAAATAATAGTCAACAATCTGGAGATATAGTCACTCAGTTGTCAAACATTTATGTACTGATGTACAGAAATAAAGAAGTTGTGACTATTTTATCAAGCACAATTGGTCTTTTAGGTTAGCAAAAGGTTGCATAGGGTAGGCATGTTTGCACGTGCACTATGGAGTTATCTCAAGTGGGATTTTAGGGGTCTTGTAGTATGTTATGTAGGAAGGTTTGCAGAACATATCTGCCAAGTTTCATTTCTTCATCATTTTAGGACCGTTTTGATAATTTGACTGGCCTATGATATCCACTTGACTAGATGTTTTGTCCTACATTGTTTTATAGCTTCTTAGAATTTACCTGTTATCCCTAAGAGTTAAAGTTTATACCATGTATAGCCTCCATCAACCTTATCGAAAGCCTTCACAGCGTCGATGTAACAAACAAACGTTGATTGTTTTGCATTCTCTCTATTATGAAGCAAAGAATATAAGGTATAATGATGATCATGCGTTCCCCTATTTCTTCGAAACCCATGTATTCATCACACAATATATTATTCACCTCCAGTCATCGGGAAAGGCGGACGTTGAAAACGTCACTGTACATTTTACACGGCACAGAGATAAGTGAAATAGCCCGTTAACGGGTCACGGAGGTCAGTGTTCGGTTCTCTGATTAGGAGCAGGATATTTCACCTCCATATGTCAGGACAGGTAATGTTATCAAAGCAATACGTGAAGAGATTAAATACTATATTTATAGATGAATTTATAGATTATTTTCAGAGCTTCTGCGCTGATTAAGCCCAATCCTGTCGGCTTGCCACGCTTGGCTCTAGATACCGCATCCGTCACCGCTTGTAAAATTAATTCCGAGTTCAAACTGGCGATGTCAAATGTGGCAGCTGATTTAATACTAGTATTTTCCAACTCACCCTGAACATGTGAATGGTGAAAGTTGTCAAAATTCCGACAATTATCCGGAGTAAACAAAAAACTAGAATTATCCTTCCAAGTATCTAGCACAGCCGATTTGTCTAACGTCACAGCTCTGTTGTACACTACTTCCCATGGAATAGAGTGCGTTCGGTCCCTGCTGTCAATTATTATCTCACACGTCAAGGAAGTATCGTGCATGTGAACAGATGCGTTTTGATGTAAAGTTTTATTAAGAATTCGCCAATTTTCACTGATGTTTATCATTTATTAAACTCACGACAATAATCGTTTCAACGTTACGAATTTTTTTACAATACATCAGTTCAGGTGTAAACAGTACCTTTAAACAGTATGGACTATGTTTGCAAAATTCAGTTAACAGTTGCCTGAAGTGACTCTATTTACACTAGTGAGTCTAACCCTTGATTGGAAGTATAGATTAACGATGGCATTACCAAGCTCACTTATTAAGTTGCCTTGTAAAGTCAAATGTTGAAAATTATGAGGCAAATGTGTATGTTGTTTTCATTGGCACAACTCGTTTCATACACCACATGCACAAATAACGGCTGAACATGGATATGCATTGAGGACACTGCTGTGCAGACAATGTTGTTTTACTGTTATATGGATAATGAAGGACATAATAGCTGTCCTATAAGTAACATTATGAAAGCAAAAGGTGTGTGTACATGTGACACGTGGACATGATGTTGACAATAAAACGTCAGAAAGATATCAGATCTTTGCTGATATGGGTTTGGTCTTCAGCATCCCGTGTTTTGTCGTAAGAGGCGGCTGAAGAGACCGCGTGGTCAGGCACGCTGACTTTGTTGCATGTCATCATGTTGTAAATGCATAGAGCGATGCTCATGACGTTAATCACGGGATTGTCTTGTCAATACATAAATATTTAAAGACTAATAATATAATATAAAACACTGCTGACTAGGGAATAAAAACATAAACGAGCAATGTTATGGTTTTCATACAGATGTGCGCGTTAATATCAGTTCATGAATGAAATGGGAATTTCAAATTACTTGCATCATGGCTTCCATTAGCTGTAAATCACATCATGAGCGTCATTACCTGGTGCATGAGAGTTATACATTTGTCAGAGTGTGATGGGAAGATTTTGAAGGCCACAAAACATCCCGTTCCAGGTTTCTGAACATCAAAAATGGGCATTGAAAGTGCTTGAACAGTTTGTGTACCAATTATGTTGATAAAATGAAAACATTAATATGAGCCGACGTATTATACAATGAACATGTTCTTTGCAGGTGATTGTAACGTCACGCTTCATGCCCAGAGGGAACCCCTGAATTTCACATCTCCAAACTACCCACGTAACTACAGAAAGTATGTAGAATCATAATCGTGATACATGTAATCAGTATAGATGTGTTCTTTATCATGCAACTATATTTATTTATTGTATTCATTCATTCAAACTAATAATTGTATAGCGCCAATATCAAGCTCAGCTGCTAAGGCGCTTTGTTTTTCTCTCGATCATTTGATGTCAATCGCAACTCCGTGTGGATCATACAACTCGTAACGGATCAAATTAATGTGGCTTTCCCATCCTTACGAGGTACCCATTCACAGCTGGGTGGACTGGGACACATAGTCACAGTACTTTGTCGAAGTTTTGCTACACGTTGATGTACCCGCAACTCAGTGTTTGCACGTATTCATGTGCCCACCATCTGGTCATATAGATTAGTGGGTTCTCTTAAGCGCACAGGGTTGTGTACTGTACACTACGGGTTGTGATATGGAGCATTATATATACATATCCTATGAAGTACTGTTGAGAATAATTAGTATAGGTATTCAACACTCTAGTGCTTCAATCACAAAGTCATCCTAACATATTCATATGAATTATTATAGGAATATTGTTATTACGAGTTTTAGATTTGAGAATGATTAAAATCTCAAACATGATCTGTTTTATTACGTTATGTGTTAAGCATTGTACAAAAAATAGAAACAAGTTTATGTGATGTTGAGCCTGATAGTGTTTTTTATTGTTAAATCGCTATATTTATTTACAATTCCTTTACAGTAATGAAAACTGTTTCTGGGACATCTACCCACAAACAAGCGGCTACAGGGTTGTCCTCGACATGGTCTATTCCAATATCGAGGACTCCAACTCCTGCACAATGGACGTCCTTACTTTATACGCGAAAAGTAACGGTAAAACAATTAATTTATACAGTAAAATAGTCCTTTAATTTTAAATCATTAGTTATGTCAAATTCCAATCTGTATACTCGTTAGAAAGTAGGGGAACTTCATTTTTAATTGACGATTGAAACAATTGGGAGCTATATCGGAATCAGTCAATGTTGATATGATAATAATGAATGTTTTGACATCACCACTTGCACTTACTTATGATCATAATTGTTTGTACATTAATCGCTTTTGAAAAATGATTGGTGTATGAAGTGAAATTTGCATGTTTACGATTTTCATTTTCAAGCGAAAAAACCCAGCTAGAAACAAACACAAACAACTGTGCGATGCATTATGATTGTCAAAATTAATGGTCTACAGTGATTTATCGACCTTCTTGAAAACTTTCGAAATAAAGAATAACATCCAATGCACGTGTATAGGGCTACTGCGTTTTTGCACGTGCAACCCATACATTGTGTTTAGGGGTGGTGATAAAGATCAATGGTTGTGCGTTCAGAAGATGTCTGTTTTTGGAAAGTTTGTTTACGCTTATACTTCGTATCCTTATACTTCCTTTTTTAAGGAGTATATATTAAAGAGGATTGCTTTCGTGGTAATGCGTTGATGTATTTCTTGTATTGGCCTTTATTGTCCGGATGAAGATCGTTGGTTTTGTCAATAACTTACAATGAGTCCATGTTAAACAGTTCCATGTTGTGTTCAATTCCATGAGCTCAAGTATTATCGATACAACAATACATTTTATACTTGAAACAAAGAATGCTTATTTACAAACTGTCAAGTATCAACAAGCACCTTTAGGGACAACCACTTTCTCCTTCACAGATAATACAAATACGATCAAGTTTCACCAAATTTGTGGAGAAACCCGACGGAATGTTATTACCCGTAACGACCAACATTTTCACGTCGTTTTCAAGACTGACAGCAGTACTACCGCAAGGGGTTTCTTAATTAGATATTATGAAACAGAAGGTAAGTAAATTAATGACAATGTTTGAATGATTTCATTACATAAGCCTCAAAATGAAGATTTTTGTAGAAGGAGAGGTCTGTCTCAACGGTAGTAAATCGTGTTACCATTTCAGTCTTATCTGCATTTTATTTATGTAACCAAAGATGGAAATATAAGTAATGATTGTACCTGATTGGTCAATAGCTTAGACGCCAATTATTCGGAATTAGCAGTATGCATTTTATCAGAAACAAAACCTTAAAACTATTATTTATTATTTATTTATCTTATTATTTCCCAGATGTTCATAATTATGTCATACATGTTCATATAACACATACATACAATTATGATCATTTCATCAAATATATAACATTAAAGCTATTATTGAAACCTATTCAAATGAAATACACAATGCCATTTTAGATAAGAGTCATTCACCTAATCGCCGCACCACCTTGTGGCAGCTGCGGTGGCTGAGCGGTCTAGGCGTCTTACTTTGTGTGATGGCGATTAGGTGCCTGACTCTGACTCCCGGATGTTACTCAACCCCAAAAGTACTAGAATCTGTACTTTACTAAGAAAGTGTAATCCCAAATATAACATATGTTACTATTCAAATGATTCATCTAGCGCAGATCATTCGTCACAATTCGTCACAATTCACTCCTTTTCTTAACCACCAAGTAAACGTATTGGCTTTCGCGGATGGTGACAGATATATTCTCAGTATTAATCGATAGGAAGCTACTTATTCTATCTTCAACACTCATCAATACTATGATGTCTTAATGTTTTACAGGCATAAATTTTAGCACTGTTGAAAGCAATATATGACGTCATCATTGATCTCGCCAAAACTGTCGTTGCTCTTCTGCTGAATTTATGCCCACACCTGAATTATGCTGGAATCGCTTAAAAATCAGTTTGCAATGTCTATGAACAAAAAGCATTTATTTGTAACAATAACAGTACAACTGGAGGAAGAATTACTTGTCAATAAGTATTCTCCGACAGATTCAAACCCCGAAATTGCACGATTTCATTTTATCAGTGTTGAAGTTGTCAAAGTCAGTAAATAATATCAAAAACAACCTTTCATTAGTGAGTGCACAGTCATATCTTCATGTATCATATGAGTCTTTCAAGATGTACCCTTATCACATTCAGGGGTCTCAAGCTGTGGCAGATCACTCGTTGCAACATCTGCAGGCAAGACATTTACTTCACCCGGATACCCAAACACTTACCTCACGTGAGTTATTCTCATACTATGTACACAAGAAACACCACATATATCTAAAGCTTGTCAAATAAGGTATTGTAGGATTGACAAGAACAGGGCATGCATTTTCCTATTCTTGTTTAAGATCAACTTTATTACTGTTTCAAACACCAATATCACGATAAGTTACCCAAGCTTAAAGACAACACAACTAAACGATCCACTATTGTCCACTTTAGTCAGCCATGATGGTACAACAACCCGGATGACGGGAACAGTCATTGTATTACAAATAGTCATAAGGAGTAATCATTATATTGCAACAATTACCGATGCATAAAGATCGGACAGGCAGATTCAAGCTTTTTAACGGACTTCCAACCCAAGCGACTGAAATACCCATCGCCTCAATATGGATTCATTACAGTCTTTTTCGAAAGTACAGACCATCAGCCCATGATTAAGTTTTTTTATCCTACAAACAATGCGATGTACAGGGATCTTATTGCATAATGTTATTGACTTACATGAATTAAGTTTACCCGTGTATATAACGTTTGAGGCTCGTCCTTCGTGACACATGCCCAATTAGAAACACGACCTTGTCTTATTTTACACAAAATGTTAATGCATCACTCAGGTCCGACTCGAAACTGGTAAATAAGGCCAGAACAAAACAAAAAGGAAAGCAACCAAAAACCAAAATCACAAAAATCTCAAAACAAAACAAAAAGGAACAAAACAGCGCAAAAAATACGAAAGCCCAGCTAAACTGAATGTGTTATTATCTTTCGCCCATCTAAGATGAAGCTCTGCAGCTTGACCAGAGACTGAGATAATGATGTGCTACCCTTTCATGAGGCCTATGCCAATCCAGCTCAATATACATCAAATGAAGCGACTTAGTGGTGTTTATATGTATTTCAGGACACAGTCATGTACCTGGACTATTACAACAGAACATCAAAACCAAACACTTGTACTGGACACTGAGGACTCGGAACTTGAGAGCATCTCCGCAGTCGGCACTTGTGACTCGGACAACGTCACTGTATATGACGGTCGATACAGTAAGTATATAGATGATGATTGTGTCACAAAGGCAACCTCATTTCAAAACGTCAGATTTCAAAGAACGTGAAACCAATCTCAGATTGTGGGTATTTCATGTAATGTTAAAATTTGATATAGGTATGGTGGTTTGAATGAATTATGTAAGTCGTCAGTTTAAGAAATAATCAGCTTTCCTTCGGCGTCATATTTCCCAATGAAATCGAGTGGACATTACCCTCCAGCACAAGGAATTCGTGTGTTGGCATGTTATGCGCAGTTCATGGTTATATCTTCTTGTCGTGCCTCATTGGTAAAAGATGAGGTTCACAATTCTACTTTGATGATCACTTAGTTCCTATGCTGTTCTAGGTTCTGATGTACTCGGAACGTTTTGTGGCGACCAACAACCCGTCTTCACCAGCGGTGGGAACTTAATGCGCGTCCATCTACAAACAAATCACGAAAACAACTTCAAAGGATTCAAAATACGATACAAAGCTGTAGATGGTTTGTAAGAAATTAACGGTTTTAGCAGTTGTCTTACCTGATCTGTCGACTGCAGATCAATATTTTACTAATGGTTATTAATGGCCTGATTGTTAATATTACTTCTGATTGTATTGCCCAAACGGAATTCATTCACATACATCACAACGAAACATGTATAAAACGATATGAATGAGTGAGTGAGTTTACGCCGCTTTTTGCAATATTCCAGCAATATCACAGCGGGGGACACCAGAATGGGCTTTACACATTGTACCCATGAGTGGAATGGAACCCGGGTCTTTGACGTGACGAGCGAACGCTTTAACCACTGGGCTACCCATCGCCCCTGAAAGGATATAATATACAGTTGAACAATATAGTTGCGATAGTGAGATCTAATCGGCTGCAGTAATCTAAAGGAAGAGGGATTTTCAGATGCGTTTGTGGCTAAGACGGTTTCACTATATTTCTAAAGGAATAATTACTGATGCGTTCAAACGTTACCTTATGTATACGTGTATTGACATAGTACGTTGGCTTTAACCCCGTTTTTAAATGAGTGCTTTATATCATGGTTTGGCAGCTTTATGTAGGTCACAGGCGTTTATCGTTTTGGTGAAGCTCACGAGCGCTGGAATGGGGCTCAGAAACCTTGACATTTATTCTGAGGGAACTGGGATTCTAAACAATGATAAATGGTTTAAGGTGTGCAAAATAGGTTTTACTTTGAACAACGATTTACGGGGCCTCAGGTGACTGAGCTACACCTGTATTATAGTGCAGAGAATGAATACTGATAACCTTTTTCTAAGATGTATGCACACACACACACACACTATCTCTGGAAACATTCGAACATTCGAAATAAATTTAGTTCTACCAAACATTTAATCGTGGTATATTTGTTGTTTTTAATAATGGCCACCGCAATGGCGTAAATCAAGCTAGGGTCCATGCAGGGAGCAAAAGTAAGTCCTGGGACCCTACCTAGTATGGTGATATACCTTCAGCTGCTGGCGATTTATAGTCTGTTTTTATTTGTTTGGTATTGTCCAAATAATGCTATTAGTTTTATCGTTGCATGCTAGTTTTAATTCTACCTGTGATAGTCTAGTTGTTTTACTGTCCCTTGACGACGGGTTTTATATTGCATTACATATTCCTTATAAACGCCAAATTTGTTCCCGTTACGATATGGCTGAAACATTGCCGATGTGACGTTAAATATTCACTCATTCATTCATTCATTTATTCAAGTGCGTTTGTATTGATAGCAGTTTTCCTTTTATACCATTGCGCCTCTACACTGCAGCAGCAAGATGCGTCCTTACGATACCTGCAGGTGAAAGTCCAATGCAGCTTGTCTCTCCAGGTTATCCTCAAGGCTACCAAAGGTAAATTACACGGTCAGACAGTTAACAAGAAAACAGTCTGATAAAAATAATTACGAGTTAGGTGTGCACGCTCGAAAATGGTCAGTTTAATTCCCACTACCTCTTATGTAAGTCGTGTCTACATGAGCACTTGCATATCGAAAGAGTGTGTTCACATTGCGTACTGTTACATATGATCTATTTCTCTGGTCAAAGTGATTCATTGGTAAATATATAATATACATGCTGTAGGAAGCTAATATTTTTAAAAACTAGATATAACAGTAGTTTATTCTGAAGTTGATATTAACAATAATAAAACGTTTGTTGGACCATTAATACGAGGCAATGGTGCAAAGTGTCAGTATGTGTATATTTCTTTAATAAAGTTGCACTTTCATGGACACAGTCTTGTATATTGACATGGTGATATATATCGGATGATGAACCGATCAAATAATGGCATTAATGCAGGAAATGTGGATCAAACCTTGAAACCCTCTCTTATAAACGGAACCACCCGTGAAGGTCCGGGTTAGAATTGATCTTCAGTAACACATGCTTGTGGAAAGAGGCGAGTAACGGGATCGGGTGGTCAGGCTCGCTGACTTGATTGTGTAGATCGATATGATCTGTACACCCTATTTGTTCATGTACACTGAATCTGTTCACTGTATCCATACACAGTACACTCTGAATTTTACATGATCCTGTATTCTATCTATTCATTTAATCTGTACACTGAATCTATACAATTTGCACTTACATTGTATCTGTACTCTGCGTAAACAGTAAGTACAAAGCCATTGTCTTTGCACACTGTAACCCACACTGTAATAGTGTTTGTTCTCCTCCCTCAAAGTATTTCAAAGATAAATATATGTCACCATCACCAGAAGTTAATGAGACAAAGTCTGTCATTAATGAGACAAAGGCTGTCATGTGGTGTTTTGTCATAACAAAACACCACCTTTTAATATAATATGGAACTGTAGTGTGTTCTCTGTTTAGGAATGTTTTTTTACTTTGTAGTGGATTAGATTGCCACTGGATCATATACGCGCCCACTGGAAGTTTCATCACTGTTAAAGTTATCGTCCTTGATATGGAGACAGTACCATTGTGCAGCAACGATTATCTGCTCTTTAAAGATGGTAGGTAAAGCGATGAGGCACCTGTAACATATTTAGAATCACGCGCCTAAAGCATTTATTTAAAATTGCCCCTGTGCACCTAGTAGTGAATGGGTACCCGAAGGGAGGAGATGGTCACATGACTGTTTCTAGGCAGCTTGTAGTGCACACCGTTGTTGCTACGGGGCCATACATATACATATAATCAAATAGCAAAAAAATAAATAAATAAATAAAAGAAAGAAAAAAAGAAAAGTAAAAGAAAACAAAGACGAGATAAGGTATATCTTTCTTCAAAATGTCACATTATAGTAATTATGAAAGCTTTGTCATAATCTTAGGTAATATCGTAAGATGTGTTATCTTGAATGAAATATTTATTTGTTAAACAATACATCAATATGATGGAAAATGAAGGATGGCACTTTGGGGCAAATTGCGGACATATTGTTTAATTGCTTATTGGTCTCAGTGTTGTTCAGGTTGACATGTCAGTGCACAGATGAAACTACATTCGTTAATTAATTACTTGTATTACATCTTCCCACTTTAGGTTCCCTTACAAGCATTGCTCCCACACTGGCAAGGATTTGCAACGTTATATCTTTTCCCATCAAAAGTGCCAGGAATCATATGGCCATCCTATTTCACTCAGACAATTCCACCACAGGAAGAGGCTTTCGTTTACAGTACTTCGCTGGTAATGCTATTATTTTTCTGCACGTGGTTGTTTTACGAAGCCGATCATTTTTTATTGTTTTCGATCATATCCATACTCTTGTTCCTTTTTCCGATTTGACCAAAACTGATGAAATAAACACACACCCTTCTGTAAAGTTATTTCTTGTAACCAACTGCCCACCCGTGAAGATCCAGGTTAGAATTGGTCTTCAGCAAGCCGTGGTTGTCGTAAGCGGCGATCTGGTTGTCAGGATCGCTGACGTGGCTGACACTTGTCATCGCATCCCAATTGCAGTGATCGATGCCTATGCTGTATATTACTGGATTGCCTGGTCCAGACACCATCATACACAAATCGCCGCCATACAGCTGGAATATTGCTTAATGCGACGTTAAACAAAGTTCAAACTCAATCAAACTAAAGTTACCTTTTTGTACGCTCTCCCCAAACCACGAGTCTTTCATTGTCATTATGAGAGCTAACGGATTCCATATCAATGGCAAATTCGGGCACAGTCTTTTCTGAATTTCTGTAACTTATCTGTTAACGACAGAACATTTTTAATCCCCGTCAGCGCTCGGTTCCAGTTGCTTGCCGATAGCGTTTACTATTTACCCTAAAATTAAATAGGATCGACAAATATGCAAAGTGTATAATCATTTTTTGTTTTATGCTGTTGTAGGTTCCGCTTGTGGAAAATCAAATATTTCTGCTTCTACTATGGACAAGTATCTTTCGTCTCCTGGCTATCCATCACTCTATTCCAAGTAAGAAAGTACTCTCTTGCCAAAGAAAGTAACGCCACTCAAAGGGTAAGAAGGACAACACACGTTAAGAATGGCATTTTTCAATTGGCAAATAGCGACTTACACTTAGCACTACACACGGCCAAGCAAGTAGTACCAACACATAACATTGTGTAGCACTCCACAAGTGGCAAATAGCAACACATACATAAGTTATACATAGCACTACACACGGGTCAAGCAAGTAGTACCAACACATAACATTGTGTACCACTCCACAAGTGGCAAATAGCAACACACACTTAAGTTATATATAGCACTGCACACGGGTCAAGCAAGTAGTACCAACAGATAACATTGTGTACCACTCCACAAGTGGCAAATAGCAACACACACTTATGTTATATAAAGCACTGCACACGGGTCAAGCAAGTAGTACCAACACATAACATCGTGTAACACACCTCAAGCGGCAAATAGCAACACACACTTAAGTGTATATATAGCACTACACACGGGTCAAGCAAGTAGTACCAACACATAACATTGTGTAGCACTCCACAAGTGGCAAATAGCAACACACACTTAAGTTATATATAGCACTACACACGGGTCAAGCAAGTAGTACCAACATATAACATAGTGTAGCACTCCAAAAGTGGCAAATAGCAACACACACTTAAGTTATATATAGCACTGCACACGGGTCAAGCAAGTAGTACCAACAGATAACATTGTGTACCACTCCACAAGTGGCAAATAGCAGCACACACTTATGTTATATATAGCACTGCACACGGGTCAAGCAAGTAGTACCAACACATAACATTGTGTACCACTCCACAAGTGGCAAATAGCAACACACACTTAAGTTATATATAGCACTGCACACGGGTCAAGCAAGTAGTACCAACACATAACATTGTGTAGCACTCCACAAGTGGCAAATAGCAACACACACTTAAGTTATATATAGCACTGCACACGGGTCAAGCAAGTAGTACCAACACATAACATAGCACTCCACACGTGTAGCACTCCACAAGTGGCAAATAGCAACACACACTTAAGTTATATATATAGCACTACACACGGGTGAAGCAAGTAGTACCAACACATAACATAGTGTAGCACTCCACAAGTGGCAAATAGCAACACACACTTAAGTTATATATAGCACTGCACACGGGTCAAGCAAGTAGTACCAACACATAACATAGTGTAGCACTCCACAAGCGGCAAATAGCAACACACACTTAAGTTATATATAGCACTACACACGGGTGAAGCAAGTAGTACCAACAAATAACATTGTGTAGCACTCCACAAGTGGCAAATAGCAACACACACTTAAGTTATATATAGCACTGCACACGGGTACAGCAAGTAGTACCAACACATAACAGTACGTAGCACTCAACAAGTAGCAAATCATGTCACGTGTGTGTATAAACACGTTACCGTATGATTATGGATTTAATCTGTGCATACCTATGATAGCTCATTCAGCACTTGCACCTGCAGAAAACTAAATTGCAAGTGGACAGTTTCGGCCCCAACTGGATATAAAATAGAAGTCTACATTATGGATCTTTATATGGACCAGTATTGCTGGACTGACTATCTGCTTTTAAAGGACGGTAAGTACAATACCTGTCTTTGTAAAAATACTTCAGATAAAAAGGCAGTGACTTTTGTATTAGTTTCTAGTCATTTCTCAATAATTCGACACTGACTGTCCGGTCAACCGAAAATTATTGATGTTTACGGTATTATATTTGGTCTTGTTCTTGGTCTTGGCTGTATATACCATGATTAACGATTTGATCAGCATTATGAAAACTGCCAAATCAAGAATGACGATTAGTATAGAATACATTTGTTGAAGGTCCCTCATCTCAAGATGCTCTGCTAGGAAGGTACTGTGGTTCCCTTTCCACCAGGGACGCTGTCAGCTCTAGCAACTACATCACCATAGTCTTTAACACCAATGGCTCTGTCAGAGGAATAAAGTTTCGTCTGAAGTACAAAGCAGGTACACTGACAAAGACAAAACTTTATCGGGGTTTAGGGAATGTGGGGAGGGAGGAACTTCTTTGTGTGCGAACGTGCGTACGTGTTAGTATGCACTAATGTCGGTTTTTGTGTGTGAGGTAGTGGAGATACATGTATATAGATCAATAAAAAAATATATACTTGAAATAGTTGTCTATACACACCTCCTGACATTGACATAAGAGTGATATTAAAAGGGGTATCCACTCAAAAAGGAGAAACAGAAAGAAGTACTGGTACAATTCTTCTACATTTACACAAAACATATAATCTTTGTAAATTGGAGCTTTACAAAACTTGTAAATATTAGTAAATATGATCATTACAAAATTGTCCATTTAGTAAGTATCCAAATTGCTTCTTGTGGATATTCCAGGCAGCGGTAGACAGGTTAACAACTTTTGTTATTTCTACATATAAGTTCTTTTAACGTCTTCCTAAATCTTGCAACATCCTTTTGCAAGGACCTTTATCTTACCTCACACATAAATGTCGTTTTCTGAGTGGGTGAGCGCTCTTCTTTTGATTTCAATGTAACCCACTTACAAGCAAGTAACACTTTTTATTATATTCTTAAGGGTGAAATACTGTAAATATTGGTGAAAATACAGGTATTTTCCCTGAGTAGAATAACATGTTATTTCACTGAGTTATATATCACTTTTGCCTGGAACTACTTTCTGATTAAATGGTTATGCAGACTTACTCGATGTCTCGATCATTTATACACAATGATCAAAATATAATAAACAGAATGTTTTGTTAATGTTGTCAAGTAACATGTATATTTCATCTCGTGGTCTGACAAAGTTTATATGTTCATTGTGCCACTAGTGAACATAACAACTTTGTCAGACCACGAGATGAAATATACATGTTATTTGACAACATTAACAAAATATCCTCTATTTATGTTACTCGCTGGGAATGCCGAACTGTGGGAATTCATTTGGTACTTTGTGTTAGTAATTCTTTATCTCGAAACATCGAGTCACGTATGATGTACGGAAATTACCGATGTTTTGCAAATGCAAATCGATGGAAGGGAGATAACTCTACCTTGATTTTCTTATTGTCTAACTCTGGTACTTATTATGATCCGAGAACCCTGCTTCAAACAGTTCCAAATTGACATTGATGTGTTCGGTTGATTTACCCTGTATATTTGAATATGTTCAGGGAACATAAATTCATGATTCATGGAGATCTCGTAGGCTTGTAAGCGCTCTTAGAAAATATAAGCACATTGGACGAATTGTCTTGGTGCGAATAATGTTGATTTGTAGTTTCGTTAATATATATAAGTTCACCTACTGCCATGTCTCTTTGACTGTGATTGTAGTGATACCAACCGCCGAGCGTGTTTGTGGAAATCGACTCAACGCCGAAGTTTCCATGACGAACTATTTGACGTCTCCTGGTTACCCCGGCAACTATGGCAAGTAAGAAGATGCATGCAGTTCTGGGAGGATACATACAGTGACAATTACATTACTATAAAGACAATTCCTTGCCAATGTATCAGAAACACATATATTAGCGCTGAGAAATCTAAACATCTAAACAATTGTAGGACTCTGACCATATCCCAACCTGTTTAGGAAGGCCCTTTCAACCATGAGGAATCAAGTTCTTGATCCAGTGAGTGAGTTAATTTAGTTTTACGCCGCACTCAGCAATATTCCAGCTATATGGCGGCGGTCTCTGACTAATCGAGTCTGGACCAGACAATCCAGTGATAACAGCATGATCATCGATCTACGCAGTTGGGATGCAATGATATGTGTCAACCCAGTCAGCGAGTCTGACCACCCGATCCCGTCAGTCGCCTCTTACGACAAGCATGGGTTACTGAAGATCAATTCTAACCCGGATCTTCTCGGGTAGTTCTTGATCCGAGATACGGACGTTGTATTGCAGAGCCGTCGTCCTAAAGCATGACGTGGTCCTATCATCCTTTGATCCTGCATCATATGTGTTTTAGTTTGCCTTACCTGTTTAAAAGACCTAATGTTACTGGCAAAACATGTAAACGTCCGTCTCTAAAACAAAGCATCATGATCGTAATCTAGAAATAATTCAAATTGTTTATTGTTTGCTCAATGTAAAAGCACAGGAGTAATCTAACAGAGACAGTTATCTACTTTCATGTATGTCGCCTCCGCACAGCGAACCGCTGTATGGGACAGCCAAGGTGGGGAAATTACCATATTTTCTACTTCTGTCAAGATATATTTTTCAACCAGCAGATTTTTGCCGTTCTACGCAGCAGACAATATAAAAAAGTCACATATCCATTTAGTTGTAAAATATATACCTGCGATAGAATGTCAAAAAAGTTTTTGGCACCGCGATCATATGATTACCGGTGTGTCTGGATTGTCTGGTGCGTTGCTATTCGTCGGCAAGCTGAAAAGCCTTAATGTTTTGCGTGAGCGGAGGGTAATACCGGTACAATAGGACATAGTTGCCGTATTGAATAGGCCCCGATATCATCACTAACTTTTTGTGAAATTTCATGTAATTTTCATGTCGAGTTTGCTTTCAGTTTACAAATTGTTCGGCAATTTCTGACATTAACGTTTCATAATTACATAATATTTACATTTCCGAAGAGAAATGGTAGGGAGGGGAACCAATGTAACGGATGAGTTGTCTTGTTCCTTTCTTGAGGTTGTGTTCTTGGAGCTAATTCCTCTCTTTAATATAACTTTGCCGAGTGAATAATGTCTACTGCTGGAACAACTGAAGTAGTTGAATGTGGAAAAACAACGGATGACATGCAGAAGTCCATGACTTCAATAAGCACTCTCTATTATCAGATAATACATATCTTAACATAATCAATAGGACCATGTGGGACAAATCCATCTTTGGCTCACCGGAAACGTCACATTATACATTTTTTAATTCTTGCAATGTGTGAATGAACAATATCAGACGTCTTTAAATGTCACACACACGTGTGGGTTTACCTTTGATTATGCTGGAATGAACAACCCTGACAAATATGAATGAAAAAAGCACATTGAAGAGAAAATCTGTAATTCTGTTTCGTGGCCAAATTCCAAAGACGATCAACCTAGGGCCAAGCATCTGCTCCAAGTATGTTTCTTCATAACCCCTGAAATGAGCTGTTTGGATATATTTGACCTGAGCGGTGCGAGACCAATACACTCATGTGCTGAAACATGCAAAGTCTAAATCTTATTATGTCACTGAACATTCAAAACAGCTTGATAGCAAAGAAAGATGAAAATGGGTCACCGAAACCGAGTTAGTGAGACTTATTCCAGGGTCTTTTCTGTGATTGAAAAATTTAGAAAGTTCAATAATTGATGAAAATACAAAAGCAAAATGCATATTATATACTTTGCACCACAAATACATTGTACGTAATTACTCCAATGCGTTTGAAATGGACAATCATTGTATGAAAATTTGAAAGTATTTTACATTTCCCAAAATCTGTAACAAAGTATAAAAGGCAACGTAAAAATGACAGGCAGTAGACATTCGATTACAAACGAAAATCCAATTATGCTTCAATTATGAGATCGAATTCCAAGCATTTTAATACTGAATGTCATTAGCTGGAGATTGCAAAATCACAGATGTAAATATTCTTTTAAAAAAGAGAAAGTCAATGAATGTTCTCTTTCTAGCATTATCAATCCGTTAATTAGTTTTTAAGATATTTTGAAACTTCTTGAGTCAATCTGTAAAATAAGACTTCTCAGTCAAGTTGTAAAATGGCTGAAACATTTACGTATTTTGTAAATTGGTTATGTTCTATGGTATTATAAACATGCATGGCAGTTTAAATTAGCAACTGCGATTGTTAGTGGCTGTACCCTCAAATGGGGTTCAAGAACAGTAACATTATTGTCCTCCTGAGAGGGTACGTAAGTCCCAAAACTTTCAAAGTCAATATAGCTCAACCATACTTTTTAATCGTAGTATTTTTGTTATAATTTTAAATTTCGGCTAAATTTGTCCTACAATCGCCAGCTGCTGAAGGGATGGTGTAAATCCAACTAGGGTCCATGTAGGTAGCAAAGGCACTGTAAGTCCCCATGGTCTATAGGTGACCTATAGCCCATTTTTATACTGTTTTGTCCTAATTTGAAATCCAATTTTATAGAGAGATGCTAGTTTTATTTCTTGATACTGTGATATTCTAGTTGGTTTTATTTATAATTTACATATATTTGTGGTGATGCAAAATTTGTTTTAGTCACGATATGGCTGAAATATTGCCGATGTTACTGTAAACCTTAACTCACTTAATCACTTGTAAATTGGTAAGAACCATGCCATGTTCATATTGCCTTTAACATATAAAGGATTATATTTCTATGTGGTCGTTTAATATACTCAGCAGCAAAAAACGTCAGTACGAATTCAAAATTACATAGGCACTGTAATCAAATCATTACAGAAATGGGCATAATAAGCAGCTCAAAAAGTTTTTTGTGTACAATATCTTGACACATCTTGACACATCAATGAATAGCACAATTTCAAGACATTGCGTGGACGTTTGCAGTCCATTCAGACTCCTGACTTCAGTGTCTAGTGTGACCACCACGAGCGGCAATAACCGCAGCACAGCGTCTATGCATAGAGCGCACCAATCGATTGATGAAGGCCATTGGTACCTGGAACTACACTCTGAGAAAGGCCTGGCGCAATAAATCGGCTGTGTTCGGCCTTGGTATGACTTTATTCAGTCTCCTCTGAATTCATACTAAAGATGTTCAATTTGGTTTAAATCAGGACTAAGGGCTGGCCACTGCACAATGTTGACACCGTTCTGCTGTAGGAAGTCCCGTGTAGCTCTGGCAGTATGGGCCTGGGCGTTATCATGCTGGATAATGTGCGAAAATGTGGTATAACGTGGGGTCTGAGAGCTTGGTCGATGTAGCTCACCGCTATGATACCGCCTCCTCTCCCTGGACCAAGGCTCTGGAACACCACAGGACCCACTCTCTGGTCCAGGCCTATTCCACCCCATACCATGATGCTTTTATAGGGCTGGTCCTTGTGAACAGCACGTGTAGCATTAGTTGCATTCAAAACATGGAGAACACCGTACCATCTCCGAGATCAGGTTGCGTTTTTGAGACCATTACCTTGGTTCCATTCTGAGTTTTGGAAGGTAAAGTTGGAGATGTTGTCAAATATTACAATCAAAACATTATATGAGTTTTCAGTTATCCGTTTCTTCGAAGGAAAATTCCAAACTGACGTTTCTTTTGCTGCTCAGTATATTTTCCTTGACATTTTCTTTGCAGCAACGTATCTTGCACGTGGACAATATCTACAACAAATGGAAATAAGATAAAAGTTGAAATCATGTCCCTTTCTTTGCAACTCTCGGAAGGATGTACACGTGACTATCTTCTCTTTGTTGACAGTAAGCAGAAACATTTCTTTAGGCAAATGCTTATATATTCAACTCTTTTTAAAGAGTATAAAAAGTTATACTTTTTATCAATAATGCATATACGTTGTCTCTGGTTGACTAAAGTTACTTCTTAACTGACGATTTAAGTGAGTCACTGACGGGTCGCTGACTAACTAGCCCAACGTTTTGTTTCTAGATTGCAATGTTTAAACTTTGCCAATTCGGTAATGATTATAACCAAGAAAAATACCTATTCTAGATTCCTCGTCTAGCGCCTCACCGTTGGCTAAATACTGTGATACCTTCCTCAAGAACGTCGTAAGCTCCAGCAACTACATGATCATCACGTTCCACACCGACGAATCTGTTACAAGAGGGTTTTCTTTGAAATACACGGCGACGCGAGGTACTCACATTTACTTGTTCCTTTCAGAAAACAAATACATTTATTCTCTTCTTTTGAATTGGAAAAGAAAACTGAAAATTTATACATCTGTGTATTGCTTTACAAAAATCAAGAATTGTTTGATGAGTATGTTTAATTCATGTTACGCCATGCCAACTGAGGGGGGGGGGGGGGTTTAGCCTGATGGTTAAAGCGTTCTCTCGTCACGCCGAAGACCCGGGTTCGAATCCCCACATGGGTACAGTGTGTGAAGCCCATATCTGGTGTCCCCCGCCGTGATATTGCCGAAATATTAATACAGGCGGCGTGAAACTAAACTCACTCACTCATTCATGCCTCTGAAGTGGTAGAGATTCTTTAAGCTTCACATCATGATGATTCAGAGTTTTCTAAAAACAGCTCGATCTCTGCTATCAAATAAATATGAATAACCCAACGCTCGTTATGTATATAAAATCGATCTTTGAATATGGACGATTGTTTTGTTTGTACAATATAAATATTTCGTTATGAAAACTCGAATACTGCCACAACAAATATGCCGTAAAACTGGCCCATACATTATATTGCGGTACATTGTATATGCATACATGTCCCTATTTCTGCCCTTCACGTTCAAACAGTCATGGAAATATACACCTGTGCAAAGTTAAGCACCACCTACATATTGGTGTTAGTTTTGAAACTATATTCGTCTTGGGTATATAATGCATAAGTGGAATGGTGTTGTGTGTCTGCTTAAAAGCCACCATCGTTTTTAACGCCTGAGAATCATTACAGGAGACAAATTATCAAAAAATGTAGAATATATTCGTAACGTTTGTTCAGCACTTAAAATGCAGAAAATGGGACCTGAACCAACTTTGATTGTCAGCCACCAATGCAATCTCGCACAATCATGGATTATGTAATGCACAATCCCTCTGTGTAGTCTCATCAATTTCGGGTATAACCACCCTGCGCACGGATAACATGTCTGACGCGTTTTCTCGTGCTGTGAACCAATCGTTCGATTCTCCAAATCGGAATCCTCTGCCACTCCTCTTGGAGAACCTGAACCAGTTCTTGCACAGTTTGCACAGGGGGATTCCTCCTTCTGATTTACCGACCCATTACGTCCCTCACATGATCAATGGGATTTAAATCTGGGCTTCGGGCTGGCCAATAAGGAAGAGTCTCAATGGCGTTCCTCCTGAGGAAGTCAGTGACGGCACGAGCAGAATGAGGCCGAGCATTGTCATCCATGAATATTGGTCTGGATGCTAGTGGATGTCCATCAAAATGTGGTACGACCTGATTGTCAAGAATTTGTTGGTAACCTTGCCCATTAAGGTTTCCACGAACTTGAACCAGCTGCAGTTTACAATCCTAACAACAACCCCCTATCATAACAGATCCACCATCAAATGGAACTTCCTCAGCAATATTACGCTGGGCATAGGCGGTACCGCGTGCTCTCCACACTCGCAAACGACCACCGATAGCATGAAGCGAAAACCTGCTTCCATCTGACCTGTGGACACGCCTCCAGGTTCTCAAGTTCCAGTGTTCACGAGGCTCTACACCACTCTAGTCGCAGCTGCTTGTGTCTGGCAGACATTAATGGCCGTCGTATTGGTCGTCTTGCTCTTAGTCCGGCACGGTTGAGTCTTCGACGAACAGTACTGGACGAGACTCTGTTACCTGGTCGCCATCCTTCACGTAACTGCCCAGTGTTCGGCCAAGGATTCATTCTGGCTACCCGCATAAGGGTCTCGGTCATCTCTGACACTGCTTCTCCTAGGTCAGCCTGACCTTGGTCTGTCCTTGACATCACCAGTGGCACGATGCTTGGCAATCAATCTGCTTATAACAGTGTGATTAATGTTCAAATATCTACCGATGGCACGACACGACAGACCAGCTCTATGCATACCCAATACTGTAAATCGACAAAGTTCCCCGTCGTCAATGTTTTGCGTGATCAACAACCCAGCCAGTTCTACGTCGTGTTTGTTTTGCGAGTCCACTTTTGTAAAATCAAGTCGAATTGTTGACAATACGTCGTATCGCTTCGCGTGAACGAACATACAAAAGAAGACCAAAGACGTCAAATTTGCAATTAAGCATCGCTAGAAAAGATTATTTACCTATTCAGTTCTAATTTGTTTTGCTAGGCATTGTCTCTTATGCAGGGATTAATTGAGATTACCGTGTGTACTTGTCTCGTATACAGCGCCGGAAATAGCAATCAGCTGTGCAGTGCAGACGTTCCCCTACCGCTGATTTAGTTAAAACGTACCCGATAATATACCGAGATGAATTCTGATGCAGTGATCTTAAAAAGATAGAATCTGAAACTATTGTTTTATAAAGAGAAATATATTCTAGCATTGTGTCATTTTCATTGCAGGTTTTGCTCTATACATGTAAACTATGTATAAGGTTATGCGACAGCCTTTTTGTGTATTGCCGGATAGTTGTTAAGCATGGAACAATTTAACCTGTCACCGATGAGGTTTAGCGCGATCTTACTATTTCCACTGAGAAAGCAGTTTGTTGACATGTGATCGTCCAGCTACACTAGTTATGACTCTTGGCAAAACAAAATATGTATGCGTATCCATTTACTGTCAGCTACACTTCATTTCGAGACGTGAGTAGACGCAAAATGTAAGTGATTGCTGTGAAGTAAGTACATTGTGTTAAGGAATTACCGGTAGGCGAACATCTGGACTTTTTGACATTGTTTGATCACGTAATTTACATGGACCGGTAATAATTGCTTAACAAAATGAGAGATGTCATTACGCCTGGAAAGTTTTACACCTGGAGTTCATTCGCAATACTAGCAAAACTTTCCTGCCCGCAAAACTTTGTCGATTTACAGTATGTGCCATCTGGTGCCCTGGGATAGTTATCGGCGCATAATTTCAAATTGAACTTCACAGAGCAAAATGTTCAAATCTCTCCAGATAAAGTGTGATTTTCAAGCGCAAGGGGTGGTTAACTTTAACCCTTAAAAGCACGCATTTCAAATGAACTGACATTTGTTCATCACTTTGAACAAGCACATGGAAAGTGGATCCTTGTTGGGAATCGTATTGGTTATGTTCATGCGAATTTTTTTTATACTTGGAATTTCCAGTTGAAGTTGGTGGTGCTTAACATATGCACATATGTAGATATTCGATACTAGTTAGTTATTAGTTTATGATGTGTTACATAATGTTGTGTGACAAATGAACAACTGTATTTACTGTTGACGAAAGATTTTGTTGAACGTTACTCTTCCATGGACATGTCTCTGGATATCTTGATATTTCGTGATCGGATTTCTTTGATGCTGTTCGAAGGTTGGCAGTCCCTACATCAACAGTTTGAGTTATTCCGACTAAAAAGGCCTACAAAATCGTTTCATCATAATTACGGCATACAAGGCCTCAAACAAAATTAAAAACTTGACAAAGTGGAAAGAATTTCCTAATTTAACACTTAAATTATGAACATGATAAAGACTATTCTGTTCGATTTGTTTCAGGATGTGGGGAACATCACATGCTAGGATCTTCTGAAACAACATTGATTCAGTCACCGAATTACCCATTTTACTACCCACAGTAAGTAAACAGCAACGGACAAAAGAGAGGGCTTGTAGAACAGGGTTCGTGTATTAGTATCCTGCCTTTTCGTTTTTCATAATTCTGCAAAAATAGCTAGGCAATACACGTGGTACTACTTTTGCCCATAACTGAAAATAATTGTACATTTACAGTCACAAGTGACTAATTCTATATCAAATTCTATATTAAACATACATTCTGTATTTAATTCAAATAGTTCTTTGTGAAAGTATATATTAAAACAAACAGAATTCATAATCACCAATTTTGGGCTGCACCCAAGACTTTACAGATGGACCTGCATTTCAAACCTAAATGTATTACATGCACATTGAGAATACAATGAATCTAAAGTACAGAGGTTACAAAACATGAGTATACTTTCAAAGGTTACTTTCAATACAATTTCGTTTCAGATATTCATATTAAAAAATACATACATGGTTGTGATTTTTTAATATATTATCACCAAACAACACTATGGCAAGATTGACTAACCTTCTAAATTCTTAGAAAACTAAATCTGGTTAATTGTTACTTCCTGAAAGCCACGATCCAAATGATCATGCAGATAATATGGACAGATGAACGCTTTTTGGTGCACACACATGAGCCACTGAGGAAGTCTCGTAAGGACTTATGGAAGCTTCATGTCAATGAAACAGAATGTACATTTGCTTGCTCGGTAGTTACTTAAAATTGACTGTGAGGCTCATACTGAGTGGGTCACTGAGGGACCCAAATTACTCATGAAAATTAAACCATGCTCTTAATGCGGAAATCCGTCATTAACTACCTCAAAAGTGATGTCAATATATCAATACATCCGGACGATTTAATAACAATACAAACATACCGATAAACCAATTAAAACATATTTTGTATCCTACAGCCTAAGCTAATGGCTATTTGACCCAAATACATAGGGCAACATGTCCACATACAATGTGGATGCGAGGAGAATGTTTATTACCACTTAATAAGAATAGATGCGAAGTGTTTGTTAACCACCGCAACTGCACGTGAGCTCCCGACAATATTTTTAGACACTGCAATCACACGCATCTAAGTGTAATCACGACATTGTTTCGCTATAAGGAGTTCTGTTATTGTGTATACTGTACACCTTTTCCTTGTAACACTCATGCTCAGACTCACTGGCGGACTGGCTGACTCATTCATTTGTATATACCACGTGCCAAAGTTGTTTTTCCATTTGTTGTTTCAATACATATTTCAGAAATGCGGACTGTGAGTGGACAGTCAGCACTGATGTCGACGCATATGTAATCCATGTCAAAGTGAAGTATTTCGACCTTGAGTTTTCCCTTAAGTGTTCTCTCTGACTATTTACAACTCTACAATGGTAATTGCCTATCAAACTATTTTCTATAATAGTGTTACAATGACAGTGGGGTTTCATTTATGTTAAATAAGTTAATTACAGATCATTCATTGTTACTACAACTACTGCGTGTGAAACCCTGTTGTTCCTTTAAACTAAAATTGTGAACGTCCACGGTAGTGGTTACAAATGCGTTCGGATTATCCAGGTTTCAAAGTATTTTTGTTTCCACATTTGTTGATTTATGCATGCTACATGAGAAAATATATGTTCAAGAGTCATTGGTTCATATATCACCTAAAATATCGGGTGGTGGGGTAGCCTAGTGGATAAAGCGTTCGCTCGTTACGCCGAAGACCCGGGTTCGAATCCCCATATGGGTACAATATGTGAAGCCCATTTCTGGTGTCCCCCGCCGTGATATTACTGGAATATTGCTAAAAGCGGCGTAAAGCCAAACTCAATCAATCAATCAATCAATCCGAAAATATCTATAAAGAAAGGTTTACTGTTCTACGTAAGTTTAAATGTTCTAAATCCTATTTGACACAGCATTTTGTACATCACCAACGTTTTCAATTTCAGCTTCTTTTTTTTTAATCTGCATATTTATCCAATTTATGTTTTGTGTCAGTCGTGGAATTATATGAATACTCGCTCGGTCGATGGTGTGGGTCGGATGGCCCAAATACACAGAGTACAGGGACGAGCATGAAGGTTCGATTCCACACTGACGACGCCTGGTCCAACCGTGGATTTGAGTTAGCTTTCACCACCGGCGAGAAAACATTGGCGGGTATGTTTCCTTAGATGTATGTGTGTATGAAAATACATTAAGAGTGTACACTCACTCACTCACTCACTCACTCACTACAGAAGCAATATACCTTCCCCTTTGTGTTTTTCATAATCACAATACCTTTGCTATAGTTTGCATACTCCAGATATTCGCAATATTCAAGCAATATCAGAAAAGAGGTTCAAACATTGTACCCATGTGGAGAATCGAACACGGGATTCCCGCGTGACGCTTTAACCACTGGGCTACCCCACCGCCCGTCAGTTGCAGTTACCATGAGTCAATACTACACATTATATACTGATTTCTACCTACACAGAACTTTAGGCTGGACAAATGGTTAAATGTAATACTGTTATCAATCGGGGGCGGTGGGGTAGCCTCGTGATTAACACGTTCGCTCATTACGCGGAAGACCCGGCTTCGATTTTCCACTTGGGTTCATTGGTGAAAGCACATTTGTGGTGTCCCCTGCCATGGTATTGCTGGAATACTGCTAAAAGCTGCGTAAATGTGAACTCATTCACTGTTATCAGCCTCATCTGTAGTTACTGAGCTCAATATATACAATTTTGATTTTGACATGCCCCCCACACACAGCTATACAAACTTTCTGATAGTGTGTTCAAAATAGGTTCCCGATCGCACGTTAATTGATTCAGTGATATGACGATGCAACATTATTGACACTTTTCTTTACATCTATGTGGGGCAGTGGGGTAGGCTAGTGCTTGAAACATTCGAAGAGCCGGGTTCGATTCCGCACATGGCTGCAATGTTTGAAGCCCATTTCTGGGGTCCCTCGATGTTGCTGGAATATTCCTGAAAAGCACCTTCACTTACTTTAACTCGACAGTGTTTCTTTCTTTGTTGTTTTTTGTCCAGATACGGCACCGAACGTTGGAGGCATAATTGGAGGGGTGACTGGCTTCATTGTCGCCATGGCAGTTGTACCAGTCGGCTGTTATGCAATTTACAAAAGGAAAAAAGACACTCGCAATGGCCAGTTTCAAAGGAACAGATCACGCGACGCCAACGTGAATACTGTCTTTCCCCCCCCTATCCACAATCTCCCAGCGACTACAACTTCTCCAACGGCCGTGTTTGACGCGCCCCCAAGTTACCACGAAGCTGTGAAGAATGATCCCCCTCCGTACAGTCAGATAGCTTCGCTTTTGCTCTCACAGCCTCATGAGACTCCACCTCCTACCTATCAAATGACAGATAACTCAGTAGTTGTTAGTGAAGTATAGTTGAGAGAGAGAGAGAGAGAGAGAGAGAGAGAGAGAGAGAGAGAGAGAGGGGAGATGGGGGAGATGGGGAGGATGCGTCCGAAAATAACAATACAATGTATATATATAGCATATGCTTATACATACACATACACACACACACAGATATATATATATATATACATACATGTTTGTGTGTATGTATGTATATATGTTTGTATGTATGTGTATGTTTGGATGGATGGATGGATGGATGGATGGATGGATGGATGTGTGTGTGTTTATGTATGCACACACATATAATATTTGATATGTGTATATATTTATATATGTGTGTGTATATTATTGTGTGTATATGTATATGTATAAATATGTGTATATGTATTACATTTTAACATATATATGTATGGAACGTGAGAGAGGGAGAGAAAGGGAGAGTGAGAAAGAGAAATAGTCATGTGTTATAAGCATTATTGTTATAGACGTATACAATGCTATAAGCTTTATTATGTAGGCAGTCGTTTACCATTGCGTGAAAAACATCCATGTGTGCCTTCCTACAAATTAGCAGTTTGACCCTTGATGTCTAACAGTCAATAACTGAACCTTATTTTCACGCTATTTGATGTCAAAGCCATTTGATCATAAAGATATTTATGGCTTGCTATTTTGTCTTGTTTTCTGAAAATACTTGTCCGTTCTTGTTTTGCAGAAAAGAGTATACGTAAAAGGTATATATCTGTATAACTATTGTGTTTACACGACTGTTCTTGAACCAGAGCTGTACATTTTGAAACTTACTCAGAATAGAGACCTACTACGTATTCTGTGTAAATTTACATGCATGGGCCATAAGCTAAATGTACAGCAAAATCGATATGATAAATATATAAATATTTAATTGCTGAAGTGTGCAAAATGTAATCATATGTCATCCAAGATGAGTTTCACTTTTCATTGCTTTGTCCATACTATATGATGAAAGCAGAAAACTGTTGTTACCAAGTTATGTTTATACTTATCCAAAACATGAACACTTTATTTTGTTAATGTCTTCGCAAAATTTAGAATGCTTAAAAAATCTTGCAATCTCTCTGAAACGAAGTCTACCAATTTAATTTGCATAATATGTAAATAATAACTTCGATGTCCATGAGCACTGAAATTATGTATTATACTCTTTTGTACTATTGGCCACGAGGCCTTGAATACGAATAAACTTCTTCTTCTTGTATATGTGGCGCTGAATGTTGCAATGTTTATACACAAAGAAGCATTAGTACACTTTAGGGAGTAAAAAGGAGATCAAGCTACAATGACAGGAATATTTGGCATACCTCCACGTTGTAGATAATTGTCTTTGTAATTGCTTGTTAATATACTTATTTTATATAAGAAATAATTCTTTGTGTTTCTATTTATGATGACGAGGTCTGTTACACATCACATGCTTCATACGGGATCGGGTGGTCAGGCTCGCTGACTTTGTTGACACATGTCATCGTATCCCAATTGCGTATGATGTTGATCACTGGATTGTCTGGTCCAGACTCGATTATTTACAGACCGCCACCGTGTAGCTGGAATATTGCTTAGCGCGGCGTATAACTAAACTCACTCACTCACCCAGTGAAACATGTCGTGGTAAGTCCTGCCGTATGTCAGGAAGGTTGGCCTCGTCGTCCAGTGTTGCAGGCGCATTTCATGGTGCGGTGGGGACGTATGTAATCTTCAAGTCCTTGAATGACATTAAGAAGCAATACACACATGTCAGAGATTTCATGAATGTCCGCCTCATTATTGGAACACTTTATTCGGAGTGTGTGCTGACACCTGATGTTCGTGTCATTGACATGCACAAATTATTTCCCTCCTTCTCTAAGGTCAACTTGTGAGCGAAGTCAGAATGACAAATTCCAATCCTTTTTCAAAGGAATTCATCCCAGAACATTCAGGATGTATTCGAAACATTTACTCATTTTACATAATATAATAATTCAGCTATAATTGCGTTTGAGTTTAAAATGCTAATATGGATCGATTGAATGCGCAGATATCTTGACAGAGAAACATGACTGAAGCACCAGTAAAACAAAACTGTTGGAAATCGATTCTCGACACAGGTACCTGAGTGATTCAATCGGGTTTACGAGCTCTTTAAACAATATTGACCAAGATAATGTATTTTATATTATAGACACACATATGAAGGGATATTTAGAATGATATATTTGTCAAGCCTTGATATGAAGTACTTTCTTAATACATCCACCCGTAATCAGAAATACCATGAAAAAGACTCGAGAACATGGACATCACGGCGTGACTGTTCTGATCAGCATCGGTACATATACCAAATCCATCTTAAATTTATAAGTACGGTATGCAAATTCAAGTCACACTAAAATAATTAAGTCATCACATTCGTGAAGATCCGGGTTAGAATTGATCTTCAGCAACCCACATGCATGCTGTAGTAAGAGGTCAATAACGGGATCGGGTGGTCAGGCTCGCTGACTTGGTTGACACATGTCATCGTATCACAATTGTGCAGATCGATGCTCATGCTGTTGATCACTGGATTGTCTGGTCCACACTCGATTATTTACCGACCACCGCCAAATAGGTGGAATATTGCTTAGTGCGGCGTAAAGCTACACTCAGTCACTTACTCACGCAGTAGTCATTGCTCTGATGAAGCACAAACTTGCGCGCATAAGATGTGTATTTGTACATCAGCTAGATGTGGGAGTGAGCCATAAAATGGCTCGAAGGTCGTTGAACGTCATGGTTGTCTACTGTGGGGATTGCTGTGTGTTGAGTCAATACCTGTTTATCACTCAGGTGGTAATGATATCTGATAACCCTATTTGTCACATGGTGTCTAATCGGGGTCAACTACAGACTTTAGCTTGATACTGAAATATGTCATGTGAGACGTGATTATTTACAGTAACAGCTCAGGCGGGCGCTGTAAGCGGAGACAGGGCATTATGAACAAACATTGTTTCCTTTCAGTGTGTGTCTTGTTGTTGGGGCCGATCGTTTCAGGTTCAGGTGGGTGTTATACATACAATGAATTTTCGACAAATAGAAACCTCTTAATTTCAAATACCTGTACATATAATGTAAATACCTTACATTCCAGGAAACCTCACAATATCGTTATTTTATATCTGTTGACGAGAACTCTTTACGAAGAAAATATATGTTAACATTTTTTTATCCCTAGAGATGTGTTACATTGTAAATATGGAAGTGAGTGTTGCTGTACATGTGAGAGCGTTAATGTGTGAATGATGAGTTTAGTTCTACGCCGCTTTTAGCAATCTTCCAGCAATATCACGGCAGGGGACACCAGAAAGTATCTTCAAACATTGTACCCATATGAGGAATCGAACCCGGACCTTCGGCATGACAAGCGAACGCTTTAACCACAAGGCTACCAGACCGCGCCATGAGCGTTAATGACTAAACCGACATGTACACAGTTCCACTGAGTCATTAACACACGCAGCTGACAATCTCCACTCGACACTAGCTACCTGGAATACACAATGCCATTAAAAGTGTGGTGAAATGTAACATACGTTAAAATTGGGATTAACATTTCTCAGTAAAGACCAGATTCTAGTTCGTTTATTGGGTTGAGTCGCTGATTTGGTGCTTGCCTCTAAGGGTGTGGGTTCGAATCCCGGATCGGATTCAAACCCAATAAATGAACTAGAATCTGTACTTTACTGAGGATGCGTAAGCTTCAACATAACATGTAGCTAACTGTCTTATTCAACCATAATCTGCAATGACTTGGCACCGGGTTCACGTCGTAAATGAGTTACATGATTAAACAATGGCTCAGTTGATGAACTCGAAACTTGTTAAAGAGAGACGTTGTTAGGCTCTAACTTTCCTGCTTATCAAAGTTTCACGATATTTGTCAATACATCTGTACAATCATAGTTTTGTTCAAATCAAACCTAAAACAAAATGATCACACTACATGAACACGTCAATCATATTTTCCTTCTCCTTTACTACATAGTTTGATACCTATGTATAGAATCTTGCTTACACTGACGATTGATAACGTTACTTTTATAATGGTAATAAGACAATGGAAGTATCTTCAATTTGAATTTGTCTGCGAATTCTTAGTTAAGGTACCAAAAGGGTAAAGCATTTGCAGTACGTTTATCGAAGACATGAACAACTGTATGTTTACATAATGTGGCTGAACGTGGTTCTGTTTCGTGTTTCGTGTGGGGTAGCCTAATAGTGATAGCGTAAGCTCGTCACGCTGTAGACCCAGGTTCCCAACATAGATACAGTGTGTGAAGCTCATTTCTGGTGTGCCCCACTATTTTCAGTCGAGGTAGAATGTGTGTCAAATACACTTCGTCCTTTTCACCATGTGCTAGGTTGCATGTAGATATTACGGCGTTAAGTTGTACTTGACACTGAATAATATGAAAATGGCGCTGAAAATATCCCTGTTTTGCATGTGCATTACAGAATGTTTATCGCCTAATTCGACGTCGCAGTATCAATCAGTGGACTCCTAAATGACACGTTTGAATGTGTCACAATCATTAAAGAATAGAAACTTACCTTGAGGTTTTTAAGTCAAGCAAATTATGTCCTTGTCACACCCAGGGGACTCAAGTTGTGGTGGTTCCCTCGTGGCAACATCTTTCGGCAAGACATTTACCTCCCCTGGATACCCAAACACCGACCTCCCGTGAGTAACTTTGATATTATACTGCTTAAAGGACTTATCCAAATGATCCAACTCTGTCAAATTACGATATGATAGGTCTGGCAAGAAGATCAGCTGTAAATTTGATTAGAAATATAGACTGAACTCTAATCTATCTGATCGAGGTTAATTTGTGCAGCTGACCGTGCAGACTTGCGTCCCTTGGGCAAGCCAGAAGACTATAATTGAGGGCTCGAATCCCGGTTCGCTCCTATTTCGTTTCTAGATTTGTCAGCACCGCACCCTGGTTCATGGGTTTTACTAAAGTGGCAAATGAACTTCACTACTGTGCAGTGTGTGAAATAGCTTCCAAACTTTGCTAGCCAGTCGGGCTAGCTATGACTGAAAGTTATATAAGCCCACAACATAATTCGAAATCTGAGTGGAGACACGGGTTTCATCATTAAGCTGCTAATATGATGAACATATTTATCAGCCCATAATCTTGCATGATTTAAAAGTGTATTACAATTAACAACTCGGAGAGAGTTATATATTTACAAAATGACCTCATGAAAATTCACTAGTCAGTCGGGCCAGTAACTGTGGCCATTACTTGCCCAACTGGATTTTTACTAGCCACAGGCTAGCTGGCCAGTGGTTATTTCCCACACTGCTACTGTGGCATTCTCCCCACATGTATACCACAAGTGTTGAATGGTCAACTCGAAACTCGAATAGTGTTTGACTGGGTGATTAGCCCTGTTCAATCACTCACTCACTCACTCACTGGATCGCATATTTGGAAATCTACTTCTAAGGTCTCAAACTATTTTAAAGGGACACTGATATAGTTCCGCATAAAAACTGCGTTTACTGATCGCGGTTGTCTGCTACACAGTTAACAACAACGCCGATGTCTTCTATTTCGTTAGTAACAACGCCGACTATATTTTAGAAACCCATGTGTATGACCTGCCTCTCCCAGTGCAAAAACGCAACGAAATCTCACTCACTGAATTGCGGTGCAAAATATGCATACACATCAGTGAGTGAGCAAATCGGGTTCTGTGATGCTTAAAGCAATATTTCAGTTACGCAATATTCGCAGCAAGTAACACCAGAAATTGGATTCATGAATTGTGTCCATGTAAGGTGTTGAGCCTGGGCTTACGTTTTACGAACTCCCCAAACAGGGCTCCTTCTGCACTCTTTCAGATATTTCAATTTCGTGTGTTGGTAGTTCTTGATTTGCCCAAAACTCACTTACAAACTGCTATGTTTTCAGGGCACAATCATGTACCTGGACTATTACAGCAGAACGAAACCAAACTATTTTATTGTCCGCCATGGACTCGGTACTTGAGAACTACAACTCACAAAGAACTTGTGACAGAGATTATGTGGCTGTTTATAATGGTCAGTACGGTAAGTAAAGATTTATTTGATCGTCATCATCCTATTACATTTTCGATAAGTAAATATAAATGTTCCATCAGAAAATGAAAACATTATTCTACATTATGATGGCTTAATAATGTCTGTAATAATATACAGAATACTGCGTTCATATCGAACTGATATGACAAACTGTTTGTTCATTTGTTTGTTCGGACCCGTTCATTTTATATTTTTATAACGGCGTATTCATGTAATGTATATTCTGTTTGTCCACACCTCCTATGACTGACTGACTGAGTTTGTTTTTTACGCCGCTTTTAGCAATATTCAAGCAACATCATGGCGGGGGACACCAGAAATGGGCTTCACACATTGTGTCCACGTGGAGATTCGAACCCGGGTCTTCGGCGTGACGAGCCAACGCTTTAACCATTAGGCTACCCCACCTCCTATGAAACCATTGGGTTCATAAAGCTTAATGTTTGTGTTTAAGGTCAATGTCCCATGAATGTATGAACAGTGCAACACCGTGGCTGCTTAATAGGCTTAATGTTGACCATCAACCTCTACCTGATTTTGTAAAAAAGCAGTATGAAGAGTATGTGTAGTAACATGGCCTTGCGTTTCATTCTAAGTGTGGTTCCATTAGCTACCCTGTGTTACCATGTGTGTCTATTATGGAGATGTGTGTCCGTGTGCATATTTGGAATTCTATGTAGACTGTGAAATACAGTCTAATGAGAAAGCAAGACTGACGTGTGAATTTCATATTTTCAAAAGAAGTCGAATTGATAAAGCAGTAAATTTTATATTGATATTCCAAATTCATCTGAGAATAGCGGAATAGTTTCTTGTCATTACACTAAGCGCCAAAAGGAACGTTATCCTCCTACCTTTATGAATTACTTCAATACTATCAAAGATATGTTAGAAGGTATTAATTCAGAAGAAAGCTTAACAACATAGCTTTATGCAAATCACAAATATATTTTGGTGAAATGCATCGTTTTCAGAAGAGTTAAATTGTCCTATTTTCGTCCATGCCGAAATATACCAATAACACTGATTTAGATGTCACAAACAAAGGTTGACATATAATTCTGCTTTGAGACAAAGAAAAGCCATTTAAAGTCACCATTTTTCAACTATTAAAACAAGAAACAATTGTTGTAAATTGTAAAATAGTCATTCCTATGATTTCTGTCTTTTAAAACATTTTCTGCTGATTTGCATTAGTGAAAACAGGTAAAACGTGTCTTTGGTATTGTGAAAAATTGTTTAGGAACATCTAAAATTATCTTTGATTAACGTTTTTGTTTGCAAAGTAACTTTTTTTTCATTTTCTGTTTACACATAGCAATATCAATCGCCAAAACGCAGCAATATTCAAGCAGTATTTGCATCCATGTCACATGTAGAATGACTTTTTGGGGTATAAAGAAAGACTATAATGCATGATATGATACACAAGAACGAGCAAAATGCCACGATTAACAGCTGAAGGGAGAGAAAGAGCCACTGGGATGGTGCAGATGGGGTCGACATGCAATGCTCTTGCCAACGCCCTCGGATGCAACCGTATCACGGTTATAAGACTTATTCAGGGCTTCGGACATACTGGGGTTACCGTAGACAGACCAAGAAATGGACGTCCACGCATCACAACGTCCGCCGTAGATAGGTACCTCCGTCATTAAGAAAGGAGGGTGACGTTTCTTTTTGGCGTTTAGTGTATTATTGTGATGAGCAGCAAAGATGTGTGAACATTCTGGCACATGGGTTGGTTAATTAATTCAGTTGGTTGCTTTACAATCTGAATTGTCTCTGTGGAAGGATAATCCGATATGTTTTGCTATTAGAATTGTTTTAACTAATGGAGTGCTTAACATAAAACTAGTCTTTAACTGGTAGGGATTTAGCCGTACGTTTCACAAATGCTGTTAAATAAAAAATGATGATTATTAGTAACGTTTAGTTTCTGTGGCAGCTGACTGATGACAAACATGAATGTCTTGTGGCGTCACATACTCAAAAGCCTGGAGTGTAGGTTGTGGATAGTTCACGTTGGGAAATAATCAAACTTGATGCCTACACTCGGTATTATATTTCACAGATATGAATGAATGAGTAACAATGTATCGTCACATCGGCAATATGTCAGCCACATCATGACGAGAACAATTAATTGTACACATAGTAATTCATGGTAAATTATAAAAACTTGTCAATGAAGGGCAGTAGAATAATTAGATTATCACAGATAAAAATTTAAAACTAGAAATTATATCTAAAACAGTTTAACTATAGATGAAAATACAATTTAAAAACTGCCTATATACTGCCAACAACTGAAGGTAGATCACAATAATAGGGACCATGGGGACTTACAGTACATTTGCTTCCTGCATGGGCTTCACAAAAATGAAGATTATGCTAGTTAGAGGTGATATGTTATGTTCACTGCCAATAGCAATATCACTTTGTCCAGGTGCTGACATGCTCGGCACCTTCTGTGGTCTCCAACAACCCGTCTTCTCCAGCAGCGGGGATTCTATGCGCGTCCATCTTCAAACCGATGGCAGAAACAACCACAAAGGATTCAAAATGATGTACACAGCTGTACCGGGTTTGTATGCAGTGAACAATCTAGATTGTGACTTGGGCGCGCATAAATGCAATTACGATATACAGAGAATCAGAATCAGATTATCAGTTTCAAACCCGCCAATCCATGCATCCGTCCATCTATCTTTCCGTCCAACCACCCATTTACCCAACGGCCCAACCTTCCACCCACCCACCCATCCATCCATCCATCCATCCATCCAAATACACACCCACCTATCCACCCATTCACCCAGCGGCCCATCAGTTAATCCAGAGCGACTTTCAGACGGCCATTTATCCCCCCGCTCATCCATTCATGCGTACTTCCATCCATCCAAATGGTATTGTAATTGTATATGTAATGTCTTGTATCCAATGTCAGCAACGACGTGCAATCTGACGCTGCCTGCAGGGCCGAGTCCAATACATCTTGTCTCCCCCTGGTTACCCTGACAACTATCAACGGTAAACAGAAATTATTTAGATTACTAATTGCATATACATTGAAGGAAGGCCAAGTTCTATGAATAGTCAACTTCTTTATTGCAATGAATGCGACGTATCGGTGTAGGTACTAACACCGTTATCAAGCAATCGCACTTCCATAGAACTTGGTCTTCCTTCATCTATACAACTTCAAAAGTGCCTCTCAAAGAAGTGCATATACAATAATTTGAATAGACACTCCGATTCTCTCGGTAACCATGCTTTACGGAAATATACATACATGGGTATAAAATTATTCTTGCATGGTGGAAATCTGCCTGTTGATTCCAATGGATTAGTTAACACATTATCTCTGTTCTAATGATGCAATGTACCACCCTTTCACAAAGACAATACTGCAATAAGCTACTTGTTACACTAACACTGGATGAAACTATTGGTACAATTCGGATTCCAAAGAGAAATAAATATAGCGTTGATCGGAACAACAAGACAAGGTAATAGAAGTAAACTAAATGAAGAAAATGTTTCATATAGAGAACGTGATATATCAAAGATAACGAAATAACTACAACGATTTCCTTAATACTCGAAATGAGGATGTTAATGCTGCTGTTAACGTAGCACAACTTTTTACTTTTTCCAACTGTGCTCATCTGAACAACGCCTTGATCTGTGCGTGAACACTCTATGTGTTGTAAAAACATACTGAGGGAAAAAAATAAGGGATCACATGAAAGCATTAGTGTTCCTTTATTTTTCCCAAGGTTTCTTTACAAACTTTGAATCGCACAGCTTGTGAAAAAACTGGTAAAAAATAAAGGAACACTTGTGCTTTCATGTGATCCCTTATTTTTTTTCCCTCAGTATATGTTAACAACACTGATCATTTACTAATTCCGTAATAGTGTCAATCACACTTTTTATAATTAAATTATTATATATTGATTTACATACAATCATAAATATTTATTGAGAAATATTCCAGCTATACTATGATGCCTGTCTGTAGTTGGCATAGGGCCTAGTCATGACCAGAAAATTCAGTGATTGACATCATAGGTATTTATCAACATTATTGGCATATGCATCAACTCGCTTACCGAGCCATACAACCCGATGCGGTTTGTCGCCTCCTCGGTTGTCGGTCAATGTTAACTCAAATTATAGTATTATTGCTGATAACACGTCACAATTTAATTCTGAAAACCTAAAAGTCCAGAAACTACCTGCAATGTGACCAGTTTATCATCAGTTATCATGAATCTATGCTGAGGATGACATATTTTGTTTTCGAAAACCAGAAAAGTTAATGTTGCTCATGTTTTCATATTTTGGAGGTTGTACATGCATGAACGTATGTTTATAAGAATCATGACACACGATTTAACTCATTTGAACTTTATACGGCTAATTTAGAGCGTTTTGAAATATCCCGCAGACATGTATTCTTTCAAGAGCATTATTACAGTGTGATAAGGAACACGACCGCTGTTTCTGATCTCGCCATCTATTTACAGTGGATTACAGTGCCAATGGTCTATTACTGCGCCGTATAGAACCAACATCAATGTTGAAGTTTTGTATATGTATATGGAAAAAACGACATCATGCCTGAACGACTATCTTCTGTTTAAAGACGGTAGGTAAAATTGAGTTATTTGTTATACAAGTTTCTTTTGAGGCAGTTATAGCCCCAGTTATGAGAGGAAACATTCATGTGGACAACACGAGTCGAGAAACCCTTTGTAATTATTTTTGACTAATATATCGTTTTCCGTTTTAATCACATGTGTGTTTTAGAAATACATTGATTGTTCCATCAGTTAAAAACAATGCCTTTTTCCGTTCACATACTATGAAAATTTACAATGATGGAACCATATTATTTTATATTCAAATATTGTGGCGATATGAAAATTCTTCCCTGGACATATTTGATGTTTATCGCCGCCAACAGCATTATTCAAACTGTGCGGTATCAAAACGTGAATACAAGGTCCCGCGCTTTCGGTTTACAAATTAAGCCACTGAAAAACGTTTTCTCCTACTGTCAGACTGGTTTGCTCTTGAGCAATTCTCATCACGTCTAATTCCTTCTGGATGTTATAAACACATTACTATAGCGCGAGTGTCGCCAGTCTTGGGATATTCAACACATTGCAATGACCTTGAATGTTTAAACGTATTTATCGACACAAAGATTCCTTATCATCAACCGAGGTGTTGTTGCTTCGAGGACTGAAAAGTTTGTATAGACGCTTTATACGAATAATTAATTGTTCATTTCTAAATATTATGCTTGTCAGTTATCGCATAAGTCACTGAGATAAGCTCAGATATTGCATAAGTCATAAGAACGATGACAAGTTTAGGAATCGCAACTTTCAAGAATCGTAATCTAACTGAAGTGAGTGAGAGAGTATGGTTTTACGCAGGCTTTAGCAATATTCCAGCAATATCACGGCGGGGGACACAGGAAGATGGGCCTCACACATTGTACCCATGTGGGGAATCGAACCCGCGTCCTCAGCGTGACGAGGGAACGCATTATCCACTAGGCTACCCCATCACCCCCAATCTAACTGAAGACACCATGTTAACAGAAACTGAATCTACTTTCGCCACTTATTCAATAATAAATATTATTTTTAAGGCCCTGAGACTTATGACACACAACTGGCAAAGATCTGTGAAGTGACGTCCACTCCAATCATCAGCATGGACAACCATATGACCATTATATTTCACACAGACAGTTCCGCGACAGGACAAGGCTTTCGTTTGAAGTACTCGAATGGTAATGTTCTTCAAGTCGTTTAATGTGAAACGAAACCAAACAGTTTGGCGTTTGGTGTTTCATTATCATTCATTTGCTGTCTTAGTCTAAAATATACACTGACGATATTTCCTGTCACCAGATGACAGATACATCATATTTGAAATATTCTATTTATTATATGCTTTCAGTTTTGTTTAATCAAATGTAAACATGTTTCTACCATGACTTCAGTAAACACTGGATTGTGATTGGTTAATTAAAGTTATTCAGAGGTATAGAATCACGTTATACAGGTCTCTGATTTTCCGTGCGCAATTATATATTGTTTACGGTAATGCACTTTTTTGTCTGCCTACCAACATGGCGGACACCAAACAACCTACCGATGCATCGATAAATTACGGCGATTTTGCTGTCGGAAATTACACATATGTCTTTAAAGATGGATTTAGCGATGATGGGCACCACTAACTACTTGCGTAAATCACAGCAATGGGTGTTTATACCTACAAAAGTACTTCGAAAGCATAGAAACAAATTAATTTAATATTCAGCCGAACAAGATCAAAACATCGTCTGCTTTCCGAATAAAAATTAAACAAGAAAAATATGTTTACGTTGATTCTATGTCATGTCAAAATAGATTAAGCAATAGACTGCTACATAATTTCCGTATTTAATTTATTATCAGCTTTCCTCAACGATATCGCCACTGTTCTTGATCCGGTAACGGAGGATGCATTAACATCGAACGCAGAAGAAATGTTAATGCCTTCCGTCCACATAAATAAACAGTTGGGTTATCAATTCCAACAAAATGATATATTTTTAGAAATTTGTAGGGTTTCAAATTTAGCGGTAGTAAAACACAATTACAGAATCTGCAAAATTCACTTAAAACCGCTCTGTTTAGCCCAACATATTTCTTTCTAAAAATATAATATCGTTGAAAAAACTATTTAGCTTAGTCATGATCCCTCTTATCCATTACACTGCTTGATCTAAAGTAGTGTATTAAAGTATAATTAATTACCTTACCGTGTTTATGCCAGAGGTACACCCTCATGTCCTGTTCCATCCTTTCGGAAATATCACCACAAATCTGGCTCTTTGTCAACAGCCTCGCGAACATGCCAGCGAATCCGATTCAATTTGAAGCCACTAGGTCACAAAACACTTTCCAAAATGTAGAAAATAATATTTGTAGAAATCGAATTTGAGCACAAAGTACACACATGAGTATGTAAGAGTCATGCGTGAAATCGTCAAGTTGAGAGGGCGCAAAATTCAACAGTATCTAAATTCGGTACAACACGGACTTCTCATCACAGCAAAAGCGCCTCTACTCTTAAATTTCAGTCATATCATCAGGTTAACCTTGCGCAAACTGCTCTCCTGTCGCATCTTTCCAAATTTCCGATATGCAACGTAAAGGTAAACGATGACTTCCGAGAAAAGGTCAAGGCCATGAGGTTGCTGCCATTATTTGGGTTGGGTAAAGGGTCTACGGTGGAATTTGAAAATGGGAACCAAGCTTTTTAAACTTATGTAATATATGTTTTCCAATTTATCAGTTAATGATTGGTGATTAATGCATTGAAAAAACAAAACGTTATTTGTTATTACTGGATCTGGTGTTTGTTAGCTATTGACGGTTTGCCACCAATCACCCCGTTTCGGGCGATGCCACTTGAGATTGGAATGCGAGGCCCCTTCACGTATTGACTCGTAACCAAAGAAAGAGTTCCAACTGAAAGTGTTCATAAAATTGTCATGGTAGAATGGAGATAAACCTACTGTGTTGGAAAATCAGAGGTATATAACAAAATTATAATAGCTCTAAATTTCATTTAAAACCGAAATAATTAATACCTGAAAATTCGATCAGAGGAGGTTGGCCTGATAACCAAATTCATTTGGTGAAATGCATGTGTTCACATAGGCTTATATTCTGCTGTGGAACAAGATACGAGTGAAAACTTTGTTGACCTATGAAATAGTTCAGGCAAAGTTATATCTTTACTGTAGTGAACAAATGTTCGCCACAGTAGTGAAAATATTATTTTCCTGAAAGTCAAAAATCACAGTCTCTCACTCTTAAATAAATAATATAATAAACTTAATAAACCATTAAATTAAGCTGCATCAGCTTATGAGCTACCGTGGTGGACATCGTTGAACATCTCAGGCTCGATTTTATTTGTGTAACAGGCTTTAGACTCCACTAACATTAACTAATATTTGTTTGGTGACCTAATCGTCTATTTCGTAAATAGTATTTATCATCAATGTACATTTTCACTTTTGTTGTCGCAGATTTCACTTGTGGAACACCAGATCTCCGCGCCTCACCCAATACAGAGACGTATCTGACCTCACCCGGCTATCCTTCATACTATTATTAGTAAGTGCAACACTACTGTTAAATGAATAATACAACATTTAATCCGTAACACAAGACAGGGACCAAAGAATTACAATTACTACCACGATAAGCCAGTAGACCTATACTATTGACTCAATATAGGGCAATGTTTATCATTAAACATAACAGCAAGCAGACCTACACCCCTGCTAAGGAAGTTCATATGAGCATTAGCATGTCCACAGGACAAGATGCTTGCGTGTAAAGCACATATGCGCAAGGTGCTATATTGATTAGATAAAGAAATATTTGAATTTTACAAACTTTTGAAAACATATAGGTTTTACTGTGTATAATTGAGATTGAATGTAACACGCCCAGTTACATGTAGTTGAGGAGAATAATATGGTTATGGTTGAAAGATGAGGTGAGGTGAGATTGGGTTTAACGTCGTGCTTGAGAATATTTCGCTCATATGATGACGTGCATGTGTGTGTATGTGTATGTGCGGCTGCTGGTACTAGCCCAGACTTAAGCTGGTTTTATAGTACTAGCCCACTGAGATACCATGTCGCAGTGAAGCATGAATACCCCACTCAGACACTTTATACTGACTCCGAGCCGACCAGTCCTTGTACCCATTAATGCCGAGCGACAGACAGGGACCAACAAGTACCATATTTTAACGTCTTTTGGTATGACGCGGTCGGGGATCGACCCCGCGACCTTCCGCTCTTCGGGCGGACGCTCTAACCACTAAACCACGGAGGCGGTCTTATGGTTGAAAGAACTGCCTCTAGGAAGTTATGTGTATCTGTGCTTACACGTTGTGTTTAATAGGAATACATGTGGAATGTGGTGAATACTTTGTGTATTAGCAGCTTTAGTCAGGTAATATCAGCCATACTAGGGAACGTACTAGAAGAAGTGAAAGAACAAATCTCAGAATATTAATCAATGACCAAGATGTTCACTAAAATCGTACATATTTTGGCCGGCGAATGTTATTTTTACATGTGAATGCATGATGTTGGGTGCTTCATTCAAAGCTGGTTCTGATTCTGATTCTATCTGTAGCAACCTACAATGCTCGTGGACAATTTCCGCACCGGCTGGGTATAAAGTAAAAGTCAGCATTGTGTCTCTTGATATTGAAAACTCGACGTCCTGTGAAGCTGACTATCTTCTCTTCAGCGATGGTAAGCTATAAAATCTAAACATATTCCTGTTGCCTTATGTGTTGGAATGTCTTTAACTCGACTATCCCATTAGTCGAAGCTAATTAAAATGACACTGACGTTCATTTTGTTTATGCATATTCGTCACAACTAAAAATAAGAATGTGTCATTATGCTTGTTGACATCTTAAGCGCATCAGCGCGCGATTTATTGGTCTTATAATAACAATTCAGAACTCCCAAATCCGGGAATGATTAGGAGGTACTATTTGTATCAAAGGGTCATCATATGAAGCCGCTGTCCTCGGTAAATATTGTGGTTTTACGGGCAAACAAGTCATCAGCTCCAGTAACCACATGACCATCACCTTCCACACCGACGGCTCTGCAAGAAGGAGAGGCTTTTCTTTAAAATACACAGCTGGAAGATTCCTGCCAACAACCACAACGACAGGTATAACTGAGTTAGGGAATAGATATTTCATTTTCTGGGATGAGGATCCTTATGATCACAATGAACACAAAAAGAAAATGACAACAAGCAGATTATCAGACCACTTACATACCACCATTATGCATACATACGTTGCTTGAAACAATAAACGACAAAAGTTTCCTTCTAATTAATATCCGGCGTGCTCATGTCGCTGAACACGCCATTTTGTGGAAGTCGCTTACAGATAGTGATGTCATACGTACGTCAACATTTTTGTATGTTTGGTATTTTCGCTGAGGTGAGATTATGAATGAAAATACACACGACCAATCAATCCCTCTGCTTACATTTTCAATTCGTATGCTTCTTTCGTATATTACAAAAACATGTTCATGTGATCAATTTCAGAATTAATATCTTTTGATTTGAGACTAGACTAGAGACCAATCTAAATCAAGTGGCGTTTAGCTCGGCAAACAAAGTCCTCATAATGTCATAACATTTCAGCTCTTATATTGAGGTTATATATATTGTAAGAAAATGAGTGTATATTTTCAAGCATTGATGTTAATTAATTCAAAAACTCACATTTGGTCACACATAAAAAAATCGTGATTGTTTCGTGTACACTTCAACCTTAAGGTTCAAGAAATATGTTTTGAAAGACGGTTAAACTGAGTGAGATAAAACCGACAAAATCCTTTCCACATTTACCAGAGTGAGTGTGTGAGTTAAGATTAACGTCAAATCGGCAATATTGCAGCCATATCGTGACGAGAACAGTTGATGTCAATATTCAAATTAATAAATGTCTAACGTAAAATCCTGTCATCGAAGGATAGTGAAACTGCTAGAATACACAGCTGTTAATTTAAAACTAGTACGCTATCATAAAAATATATCACGAGAGACAACAGTACAATATAAGAACGAGCTGTAGGTCACCAGCAACTGAAGGTTGATCACCATGCTAAGGACCATGGGGACTTACAGTACCTTTGCTACCTACATGGACCCTATTTGGATTTTCATCATCCCTTCAGCAGCCGGTGATAGTACTCAAATTTAGCCATAATTAAAATCACACAAAAATCACATTTACAAGAAACGTTAGGTAACGAAAACTAACACTTCTTCGGAAAACTAATGGACGTATTCATATGTTCTACTAAAGCGTTTCCTCTAAAAATGGCCAATTTGGGATTTGACCGACGACTAAAATGAGTTAAATAAAACCGACAAAATCCTTTCCACATTCACCTGAAACACCTACCAAGAGAGACTATATGACAGCACGAAGATCTGTTTTTGAATCACTAACAAATACTGATGATACCACGTGATACCACAGTATCAGGCCCCACAGGTCCACCCGCCATGCACACATGTACCCTCTACATCCACGGGAACTATGATACAAGTCAACATATGCAAGCCAACATAATATCCGACACCTATCTGAGGCTTATACATGCACAGGAATATTCAGTGTTGATCTTGCTTATTTTCACATAGGGGCGGTGGGGTAGCCTAGTGGTTATAGCGTTCACTTCACACCGAAGATTTGGGTTCAATTCCCACATGGGTACAATGTGTGAAACCCATTTCTGGTGTTCCCCGTCGTGATATTGATGGAATATTGCTAAAAACGGTTTAAAACTAAACTTACTCACTCACTATTTTCAAATGTTCCAACATCTCGAAAATGAGCATTTTTCGGTATTTTAGCTAAATTACGTCTAGTGTTGTCTAATCAAAATCAGCAACGAATTTCTTAACTCTTCTACACATTTCTTAATGATGCACATCTCTTATGGATCTTAGCATATCTCAACCTTTAAACCTTTTTAAGTCTTTGATCCGATTTTTGTCAACTGGTGTTACCTGTGAATATTGCTAATTGTAAAATGGTTCATATTGTTTGCAACTGTAATTATATCGGCGATTGTTCGTAATTGATTGTTTAAAACAAAGTGTTTCAAATCAACTCGGATGGGATTGCTGTGACTAAAGTATTCCTTGGTTTCCATATTGTTTGTGTAGTGACACCATATGTGCCAAGTTGTGGAACGTCAAGGCTCAGTGCCACTTCCACGTGGAACCTATTGTCGTCTCCTAGTCTCCCAAGCAATTATGCAGGGTAAGTAGATGCATACAAGAAATGCCCGCTGTTGAATAAGCCACATGTTATACACAACCTCAAGATGCTACGATAGAAGAATATTTCAACCCTTTCCACGACTGTGTCGAGCATGTGTACTTCGGGAAGTGCATCATGACATTTGAGCACCTTTAACAACATAATCAGATTTCGAAGGAGGTGAGGTAAGGTGGAATTTGATTTAACGTCGTGCTTGAGAATACTTCGCTCATATGACGACGTGCATGCGTGTGTATGTGTATGTGCGACTGCTTGTACTAGCCCAGACTTAAGCTGGTTTTATAGTGCTAGCCCACTGAGATACCATGCCGCAGTGAAGCATGAATACCCCACTCAGACACATTATGCTGACTCCGAGCCGACCAGTCCTTGTACCCATTAATGCCGAGCGCCAGGCAGGGACCAACAAGTACCATATTTTAATGTCTTTTGGTATGACGAACCCGCGACCTTCCGCTCTCTGAGCGGACGCTCTAACCACTACGGAGGCGGTCGATTTTGAAGGATCTGTCGAAAACCACATACAACCTCTACAAATCTGGTGCCGAAATCACCGCAGTTTATATTTGGTCTAGTTATGCACTCGGTAGTCCAAACACTTTAATGGTTCAGGATAGTTCACCAAAGGTGGAAACTGTACATTCATTTTCGCTGCCCCCTTTTGGTCCTGTATTTTTCTTTTAAACTGGTAACATGTAAAGCCGCGATATTGATGGAGTATTGTCAAAACGAACTGTATTCATTCACTAAATGTTACGACCAGCTGATAGTAAAGATGTTCATAACGACAATTCACATAATGTTACTTGAGTTTCAATATATATGGTTGGCTGCCCTTGATTTTTGGTATGATCTGTTCCTCCATGAGAAGTGATGCTGTAATATCCTGTGTTTAGCCAAGTAAACTGCAGCTGGAGAATTTCTGCTCTTGTTGGAAATGAAGTATCCGTTGAAATTGAGGAACTGTCTATAGGAGAATCAACATCGTGTGCAGGGAATTACCTTCTCGTCAGTGACGGTAAGCACAATGTCTGTATTCGACAAATATTTGTTCTTCATCTCAAAATGTGTTTGAATAACACTGATCAATGAAGGAGTAACATTGGTCTTTTGCAAGTTCTAAACAGGCTGAGGTTTTGCTTTCATATACTATGGTTAAAGTATCATTGGTATTATAAAAAAGCGTCATAACTCACCAATGTACGAGTGATGGTTGTCATGAAATATATTTATTCAAGGTTCCTCGTCTAATTCCGCCGAATTAGCAAGATATTGTGGATCCACCACCGGGAACGTCATGAGCTCCAACAAAGATGTGACCATAACCTTCCATACCGACGGCACTGCCAGACACGCAGAATTCAGTTTGATGTACAAGGCGATACCGTCAGGTATTCATCTTTAAGAGTGTCTCCTCTCTACCCTGTTGCATCAATAGTGCTGTAAAAAATTAAAATGAAGCTCTGTTGAATAAGTGCAATATGTTAAAAAATATTTGAGATAAACATTTTGCCCACAATATTTACAAAAATGGTCATTGTTCATTGGACATGTTCGGAAGAAAAAACACGGATGGTTGACTCTTTCCTTCAGAGAAAAATGTAAATCTTTTCGCATTCATCTGATTCCCAAACTGGAGGGAATTATGCCATCTCCACCAAAACATAATGACATGGTGAACCTATAATGCTCATACGAATATTCTGTTCATGACATTTCTCTATCCGTATTATCAGACACTCCCAAAATCCGGATATATGTACATATACATGCAGGTAACCTTTCTATAATCCTCCATTCTCGCAACTTCATGTATTCCAGGATGTGGCGAAGATAAAGTGATTGGCTTTCGGGAAACAGCATATGTTGAATCACCGAACTATCCTTCGTACTATCCACCGTGAGTAAACAATACATGTATAAGATGTAATTAATAGAATCAGAAAAAACATACATGACCAGAAGAAATATCTGCTTGAAGTAAAGTCTCTTGTATGATTCGATTCCTCCTGTCATAATCATTTGAGTGTATCCTGCCAAAAGATGGTACCAGGTACAAACACATGTAAAAATGTTGAAGCCTATTTTAGAAGGATATAATTCATTACTCTATTCGTTCGGCACAACATCATCAGTCAAATATCATGAATTATCACAATATCAACCTCCACAGAAAAAGTCAAAATGAGGGTACATTTCTTAGAACGTTATAATAATGTGTATGGTATCTCTGTATATCTATGTGTCACGTATGTTATCTTCGGATTAGATTTGAATGCAAACTAACGCAAACATCAGAAACACCTAAATACAGACCGCATTGCACCTTCGACGTATATAACCCTGTTAACTATTCTTAGACTCTTTGGACCCGTGAAGATCCGGGTTAGAATTGATCTTCAGTAACCCATACTTGTCGTAAGAGGCGACTAACGGGATCGGGTGGTCAGGCTCGCTGACTGGGTTTACACATGTCATCGTATCCCAATTGCGTAGATCGATGCTCATGTTGTTGATAACTGGATTGTCTGGTCAAGACTCGATGTTGCTGAGTGCCGCAAAAATTAAACTCGCTCACTCACTTACTCTTAGACTCTTTGACGAATTTTATCGATGGTTTTACTGCACACTCTTTGAAGTTGGTAATAATAATTATCTCGCGATATATTTCGCGACAGTTTGTTTCATGTTTCGTGATATTATGTTTCTGTTCTTAGTATGTAAAACATGTCCATATTCCTTTGCATATTCCACATGCACTGATATTAATTATGATTTTTTTCCATTTTAGAAATTCGAACTGTGCCTGGACAATTAGCACTAATGTTAACGGATATGTAATCTATGTTGTGACGGAGGAGTTCAACCTTATTTCTGACGCCATGTGTACAGACTACCTAAAACTCTACGATGGTAATGCTCCCCTGTGTCTTCCTAGCATATAAAATGTAACGGCGACAGTGTGTTACTTCAGCCACTGCATCAGGTTAAAACTAGTTTTTCCCAGTTCGACGATTGTAACTGTTTGTGTAGGACATATTCGTTTACGACAACGCGGTCTTGTTGATAGGGCATCCGTGTGGATCCGGGTTAGAATTGGTTTTCAGTAACCCATGCTTGTCGTAAGAGGCGACTAACGGGGATCGTGTGGTCAGGCTCGTTGACATGATTGACACATGTCATCGTATCTCAATTACGTAGATCGATGGCCACGCTGTTTATCACTGGATTGTCTGCTCCAGACTCGATTATTTGCAGACTGCCACCATATAGCTGTAATGCTGCTAAGTGTGTCGTTAAACAAACAAACAAAACCTTGTTGATAGGGAAGTAACTTTTCAAAGTTAAATGACGTGGTATGGTTGGCAGGGTTGGGTCTCTTCCATCAACGTATTAAGCATCACTGACCTGCATCACTTCGAGTTCTCTGAAATAACAGCTGACAAATTGTGATATAAATGTTACACCTTCAACAGTCCAGCTAACCCACATGCCAAACAGGGTCATGTTCGAGATTGCAAAATAATGACCGATATTCTCCACTGAATTATCTTGTTCAAGATTCAAGATTCAAGATTTTTATTTGTAGAAAGGCCATATGACCCAAAGTACAAATGTACAATATAACATAAGATTCTACAGAGTTACTTTCTTTAGTTTTATACATTCAAACACATGTTTAAGAAATTTAGCAAGATTTAACAGAAATATGTTATTATTTGATTGGCACAGGTTTGAAACATTATTATGGTTACCACTACTACAATTTGGGATGAAACGCTTTCTCTATGTTACAAAATATACACAATCATACAGTACATGTTTTTCATTCAGCATTACATTACAGTGTTTACAAATGTAAGAGTTATTACTAAAGACATTTTCTTACTCAGATATCCACTTCTAAATAAAGTTAATACACGTCTATGCTCATGGGAACTGATATTTAACAAATATTTTTCACATTTAAGCAAAGACTTATGAGAATGATAAAATGCGAGAGAATCACTCTGAAGAGAATAGAGCCAGTTCTGATAAGCACATTCTTTAACACGTTGACTAAAGATATAAATAAAATGATCTGGATCCTCAACCTCTTGGCTTATCCAAACAAAACCATAGCCATAACGAAAAAGTAAATATTTTCCTTGATCGGCCCAACTCGGTCTTTTTCTCTCAAGAATGGACAACAGCATATTATAACATTGGAAAGCATATCTTTGACGTTGCATTCTCAACAATCGTAGCCAATACTTAATACATTTAATATGATAGGAAACATAAAGTGGATATCTTCCACACTCACCGTATGATACGGCATTCGACGATTTATAACTAATATGGAGAACAAATTTACAAAACTTCCTATGAATAATTTCAATATTACTCCTTTCTTCCCAACCCCAATTTTCAGCCCCGTATGTAAGAATTGGAGTAATCTTTTTATCAAATAAAAAGAACGCATCTTATACTGTAAATTCAAAACGTCTGATCAATGATTTTATGGGCCATAATGCTTTACTTGCCTGCTCCGCTAATGTTTTACAGGCTCTAGTCCATATCAATTTAGGCGTTGTCATTAACCCCAAATATTTATATGCATTTAATATTGCAATAGGATTCCCATTAAAGAAGAATGTTTCATATTTAGACAGAGGCCCACCCATTTTAAAGACAATTATTTTACTTTTAGCTAATTTAATGTCCATACCCAATCTATAAGAATAATTATGTAGGGCATCCAATCGTATTTGCAACTTAACAACGCTATCTGCAATTAGTATCAAATCATCAGCACACAACAAGGCAATAAGGTTCAACATTTCATTGGATATAAAGATACCATCATCAAATTGGCTCTGCAAATCACACACAAGCTCATTTATGAATAGCGAAAACAACACTGAGCTTAGTGTACATCCTTTTCTGACACCGCAGGAACTGTAAAAAGAGTTTGTTAATTGTTTACCATAATCAAAAGTAACTGTTTATTTAACATTAGTATACATACTTTTTATGACATTGAAAAATTTACCATGGATACCATTTTGTAATAAAATATATAACAGCTTTTTTCTATTCACCATATCAAACGCCTTTCTAAAGTCTATAAAGGCACAATATAGAGAGGAATCCAGTGGTTCTCTACCGTAATCAGAGGACCTAGATACTCTCATGACGTCATTTGTCACCTCATTAAAGAAGTACTTGACTCCATCGATGATCAAATAGTCTGCTTTGAGGAAGGCAGTTTTACCTTCCTCTCTGGCCTGTTTGAGATGGGGTCCTAACTTCTTTCTTCTTTCTCTAACTTTCATCGAGAAGTCCTCAGAGATCCGATATTCATTGTTACCTTTAAGGTGTTTCATCGCCTGCATGAATACACGATTCTTGTCGTCCCGAGATACAAACTTAGCGATGATAGGTGCAGGTGTACTGGTTCCACGCCTAGCCCCAAGTCTATGTACTGTGTGGAACTGTATCTCATCTACATCGTCTATCTCCAGGTCCTCCACCATAAACGTAGTATCGTTGTTACTTTCTTTATCTTTCATTTTCAGACCAAATATCAGTAGATTGTTACGGCTGGAGTAAACTTCATTTTTGTCAAGTTTGTTCTCTAAGGATGATATAATTGTTGACTGCCTTTTTATAGTCATCTTCAAATCACTGTTCTCTGCTTGGATCTTTTCGAGTTGATTATTGACGTTGATTGTGTTTTGGTCCACAACTGTTTTCAAGGCAGAGAGTGTTTCGCTCATAATGCGAATAGTGGAGTTCAACTTATCTATTTGTTGTGAAAGGGCATTGCGACAATCATTGAACAGGCAACCTCTTCAGAATACCTAGATTCGGATTGTTGAGATTCATTTCCCCAAATGTATGTAAAGGAAGATTGCCTACCAAAACACTTCAGCATCTGTAGGTCGTGTTTTTCGATTTTGAATTGGCAGTATTATTTATACACATTATATTTTTCCTGTCTCAGTCGATGGACCAAATGAATACTTGATCGGTCGATGGTGTGGATATGGTGGACCGAATATACGGAGTACAGAGATGACTGTGAGGGTTCGATTCCACTCCCATAATTCCCCTACTTACATTGGATTTAAGTTGGCATTCATTGCTGGAAAGCCAACATCAGCGCGTAAGTATGTTATGATTTAATCATGTGGGAATAAGCTGAACATCTGTAAGGTGAATGAGATGTAAAACCTTTACGTCAAGTTCATATCCATGCTATTCGAATTGATTTTACAGTAAACTACGTTTATAACGAACTGATTGATATTATTGATGTTGACTGTTTTTATCTCGACCATCTGGTTTGATTTATATTTTAGTCGTAATGCATACAACGAATTACGGTTACAACGAACTACAATTGGTGGTCAGATCGAGTTCGTTAGTAAACGGTAGTTTACTTACGTCCTTTTGTTTCTTTCTTCTAACAGAGCAGATGGAGTTAAGTAGCCATATGGGATTAACTTAAACATGGACATAACAAAGTTGTTTGTAGATATTAAGAACTGGGCAGCAGTGAGATGTTGGAGATGGGTGGCCGCGAAGACCAAACTCTTACTTCGCTGTCAAGTGTTCAGTTTTTATATTTCAAATTCTCCCTCATTATGTAGAACTATGTTCAAAGCTGAAATAGGCAATAATGTTCAAACCGGATTTTACAAGTTGAGCTAAATACATACATTGACCAATGTGCTGTTTACAGGCTTCACAAAAAAAAGAAAGTCTGGGATTCGGGATGATTGGTTGTGGAGCACTCATTGACGCATACTGTCAGTCTAAACCTGATATGCACTAGTGTTGGGAATTGGTTAAAACCTCATAATTGATGATTGCTTCATTACAACCGATCAATCATCGAAAATAATTGGTTAGCCTCATTTATGAAATTTTCCTGTTTTTATGTTGTTGTTTTTGTTAATGAAAAAAAAAACATAATGAAAAAACATGTAGTTCTTTGGGTTTTTGGTGTGGCAAATTTCACATCTTGAAAGGATTACTACTTAACTAGTATGTTAGGAACATAAAATTCCATGAGTCTTTAAGATAAATGTAATCATGACTTGGAACAAGCTTGTAGTGGTTATGAAATGTAACTTACAAAACCAACCTTGTGAAAAATATTGTTAATGCAAAAAGTGTTCCAGAATTGTTTGTGTTCGATTATGAGAAAACATGATCGATTGCTTGGTCGTTTAGTCACTGCAACCAATCTCCGATTATTTCAATTAATCGTACCACCACTAATATGCACGCTGTTTTCTGCCCTTAAACTTTGCCGTCTTGTTTCTGCTTTGTCGTACAGCGTTTTGGCTCCCGAACACTGGAACCTTACTCGGCAGCATACTCGGTGGCACCGTGGCTGTGCTTGTAATAATAATCTGCTGCTGTGGAATTTGTATCAAGAAAAAGTCTACTACCAAAGACCAGTCGAACAGATCAGTGACCAACGTAGTTTCCGTCCCCTGTCCCAAATACACGACAACTACATCTACTACTCATCCGGCCAGGTCTACTCCACCCCCAGGCTACAATGAAAGTGTGGAGGCTGACCATGGCCTGTACTGCCAGGCTGTGCCAGATGTACAGCCACTTGTGACGCCATCCCCTGGCGGTGCATCTCCACATCAAGGGAAAGATAACCCAGCCTGCCTAAATTGAGTGACTTCCAGGTGATCATAATGTACATGTTTTGTACTGAGTGAGTAAATAAGAAATGTCACATTCACGTGTATTCTACGAATAAAATCAATATCTTTAGTTTACGAGAGTACACCTACCCACGGTAAATAATATCTGCGATTGTTCACAAATCAAAGACATATTTGTTTCATAAGTCAGTTCAATAACTTTAACACATGATCGACTACCTATGTTTATACATGAGTTCACTTTACAAATCAATGAAATTTCAAAACTGATCGATATTCAGTTATGATCATCACAATCATGAGCGAACGAGAAGTACTGTCCACTGAAGGACACGTTAAACATTGCTCCATGCTGTCGAGCGTATTGTAATTAAATATATGCCTCTGTTCTCCCAGCAGTGACTGAACTCTTATTTGTCGGGATCGTAATTGTTAACCATCTAGCCTCTCACAATCCGCTTAGGATGTATACCCTTGTAGATACGTCTCCTAGTTCACGTGTCCCAAACAAGTCTAATTCAGCTGTATATCATACACGTAAACCCATAAAAAACGATTTCCGGACACGTGAGGATGAGGGTAATGGTCAAATGGAGGTAATTACTGCGACAGGTGAGGCGAAATTGGGTTTAACGTCGTACTTTAGAATATTTCGCTCCTATGATGACGTTGATGACGTTGTGTGTGTGTGGCCGCTTGTACTAGCCCAGGCTTAAGTTGGTGTTATAGTGCTAGCTCACCGAGATACCATGCCGCAGTTAAGCATGAATACCCCCCTCAGACAACATTATACTGACTCTGAACCGACCAGTCCTTGTTGTATCCAGGGACCAACAAGTACCACATTGTAACGTCTTTTGGTATGATGCGGTCGGGAATGGAACCCGTGACATTTCGCTCTTCGGGGGGACGCTCTAACCACTACACCACTGAGGCGCTAATTTCTGCTAGAAAAGAACGACCCATCCAACCATACTTGTATGTATTATATCTGGAGTTGGACGCCGATTCGTAGCAAATTCTAAGTAAGATATAATATCAAGACTTATATGATAACTAGCAACGTGCCCAAAGTCCTCATGGTCCCTTGTATGGTGATCTTCCTTCGGTTGTTGGCAATCTATAACCTGTTTTTATATTGCATTGTCATCTGAAGTTAAAACATTTTAGATTTAATTACTAGTTTTATATTTATATCTGTGATATTATAGTTGTTTTACTTTACTGCCCTTCGTTGACAGGTTTTTTGAACATGTACATTTAATTACTATAAATCACTAACTTGATTTAGTCACGATATGGCTGAAATATTGCCGATATGACTTAAAATCTTCACTCACTCACCCAATCAATATGCCTCAAACAATGGTTTAAACTAACTCACTCACTCACTCTGCCCCAAACATTGGTTTAAATTACAATTGGTTTGTGCGACAGAATTGTATTGTCTTGTTAGACAGTGTTTTTACTTGTCTAGGTATGAGGCAAGAAACTTGTTTATCCAGGTAACATATCAAACATAGAAATGACATTTAACATACCAAGAATAATATTCATGATTTGATCTTACAATTTCACAAATGATAATATCTAACAAAGCAGTACATGCTCGATGATCTATACTCACATTGCATACTTCATTGTTGGGGATGATTTTTCATACTAACGGTGACAACTACCAGTACTTGACCACTTCGTGTGAATTTCATTTCTGTGTGAGAACTCCTACATTTACCATACTGTACAGAAGATGCACGCTCGAAATTATATGTTCCGTAGAACTTGAACATTAGCATGGAAACAGTGACAAAAATATTACCAACGCCAGGAAATTGCGAAAAAATCAGCAAAGACGAAAAACTCAACAAAACTGTGACAGGTCTCCCAAATGACTCCCCTGCTTATCACGTTTACACATCCTTTGATAACGCTCTCTATACACTGTATCGTTGTTCAGAGCAGACAAAGTCTTTCACTCCAAACCCCACCACGTTTACATAATAGTTACACTTGATGATCCCACAGTCAACACAGAGGTCAACCCAAATCTTCCGTCAACAGTCAAACAAACTTACAATGTGCACTTAACTTATATGATTGCTCACTTGGAGGCGTTACATCTAACAGTGTTATGCAGTGAGTAAACAGGTTTCCATTCACCTTACACATCTCACATCCGACGTATTGCATATTTCGTGCCAGGTTAGCAGGTTATGACAGGGATGAGCGCGTTCGACAAGGACGCACATACTTCATCACAAGTAATGTTTGTTTTTAGAAAAGCACTGCATTATTCAAGCTGTGTATCGGCGGTTACGTAATTTCCCAGGCTGATCTAGACAATCCAGTGATTGACATCATACGCATCGATCTTTGCAATTGGTATAACATGACATCCATTAAACACTGTATCGAACTTCTGTTCGACGCCTCTTATGACGCGGTGGGCGAACTGGCTAAGGCGCCAGTCTAATGATCCAGCGAGGTTGAGGTGTCGGGATCGAGCCCACCTGTGACCGGGTGTAAAAACCTTGGAGTCAACTTTGTGTGCAGACTCTTTCAGTGTTGTCACAACCCCTAGTGTACAGTACACAACCCTGTGCACTTAAAAGAACCCATGAATCCGTTGGTTTTTTGACCAGATGGTGGCCACATAAATACGTGCAAACACTTAGTTGCGGGTACAGCAACGTGCAGTGAACATGGACAAATTACTCTGACTGTGTGTCCCAGTCCACCCAGCTGTGAATGGGTACCTCGTTAGGATTAGAAAGCCACAATAACTCTGTGCGCCTAGTGGCTGCAAGAGTTGTATACTCCCCAGGGAGTTGAGATTGATAATGCGATGTGCCGTTGAGATTGACATCCAATGATCGAGGGAAAAAATACCAGCGCCTTGAGAATGCACTATAAATATCCTATTAAAAAAATGACAAGCTTGCTGAAGGCCAGGTCTAATCTGTATCTCAACAAGCACCACACGAGAAAATAGAACTGTTCAACACATATAGTTGACAGCTTTGACAGAGGGGTGATACGATCTGTAGTATGTCAACACCATGGGAAAGATGCATCATAGAAAACACGAGAAAATAGAACCACTTAAAGATACGCTCATGTGTTTGAAAGAGAGAAATCAACCTGGGATGGGAACACGGAGATTAAAGTACTCTGTATACATGTGTCCTAAACGGGTGGACTTGTGTGACCAATACCGTACAGCCAGGTAATCAACAAGCATGTGTAGTAGCATTTCAATTTCACACGCGAAACTCGCATTCTGGCTGTTCTACCAGCAAGTGGTATTCCTCGTAAAAATAGGCAAAAGTGACAACAAAATAATGATCGTTTGTAAAACATCCTTTTTTTCGGGTCTCCAAAATCATCAGAGTTGGTCTGTCGATTTTAGTGAGTGTACAAAATTTGGTTTTGCTGGAATTATTAGATTTTGTGATAGTGACCAATTCGTCGGCCTGAAATGAAATCAGACTGACTGTACCGTGAGATGTATTGTGAAATAAGAAACAAGTGATGTAGCTAAGACACCTGAAGATTCCCTGGTTCTGAATATGTTCGAATGAAAAGGCCCGTAGGGTTTGCTGAACATTGTAGTAGCTTCCAGAATTCTGTTTGAATATAGCACACGCATATGTATAAATATAGCACACCTGTCATTTCTCCCCCTCCCTCACTGTACATTGTCATACACTTGAAACATTATTACACAATATATAACACAGCACGTGACACTATCTATCTTACAAATTTCCGCTTGTTCTGACCTACTAATACCTGTTAAGACAGTGTTTATTAAAGCGATCTGCCATTTGCAAAACCTGCCACCTGTCCTTTGTTTGTATACAGTTAAACTATCAACATCGTGCAGGACCCAAACAGTTCGGGCCCTAGATGTCACAATATAAGTATATATACTATATATCACATTTTTGGTTGATTCAGAAGATTTGATGACGTTGATATCATTTGCGATCGCAGGCGTTCATTTTTTATAAAATTAAAAATGCACAAAACTCGATTTTAGTTACTTTGATGTGGCTGAAAGTTTTTGGTACTTTTTTAAAAAGAATGCAACAATGTATTCAGAAACTGATGAGAGTAACCTTTGCTTACATCACGCCACGAAAACATATTGTCAGGCGTTTAGTACATTTAATAAATGGTAGCCATTTGATCACCCCATTAATAAGTCAATATGAAGAAGAGGCAAGTCACATTTTCCAAACTTGCATTAATTACGCTGAATGTTTTTGATTGATGAATATCAAATAATAGATTTTTCAAAAATTAGGTAGGTTATTTTCCCTCAAAGTTAATATGGACGAAAAGAATGTGTGCATGAGTATGTAGAGAATCTCACCTGCGTTTCCTTATGATATCAAATATATCACCACAAGTTGACAAAAGTGAAAAAAACAACACTTTTATCAACGAGTGGTGATATGTTTGATATCTGAAGACACGAGGGTGAGATTCTATTCATCATAAAAAATCACTCTTTATTAGTTTTCAATGAAAAACGTACTGAACACGATACTGCCATTAGACTTACAGTGCTGCGATGTCATAGTATTGTGACGTTACCAACTGTATGACGTCATAGCATTGTGATGTCATCAGGTTCTGACGTTTTGGCATTGTACAAAATCTCCTAGGAATATCGTTTGATCTCACACAAGCAATATCTCCAGTGTAGCACAGTTTTGGATGATAGACACGTATGCGTCCCGTGTTCTGTTTACTCCAGTGATGCAAACATGTACGGTATGTGAAACTGTCACTCAAATGGGTCCTGATGGGTATCCATCTCTTGATATTCAAATGCACTGATATGGGATGACGTCACAACAGGCTGTATGTCTGATAGATGAACTGTCTGACAGTACGGTGGGGGATCATCCTCCAGGATATCATTGTAAGAAGGAGGTGGTTGAAACTTGATCTCCAGATCAGAAGGAGGAGTAAGAACAGTAGGAGCTGAAGCAGCAGTAGGAGAAGGGGCAGTAGGAGCAGAAGGAGAAGGGGCAGTAGGAGCAGAAGGCGTAGTTTGCGCGTAGCTGGGGATGTTGATGAAGGAGACGTTGTCTTCCCGTGATCTGTTCCTCTGCTGCTCCTCGTTGGACATGGCTTTCTTCCTGGAGCATATTCTATAGCAGCAACACGATGCAATACCCAGAGCCGCAATGCCGCCAAATACACCCCCAAGAACGGCTCCTAAGTTATTGGGCGCACCAGCTGAACAAATAAAAGTCAAGTTCAAGGACTTCTTAAATTTTAATCCTTTAAATATGCGTGCTACATGATCTTACAAGCCATTTGTATTTTGTATTGTTGAGTACTGTTTTGAGATAGAAGCATAAGATTCTGTGAAGTTATTTTATTGCATCAGCATTGTGGTATTGTGACACTGTTGCAGCAATCCAGGAATCTCTAACCATGTCAAGTTGCTGCCCAACTTCCAGATTATGTAGACTCACATAGGTCAAGGGACAATTACGATGCAACGACAATTACACCCGCTAAACCTGGTGGCATAACGCTCTGGCACGATGGGACAGTGTGAGTCTGTGTATTTTAAGGCTACTTTGCGTGAGTGTGGTTTCTAAGCCACTTTTAGCAATATTCAAGCAATGTCAAGATGGTGAATATCAGATGTCGATTTCACACACTAGGGGACGTCAAGGTCGCCGGTGTGACGAACGAAACCTTACCTAACTGTTCTGAAGCTGTATCAGTCATGTCAAAGCCTATCAGCTTATCGCACTAACGAACATAAGTCCAGGAAACAAGACCTGGTCGAATCTAGGCCGTTCTGACCAAGCGTTCCCTTCTGGCCCAATTTTACATATTGCTTGTTTTACCCATTTGTTCATTTAAGTATTCGTCGTTAGTAGTATGTTATAACGGTGCAAAGGACTCTCCAGGTGTTAAATAAAACGTATAAAATGAAATGTGAAATGGCTGAAACATGCATTTGGGATGACAATTTATGGATCTCAATGAAAGGTTCAGTGCATTCTGAAATGAACGAAAAAATACTGAAATACGTACTGTCAGAGCTCGAGGTTGTTGGCTCGCCAGCAACGAAGGCCAAGATAAATCCGCTGCGTGTAATCAAATCATCCGAGTGGAATCGAACTTTCATTCGCTGCCCTGTGCTCTCTGTATCTGGTCCATCTGACCTACACCATCGACCGAGGGAGGTTTCATTTGTTCCCGTGACTATGGACAGAATATATAACCTGTGAGCCCATGTCATAATTAGAACAAATAACATCAGCGAACTTTACAAACATTTTTGAGAGATATATTGCGTTAAAAAAGTCTTTGCTTTGGTCTTATTTCGGGATGAAACTATGCTATTCTAAATGACTTTTTACCTTCTGGTGTAGACACAACATTAACAGCATCGTTTATAATTATGGTAATGTAACGCAGCAGTGATGTTCATTGTGTTACTGTATAAGTTGTATGCTTCTCTCGAGGGTAATACGGTCTGATGTACGCCTCTTTGTAGCAGTGTCACCCGAGCCGGTAGGCCGGTAGGCTATCGACTATATGACACGTAAACAAAATGGCGTCTGCCTCTCGACTGAATGTTTTAAATCATTGAAGCATATTCTGACAAGCTTAATACTGCTATAAAATGGTTAATCATGTTTAAGCTGAGTGTGCAAACGGCTTAATGTATAAAATAGCTTAAATAAAGCAGTGAAAGTCGGTAAAATAGATCTGTACATAGTGAACTCAAAAAGAGCTGATCGAACGGTTTTCGAACTCCGGACACTGCATGCGTCATATTATGACGTCATACGATTGTTTAGCGATACACCTTCTCGGCGGAGAGCTTGGCGGTTACCGTGGCAGCGGGTAATATTTTTTCCAGCTGTCACCCTGAGAGGGTGACACGGGAACTTGTTAAACCGTCATTGACCAATGAAATTAAAGTATTTTACATGAAGGTAAGATAATGTTCCAAGTGCAATACATTGTGCACGTGGTATTCAATGGGGGCAGTGGTGTGTTGTATTTAGACAGGTGTTATATTTGATACTGAAATGTACTACACTCCTGTTGCCTCTCATCTCACCTGATCGTCACGATATGGCTGAAATATTGCCGACGTGACGTTAAATATCAACTCACTCACTCACTCATCTCACCTGACATCTCAAGTTGCCCGAAGACTAGGATCGTATATCGTCATTACTATACCCTCGATGACTCTGCCTGGGTGCAAGATGATTTACTGATCACTAGATGTCAGTCTCCACGGCACATCGTACTATCAATCGCAACTCCCTGGGGATCATACAACGACTAGGATTGTATATCGTGATCATTATACCCTCAATAACTCTGCCTGGGTGCAAGATGGATTTCTGCTGCCGAGAGGAGAACATTACCATCACTGTTTGATTGCCACAACCACTGCTCTTGTTATATTACTGTTGAATGCCACAGTGATAACTTTGTGCTGTCATACAAGTTTTAATTACATCACATTTTTGCTGCTGATTTGTTTCACACATACTTTACGGAAAACCTTTTAGCTTCAACTTGGGAATCAATACGTAATGCAAACAATAATAGTACGAATATTCCGTGATTCGAATTTTTTGAGTAAAGACAGATCAACATGATTTATAAAATATAAAAACCCTGGGTGTCAATTGCTATCTACGTCAACGTGGACATCATATCCTTTACTTTACATCGTATCTGCTTAAAGTGGGAAGAAAACCCGATATCACACTTCTTTGCTTAGTGTCTGTACCCTCAAAGGGGGGTTTAAATATTATAAAGTTATTGTTCTCCTGAGAGGGTAGGTAAGTCCCGAAACATTTAAAGTAAATTTAAACTTACCGGATTCTATAAACGTATTTTTTTTGTGATTAATTTATGGCTTAATTCTACTACAATCGCCAGCGCCTGAAGGGATGATATAAATCCAGCTAAGGTCCATGCAGGTAGCAAATGTACTGTAAGTCCCCATGGTCCCTAGTTTGGTGATCTACCTTCAGTTGTTGGCGATCTATAGCCTGTTTTCATATTGTATCGTCCTCTATAGTTAAAGTATTTTAGATTTCATTACTAGTTTTAAATATATGTCTGTGATTGTCAAGTTGGTTTTACTGTCCGGTGGGGTAGCCTAATGGTTAAAGCGTTCGCTCGTCACGCCGAAGACCCGGATTCGATTCCCCACATGGGTACAATATGTGAAGCCCATTTCTGGTGTCCCCCGCAGTGATATTGCTGAAATATTGCTAAAAGCGGCATAAAACAGTACTCACTCACTACTAATCGACAGATTTTTTTAAAGTGATTACCTTGTTTTCATCGCTATTTGGCTGTAATATTGCCGATGCGATGTACAATTTTAACTCACTCACTCACTCATTTCTTGCTTCAAACCTAGCTCTTTTACGGACTACTTCCCGGCTAACGTTTTAGTTTCAACTTGGGAAATGGTATCAACACGTAACAGCATCAATCATAAAACGAAACCTTGATAAACCAGTGTGCTTGAACAGGTCTCCAGAATTTATAACTAAAAAAATCTGTTAATCAAATCTTGTGTCAACCCGAATTTACACTGGATACTGATGTTTTCTACTTTGACTGACGGACTGAGTTTGGTTTTAGATGCTTTTAGCAATATTCCAGCAACATCACGGCGGGGAACACCAGAAATGGGCTTCACACATTGTACCCTTGTGGGGATTCGAACCCGGGTCTTCGGCGTGACGAGCCAACGCTTTAACCACTAGGCTACCCCACCGCCCTTTCTACTTTGAACGCAGTTATACAATGTTAACGAGATTCTAACGACATTTGACATACAACATCCTCGATAATCTCCAGGGTATAAGTTCCGAAAAATCTCCACAGGTACCCCGGATGCATCTACGGCTCGGATAGATAAGCATTTTATTATTGATAGTTTAGATTAGTAACTGGGATTGTTAGTGGCTGTACCCTCAAAGGGGGTTGAAGTATTGTAAAATTATTGTCCTCCTGAGAGGGTGCGTAAGTCCCAAAGCATTCAATGTAAATTTAAACCTACTATTATTTTTAATCGTAGTATATATATAGATTCTTTTAATTTGTGGCTAGATTGCTAATGGCTGACGGGATGGTGTAAATCCAGCTAGTGTCCATGCAGGAAGCAAATGTACTGTAAGTCCCCATGGTCCCTACTATGGTGATCTACCTTCAGATGTTGGCAATGTATAGCCTGTTATTATATAAATTATAATTGTATTGTCATCTATAGTTAGCTGTTTTAGATACAATTACTAGTTTTAAATTCATATCTGTGATAATCTAGCTATTCTACTGTCCTTCGTTGACAGGTTTTTGTAATTTACTTTAATTACTATGTATAACTACTAATTGTTCTCGTCACAATATTGCTGAAATATTGCCGATGTGATGATAAATTGTAACTCACTCACTCACTCACTATGGCTCGGCCCGATAATGTTATTACCTCCCTTTGCTGGCTCCGCATTCTCGCAGTAGCCAATCAGCTAAGCCGCCGCTACAACCGAACTTGCCAGTGTCAACAAAGATAGCGGTCGCAGCCGTGAAGATTGGTTCGCAGTGCCACACTGATTGGGGAAATCATAAATACAAATTGAAAGGTCTGAAAAATATATGTAAGAACTCCTTCTACCTCTTTCAGAGTACCTCTGCATCAATTGTATTGCCAAATTTATACGGTTAAATAATTTAAGGAGCGAAAGTGAGTTGTGATTGGTACGCTCAACTTCCCAGCGTAGACACCTGATTGGATAAAAAGCCAACCAAAGGAGGTGATAAAATCATCAGACCGAGCCGTAGATGCATCCAGGGTATAGTGGAGAGTTATCGTAACGAATACCCTGGAGATTATCGAGGATGGACTTACAAGAAATACAGTTAAAATCATCGACATAGGGTTCCTGGTACAGTCATTCAGAAAGGCCAACTGTCACAGTGCCTCGTCGTCATTACCATCATAGAGTTCCACATAGTCACGGGTACATCTGGAGCCGTACTCAATGTCGAACATCGGTGCTGTAACATGGATTACGTATCCCTCAATGGAAGTGCTGATTGTCCACTCACAGTCCACATTTCTAAAATTGAAACAAGGCATTAGTCTAAGCCTTGCCTTACGAGTGTACATATGAAATAATGTCACTAAAATAGCTTCGCCATAGAACGCAAAGAACAATGAAGAACATGATGTGTTGATCGATAAACGTTATTTTGTACGTTCGGGACGGGGTGATGTCTCGACCTTAAATCGGAAGACACTATATCTACCATGTGTTCTAGGAGACGTTTTAAGAGAATTTAAGTCGATTTTAATACAATATATATCTTAGATCAACTTTCACGGAAACTACGGGTATTATATTGTGGATGTTTCTCCAAGTGGCTCTAGGTGTATATAAGACAACATTTTGCTGATCCCTTTACCCGCTGTAACACAAGCTCCGTACAACGAAACTGCACAGCAGCATGTACATCAGAATAGAATTAAATGCATGTGATGCATAAACATCAACATGAAAGCAAAACATCACCTAGGGCTCAATTAACAGTATGAAGACAAACGAAAGATTCGTGTATTGTTTTTAGAGTGATATTGTTACCGTGTTATCCTGTAACGTGTGCCGTATACTTACTTTGGATAAGAAAAAGGACGATTTGGTGATGAAATATATTTCGTCTCATTGCTTAGCACGACGTTATGTCCGCCACACCCTGAAACATGGAAGCATTTCTGTGATATTAAACAGTTCTGCAACACTGGTTTCATGAGGAGTTTCTAAGAAGAAGCGGGGCGGTGGGGTAGCCTAGTGGTTAAAGTGTTCCTCGTCACGCCGGAGACCCGGATTCGATTCGCCACATGGGTACAATGTGTGAAGCCTATTTCTGGTGTCCCCGCCTTGATATTATTAAAAGCGGCTCACTCACTCACTCTTTGATGAAGCGGATGCAATTGGAGACACGAGGCAGTATACCATTTGAAGCATTACGAAAAGGGGTGGGTTACTAATCTTTCAAAATACACAAATATCTCAGGTGTCACATCCTCCATCTTTAACCAAAATAATAAATGTTTTGCTTCTGAATCATTGACATTGTAGAGAATTACATGTTTAGGAATTTTTTTCGTTAAAAAATAAATAACTTTCACAACACTTCAGCAGGGCAACGAGACCGCCTCCATTTGTTGGCACATATAAACAAGTTTGCCTTTTTAACGTTTTACATACAACTGTGTCAAACATGTAAAATTAATTCACATAAATACATAAAAGAGAAGCCAACTCCTTTGTGACGTACATTGAAATGATATAATAGGGATGTATGGATAAATGGAGCTCTTGTCATTGTTATTTCGACGGATGGATAAAAAGGCAGGTTTTATTACGTGCCTATTTCAGTTTACGTCAGCAATATAGCCCTGCAAAAGTGATATCGAGCTTAAGCGATTTCAATATTGATTTCCAACTTCCGTATTGCACGGCTATCAGATGTGGTCGCCTGCAGGGTGTGAATGACGATAATGAATCTAAATAGTATCCCAAATGAAATCGTTTAACTATTTCTTTGAATAGTTATTAAATGGAAGTTGTGTTGAGTCAATTATTCTGTTTTGTTTCTTTCATAATCAGAACCTGGCACTTGATTGATGACGTCAGGCGGAGGAATGCGATCTCACGTACACATGTGTGATATATCGCTTGCGCGTAGTGATACTTAGGTCAAGGTAACCTCAATGCGGAAGTTTCAATTGGGAGTTAGACTGCAACTCAGATGCACTCGGTCTGGTATGACGTTATATACAAGTAGTTTACATCGTCATCCCGAATCAAAAGTTGTGGTATGCACAAAACTGATGTTTGCACATTTTAAACAATCTTCCCAAACCAGATTAGAGTAACTGCCATGTATAAAGCAACACATGATGAGTCCCCTGTGTTATTCTGGCTTCAAAGAGTTCGCATAACCTTGGCAATTTGACCCCATCTTGCTGGTTAGAGACCATTGCTACAAGGGAATATAACAAATGTGTCACAAAAGGAATTGTTTTGAAACACAGATTGTTTCACTATGGAAAGACTGACTGACTGACTGAGATTGGTTTTCCGACGCTTTTAGCAATATTCCAGCAACATCACGGCGGGGGCCACCAGAAATAGGCTTCACACATTGTACCCATGTGGGGATTAGAACCCGGGTTTTCGGCGTGACGAGCGAACGCTTTAACCATTAGGCTACCCCACCGCCCCTCTATGTTGTAACTATGGAAGGAAATCGATTTCCCTTTTACATGTATTTTTGCTTAAGGCCATACAGCATCATTTTTATATGCATTAACCAAAACCAACTTATTTCAAAGTCACCAAATTAAACATAAAACGTTGGTTTATCAAAAGCAATTTACAAAACTATAGAAAGTACCTCGTATCCATGCAATGTATTTCAGAGAAAATCCTCTGTCTGTCACAGAGCTGTCAGTGTGGAAGGTGATTGTCATGGCGCTGCCCGAGCTGACGATGTACCCCGTGATGTCATCACAGTATATACCCAACCGTGGGTCGAAAGGCGTGGGACCTTCGATAAATACATTGAATTATTCCAGTGAAGATATGCCCATGGCACATGCATTTAAGACAGCTTGAGGCGATTGATAGTAATTAATGATCATTGATAATTGCAAACCAATGCGCTATATCTTAGTACTTGTGTACAAATGGAACATTGTACTTACCGTCACTGATGTTAAGGTAGTCTTTTGCGCAGGATTTGTCATCCAAAGAAATATTCTCAAAGTCGACTTTTACTATATGTCCACCGGGTGCAGTGATTGTCCATCTGCAGTCCATGTTGCTACAAAGAAATCATACTCTTAAACGTTGGCGCAGATTGGGTAAAAAAATACGACATTCTATGCTGGCGCGGCAGAAAGCTTATCAGACAGCACGCAAAAGCCTGCTGAATCATCTGGTACAGGAGTCTCATGTCCACAACACTCTCCATCAATATCATTAGTGTTGTTCCTTATAATTACCTATAATCCCAAGATGATATATAACATCCATTTTCCATCTTATGACTACTGTCCATTGGGATGCGGTTCCCAGTTACTCAACAGCTGCAGCATTGTCTTCGAGCGAGAACGAGAAAGCCCTCAGAATGTTTCCAAATCAGGATCACTTGAAGTCATCAAGGATGATTTGATTATTAGGTAGAGTTTGTAAAGATGCAGGACCAAACACTGTCCAGTAACTAATGGTATTTCTCAACAATAATTCATGATAATTCTGGTATGTGTGTCACTGACATCGACATGAATGAATGCAGTCATGTTACTGTTGTATTATGAAGTACCATACACGTATCATATCCATTATCCATTGTAGCCGATGATGGGATACAAATTCATATCTGGAATCAAGAATAAATCGATCGTTATTTCCTACAGCTGCCTAATCACAATACATTATTTTAGTGTCCTTATGTGAGATGTTTATGAACAGTATATAGCCCTAGCGATCTGTGTAAACGGCAAGACAGCTATGATGTTTGATTGTTATCATGATGCGCTTTTGTTTGGCATTCCAGCCCTTGACAACTGTGCAGTGTACATTGAAGCACCAAAACGACTGGGAAGAATTCACTGTATGCATGTGCCAACAAGCAATAGGGTTTTCAACAACGATTAAGTATACTTACTTGCTGTAGTTGTAGTTTGGGTACCCAGGGGATGACAAAACTCCCCAGGTGGATATGTTGGCGCTGAGAAATGAACTACCACAATCAAACACGTGCCCTGTCTCTGTAGAAACGAAAAATATATTACCCATCAAAAGTTTAGACTCACTAGTGTAAATGTAGCCACTTACTTCAGTCAACTGTTCTAAACGAGATTTAGCAAAATAGTCCATACTTTTTAAAAGTACTGTTTACACATGAACTGATCCATTCTAGACGACAATGTGTGATACTCGATTCTGATTGGCTGAGAGCTCATCAAAACCGTACTTAAATGACAGTTTAAGGACCGCTAATTAAAGTGACCGAATTACCGCGTATGAATACAACGAACTCGTTGACCCTATTGTTTGTAAACAAACATGTCGGACATCGGCAATTTCTATCTCGGCAGCATCTTTGGTGTTTTGTAAGTGAAAAGCGAATGGTTTGAAGAAGAATTTCTTGACCCTAATCCCAGTGAAGAAACTACGAAACTCCGTCAGCAGCGCAAAAGCGGAAGTATATTCAAAGCGGGTCCAGATCTTCGTGTGTTGACGTCGACAACACACGTCGGCCCACACGTCCTAACCTGACCGCTTCCGTCTCGGCCGTAATGCCCAGTCCTTCCACTTCCACTGTCAGTGTATCCCACATAAAACGTGGCATGTAAGGTCTTTTCCAAATTGGGAATAGTAAGGTGGTCATCAACAATTATTTCCGTGAATAAAGTTTGCGGCGACTAAACTTAGTTCACGGCTTGCATTTGGGCGAGTCGATTGTCATACAGTAGGGGAGATCAATAATTCGCTTGAAGAAAATCAAATAATTGTACTTGCTCACAGTATAAACTGTATTTTTGAAAACAGAGTAGCTTTATCTTCTAATTGTAAAACAAATTCGTAACGTTGAAAAGATTATTGTCATGAGTTCAATATATGGTGAAACTCAGTAAAAATTGGCGAATTCTTAACAAAACTCAACACCAAAACGCAGCTATTCACGATATTTGTACATGCTTTTCAGCAATTTTGATGCATGATCCCCTTGCAACCCATCCGCTTAAGGTTTGCAGTTGGTTCCCTCAAGTTGTAGAGAAATTCATCTTCGATGTAACCATATACGAGGGGCGATCAAAAAGTATGTAGAATCACCAAGAAAACGATACAAATGCAGTACAAATTTTATGTTTTATTTTTCTACATATTATCTGTCAAGCTCAAGCAATTTGGTTTTGCTATGTTCCAGTCTCACGATCCCCAGTTTGTTTGACCTTTTATCTTGGTACCCTCACTAAAACGCAAAATCTACAATAAATGCATCAAAAACTTCAGGAAACAAAATATGCAAGAAATATATTGTGTGTTTGAGATTGATAGAAGTCACCTAGAATCACACTTAGACATTAAAGTTCATAAAAAGCAATTTGAAATTACAATCGCTTGTTAAAGTGACTCCCCCCTTCATGTTGACTGAAAGAGCTCGTTTTGCAGACACTATCCATCCCCCGTTTCAGATGACGTAATCATAAGGGCATGGCTTATTCTAATGTTTTCCCTTCTGCATACATGATGCCATGGGTTCAAACTAAATACTGAATGGTCACACAAGTGTCAGCTCACAATATATTGTAAACAGTGCCAGCTTGAATATCTGGACACAATGTTTTTGAAAGATTAATATGGGGGTGTCCTTAGAAATAGCCCCCGACTAAACATAAATCAGGCAATCCAAATCTTTGACTGTTGATCATGACGGGAAGTCATCCAATACTATACTGAACATATTTTATATGACATTATGTGAGGGCATACCATTATCCAAGAGGTACCAATAGACAAATCGTTTTTATTTTCTGCAATTTTGTTACAAATATTATACCCCAATGTGTTGTGATGACAAATATCTGGTTAACCACATTACCCACACATGTGAAATTTTGGATATGGCTTTGCTAACATTCCTACAAAATAGAATGCGTAGACTCACTGAAAGAGCCAGCAAAATGAATCATCCCACCCCGTCTAACCCTACTTAACCATACCACGAAAGAATACTTTATTCAAGAATCATCTTAAGAGAAAGGGAGTCGTGTCGTCTTATTCAGAACGTACTGGTGCGAGAGAGCTCTCACCTCTAACCAGCTGCTCGTCATTCAGACAAATGACTGATGCGCGCTACAGCGTGCTCCATTCGTCCAATCAGAGCGCTCCTAGTAAACAGCTCTGGACCGTACAAACAAAACATGGCAACTGACCCAGACAGACATAGGGTAAATCCTAAGTACTCACTAACAGTATCGAGATCTACATGAACTTCAGCTCATACGAGTACACGAAATGAAGCAGGACCATATATCAGCCTCAAATCACGGCCTTCCACACAAGTTATCGATTATAATATATGTCATAACGAATATATATGACACTCACCTGAGACCAGCGGCCCAAACAATAAAACACATATTCCAACGGCATAAGGTATGGTCATGATGGCGTCCTGTCACTCATCTAAGACTGCCATTAGTAGATCACCTCACAATGTAACTGTAACGCCTAATTGTAACTGCGAGGCCTCGTCTGCGGTAGCCCCAACCGACATCCGAACAAATCAAACACGCTTATCAGATCACCTTTTTTTTCATAACCAGTTGCTAGCCCCGCACATGCGTGCCTATATCAACACGATTGTCCGTCTTGCTCTGATCCAACATATGTAATGTTAACAACATCAGAATGTCAGAGGCTGTGCTCAACTGTATTTCAAACTAAGTAGTGTGAGTGGTCACAAGATTGATCACAAAACGGGAAGGACAAGGCAAAGGAAAATCACAGACGGTGTGACATAATATGACAATTGTAATTGTTAATGACTATCACCTAATCAATGTGATATTTTTAATTACAAAACACACACCCTATTAACAATTGTTAAACACAGCTTCTTCATAACCTCTGTAAAACACGCCATCTGTTATTTTTTGTACAATAGTAGGGTGAATTCTTCCGTTAGTTTTAATCCTTGCAAGACGTGCACAACAGTGTAAACGGTAAAGTCTTCAGATGCGTAAAATGATTACTCCGCGAGTTTCTACCAAGTTTTGACATTATTCTAACAGTATAACAGCATCGCACACCAGGACCCATATTCATATATTACACCTATGTGGACTAACAAACCTGGCTCCAGTTAGAGTCAAGAATTTCTACTACTTGGTACCCTTTGGATTATATAATACCACCGCACAACAGACGGAAACAAGAAAGACAAATATTGCCACGTGGGACTGTTATTTCTTGTGTAACCCTGTTTCAAGTGAATATCATTGTACAGTGTGGGACGGAGAGGAATGACAGGTGTGCCATATATATACCTATGCGTGTGCTGTAGTTTAACAGAGCTTAAATGTATCTCGTATCTCTTTTCTGATGCATCGTTTCCCCATAAAGGTGAGATACTACTTACCCCTCTGTCAAAACTGTCAACTATGTTTTGATCTGTTCTATTTTTTCTTGTGGTGCCAGTTGGGATACATATTAAAACTACTCTTCAGCAAGCTTGTCATAAGAGGCATCTAACAGATTAAAAGTTCGATACAGTGTTTAATGGATGTCATTTTATACCAGCTGGAAAGATCGATGCTCATGATGTCAATCACTGGATTGTCTGGATCAGCCTGGAACATTGCGAAACCACTGACATACAGCTTGAATAATGCAGTGCGTTTCTAAAAAAACAAACAAACACACAGATTACTTGTGATGAAGTATGTGTGTTCTTTGCCAATCCCTGACATATGACACGAACGCGCGGTATTATGCAATACCTCAAATGTGAGACATGTAAGGTGAATTGAAACCTCTTTACTCACAGCATAAAAATGCACTGCTAGATATAACGCCTCCAAATGGACAAGCATGTACGTCAGGTGCACGTTGCAATTTTGTTTGACTGTAGACGGATGATTTGGGTTGAACTGTGTGTTGGCTGTGAGGTCAACATGTGTGACGATTCTGTAACGTACTATGGTTTGGAGTGAAATACTTTGTATGCTCTGATCAGTGGTATAGTGAACAGAGAGAGTTATCAACGAAACTGAAGCTGACAAGCAGGAGAGTCATTTTAGAGACATATCGCAGTGCTGTTGCGTTTTGCTGTTTGCTGATGTTTTCCAAATTTCCTGGCGTTGATAATTTTTTTGTCACTATGACACTGTGCTTAATTTATACAGAACATTTCCTGCGTGTATCTTTTGTGTAGTGTGGTAAATGTAAAAAAGACCTCGCACAAATAGAGAAATTCCCACCAAGTAGATGTCATGTGCAGATAGTTGTCATCGTTCCTATGTTAAATCATCCCCAACGTTGTAGTATCGAATGTGAAGTATAAATCATTGAGCATGTCCTTCTTTGTTATATATTGTCATTTGTGAAGTTGAAAGAGCAAATAATGAATGTAATGCTGGAAACTCATATAAATCAGCTGTGCAAAACTATTCACTATCACCTCCGTAACATATCCAGCATTCGCCACCAACTGACCCAAGACACCACCGCTCTGCTTGTTCGCTCCCTCATTCTGTCAAGATTGGACTACTGCAACAGTCTGCTTACACGTGCCTCCAAAACCCAGATAAAGCACCTACAATCTCTCCAAAATAAAGCTGCCCGTCTTGTTAGCCGTTCTAAGCCATCCAGTGACGTACAGTTCATTCTGGATTCCTTACACTGGTTACGGATCCATGAAAGAATTCATTTCAAGGTACTCACTCTCGCTTACCAGTGTGTTAACTCCACGGCTCCCTCATACTTGTGTGATCTTCTCACACCATACACTCCTGCTCGTGCCCTCAGATCCAGTAACCAACACCTGCTGGATCCTCCATCATTCAACCTCAAGACATTTGGTGCCCGTTCTTTTGCTTCAGTTGCAACCGCACTATGGAACTCACTTCCACTTAAATTACGTACAGCTCCATCCCTTCAAGTGTTCAAGCGTAACCTCAAAACACACCTTTTCAGTCGATATAAACAGTAACTCTCTCCAAGCTCATATTTACTACAATACTGATTCATGTGACTTTTTGATGTGTTTGTTTTTAAACATTTGTGCGCGCTTTGAGCATGCCCCTTTGTGGTATGGAGTATTGCGCAGTATAAGTACCCTTATTATTATTATTATTATTATTATTATATGTTAAGGGTCATTTGTATGTTTGATACGCTGCCTGCACAACCAGTTTGTTCCCTAACACTTGTACAAGTAACCATCTAACAAAACAATAAATAATGTTCATTTTTAGCGTTTACTTATATGATATACAGTTGACTTATACTTGTTTGGGACGCATGAACTATGGGACCTATCTACCAGTGTACACATTTCGATAGTGATAGACATATTGATGATACTGTTAAATGTGCAGGGAAGAATTTCAATATGGCCATGGTTTGGAAGGGGCCAGATGCACAAAGATGTATGCTTAAGCCCCTTCTGTGTCAGTACCTCTTCCTTGGTGTGTTTGAATGTCTGATGAACAGCATCGTCATGTATTTCATACCCCTGTTATCGATTCAGCTATTACTTTATGTAATGTACGATGAACTAATTGAATATAAATATAAAATATACCACAGCAGTAAAAGTTGTGTGTGATTGCCATTGCCTATCAACAGAGTACATGTGTGTGTGATTACCATGATCTATCAACAGAGTACATGTGTGTGTGATTACCATGATCTATCAACAGAGTACATGTGTGTGTGATTACCATGATCTATCAACAGAGTACATGTGTGTGTGATTACCATGATCTATCAACACAGTACATCTATCAACAGATACCATGTGCGTGATCACCATGATCTATCAGTAACATGTGTGTGCGTGTGTGATTACCATGATCTGTCAACAGAGTATATATGAGTGTGATTACCATGGTCTATCAACACATTATATGTGTGTGTCATTACCACTGTCTATCGACAGAGTACATGCATGTGTGATTACCATGGTCTATCAACAAGTACATGTGTGTGTATGATTACCATCATCTATCAACGGATAACATGTGTGTGTGTGTGATTACTATGATCTATCAACAGAGTATGTGTGTGTGTGTGTGTGTGTGTGTGTGTACTATGATCTATCAACAGAGTACATGTGAGCGTGGTTATCATAATCTACCAACGGAGCACCTGTGAGTGTGATTACTATGATCTATCAACAGAGTATGTGTGTGTGTGTGTACTATGATCTATCAACAGAGTACATGTGAGCGCGGTTATCATAATCTACCAACAGAGCACCTGTGAGTGTGATTACTATGATCTATCAACAGAGTATGTGTGTGTGTGTGTGTGTGTGTACTATGATCTATCAACAGAGTACATGTGAGCGTGGTTATCATAATCTACCAACAGATCACCTGTGAGTGTGATTACTATGAGTATAGATGTGTGTGTGTGGACCACTTCTGTGGTGTAGTGGTTCGAGCGTCTGCCCGGAGAGCGGAAGGTCGCGGGTTCGATCCCCAGCCGCGTCACACCAAAAGACGTTAAAAAATGGTATTTGTTGTTCCCCGCCATGCACTCGGCATTAATGGGTACAACACGGACTGGCCGGAGTCAGTATAATGTGTCTGAGTAGGGAATTCATGTTTAACTGCAGCGTGGTATCTCAGTGAGCTAGCACAATAAACCCAGCTTCAGTCTGGGCTAGTACAAGCAGCCACACATACACATGCATGCACAGAGTACACGTGAGTGGACCGCCTCCGTGGTGTAGTGGTTAGAGCGTCCGCCCTTAGAGCGGAAGGTCGCGGGTTCGATCCCCGACCGCGTCATACCAAAAGACGTTAAAATATGGTACTTGTTGGTCCCTGCCTGGCGCTCGGCATTAATGGGTACAACAAGGACTGGTCGGCTCGGAGTCAGTATAATGTGTCTGAGTGGGGTATTCATGCTTCACTGCGGCATGGTATCTCAGTGGGCTAGCACTATAAAACCAGCTTCAGTCTGGGCTAGTACAAGCAGCCGCACACACACATACACACGCATGCACGTCGTCATATGAGCGAAATATTGTCAAGCACGACGTTAAACCCAATTTCACCTCACATGTGAGTGTGTCTGATTACCATGGTCTGTTAAAGGAGAACATATGTGATTGCAGAACTATTTGTAACGATGGTTCAGTGAGGTGCTGAAACTGCTCCTTTTGGCTGTGGAGACTCAGGACCCATTCCAGTAACACTACAAGGTTTAGACAGCAGAATTTGATCACTGGGCATGTAGTCTTGAACGGCCGAGAGTTCGCTTGAAGAAAGTAATATGACACGTCGAACGTGATTAGGACAGTACCAGAAATATAGGAGGGGCATAACTCATAATAGACATGAAATTGGAAACTGAAATTTTGTGGTCAGTTAACTCCCTTCACTCTGAAGGATGAGTTTATATAATTTGTAAAAGTTCAGATATGTAATTGCAATGCCTGTGAAATCAAAAACTAAAGTGATCTTCTGATAATGCAATATTAAGTTTCAACATTAATGGCATATTTTCGATTTCATATGTACAATCGTAAGCCAAGGCTAATACTATTGCATTGTTTTAATTTTAGCAATGCGGACTGTCTGTGGACGATCAACACTTCCACTGAGGGATACGTAATCTATGTTACAGTGGTGATGTTCGACATTGGGTACGACATGTGCCTCTGACTGTGTGGAGCTCTATGATGGTACTGGTTTATACTCAATCATGGTTTCCCCTGAAATGAGTAACAATGACAGTTGGCTTTTTGGAACGACTGCATCAGGAACCCTATGTCGGTGATTTTAACTGTATTCATTGTTAATCAAGTGTTGTAAGAACCTCGTTAACCTTGTATAACTGTATCCAGAGAAGGAAACATCAGAGACCTGTGTGACTGCGGGTATCCTTCCCCATTTTAGCTTGTAAAATAACTGATATGTCCCCGTTGACTTTGCCAAACACTGACACAGGATTTCATTAACAAATGCTTTAGTTATAAGTCCTGGTGCCCTGTTTGAACACTCTGAATTCGAATTATCATGGTTTCCTTATATTATTGATGCCGTTACGTGTTGATTTCCAAGTTGAAACTAACAGGTTAACCGTGAACTAGGTTTGAAGCATGGAAAGAAATGTGATATCGGGTTTCCTTCCCACTTTAAGCAGATACGGTGTAACTAATATGATGTCCACGTTGACGTAGTCAGCAACTGACACACCGTTTTTGGATTTATAAATCATGTTGACTTGCCTTTACACACAAAGAATTCGAATCACTGAGGATTCGTAATATTGTTGTTTGTTTTATGTGTTGATTACCAGGTTGAGACTAGAAAGGTATCCGTAAAAGTAGGACAAGCACCAAAGAAATACGATGTCATTAACACTTGTATTCAAACATTGATGAGTTCTCAAATCAGTACAAAGTTATCACTGTGGCATTCAACAGTAATATAACAATAGCAGTGGATGTGACAATCAAACAGTGATGGTAATGTTCACTTCTCGGCAGCAGAAAAACATCTTGCACCCAGGCAGAGTTATTAAGGGTATAATGATCACGATATACAATCCTAGTCGTTGTATGATCCCCAGGGAGTTGCGATTGATAGTACGATGTGCCGTTGTGACTCACATCTAGTGATCGAGGGAAAAACAAAAGCGTCTCCAGCAACTGAGCTGGATATCGGTGCTACACAAATGTTAGCATAATATAATAGTGGTCTTGTAACTTGGGACGTCACGTGAATCGTCAAGTGCACCGTTGCAACATATCACTTTATCTTGTAAATGAACAAATTGCAAAACATTTCACATAACACGTGTCGAAAGATTAGCAGTATGTTGAGTTGGACGCGAAGGACACGATTCGACAGGTTGACCAAACTGACATATTTCCGCCCTGATCACATTGCACACGCTTTGACATGACTGATATAGAACAGATGTCTCAAAGAACGGCCGACCGGCAGTCAATGGTTATCGAATTAGCTAATATGATTTTTCATGAACGGACCTTCGCTGAGTGAGTGAGTTAATATTTAACGTCACATCGGCAATATCTCAGACATATCGTGACGAAAACAAGTTTGAAGAGTAAAACCGTAAAAATACTAGAGTATCACAGATATGAACATAAAACTAGCATGTAAATCTAAAACATTTTAATTGAAGAAGACAATACATATAGGTTATCACGCGAGTGTGTTTTGGGATGGTTAATATCCTGCATTAGGAATAATCATTGTATTTAGCGAGCCTTGGCGAGCTAAATACATAATGTTTATTCCTAATGCAGGATATTAACCATCCCAAAACACAGGCGAGCTAAATACAATGATTATTCCTAATGCAGGATATAAACCATCCCAAAACACACGAGTGTGATAACCTATTTATCATACAATGTCATTTTTGCTTTATAATTTAAAAAAAAATGCGATTTCAAATGCCACAAATCATGAACCTAAACTTCGTGGAATGTCTATGACGTCACAAATATGTGCGGAGTAATACGTTACGTCAAAAGCCCGCTGACATAATTTTCTCCTGATCACTCAGCTGACTGCGTTAGGTCATCTAGTTCCCAGTAAGCTTTTATGCCAAAGCACGTATTGTTGTCAACAAATCTTAGCTTACGTCTAAGAAACTTCAGAAACCTTCAATTAACCTTTTGAACAACAAAATACGCTTTAATGTTCGCGTGACATTGTGCACCTGGATTCCTATGCCGTTCTCTCGCAAACACTGACAGTCGGTCGGGGAACTGATGTTGGTATCTTCGTAAGCCTATGAATTTCTATCTTCGCTTTGTAATCTACTACATCTATCATAACCAGGCATGAATTTTCTTGGATCAAAGCACTGACAGTACCGTAACCACGGTCGTCAATCCGGACACGACCGCCGACCCTTGACGCCATGTTTGTTTACACTGTGAAAGTAGACCCTGAAATTTGCATATGACCTCTCTAATTTGCATCGATATCCGTATATGACCCCAACGGATACCGAAAATATCCGTTGGCTTTATCCTGCCGAGAACACTATCCATTGTATGATAAAATATAAAACACGGACTATAGATCGCCAACAACTGAAAGTAGATCACCATACTAGGGACTGACCTTCGCAGAGTAGTGACCCTTTAAGATGAGATGCTTTCTGTGATGCATGTACACAAGAAGACCAAAACCACGTCCAATATTAAGAATACAGCACACAATCTATTATATAAAATTATAGTAAATGTAAAACAGTAATGTGTGTCAGTAACATTTAATACGGTCGTTCATTTACTCTTCACTCTGAACACTACGGGCTGTTTCACACCTGGATACGATGTATATAATCGACATAAACAGTACACGCAATGCAGCAGTAAATTGTATATTATGACATTTGCGATTCTGTACACACTATTCATTCACTAGTAGAGCTCTTTTTGACGTGGACACGCTGTGTGCCTCAACCGGGTATGGTAACGGACTGTTAGAATTAGCATTGCGGCCACTTGTGTTGCATTGTCAGTGACTTGCAATGATATTATGAATGATATATTCACAAATTGGTGACAATGCGACAACGCGACAGTTTTGAAGGTTGAAATATATATCGCTTTGTCACACTGTCGCCCTGTCATAAATCCGTAAACGTGGGGTCCAAATATGCAGTAACACGACAATTATAATCTTGACAATGCCACAAACGTCAACAATGTCACGTTGTCACATTTTTGTGGTTTGATTGAGTGGACTTTTGTTGCATAATGTTATAGGAGGCGACAACGCGAACATGCCCTTATGCACTCAATCGCATGTTTTTCGCTGAAAGCCTTTGAAGATATACACATGTGATCATTGTTTAAACAGTTAGGGTTTATATCTAATGATATGTGGACAAATACTTAGTTTACTGGCTTCTATTCAAAAAATGCTAATCACTTGTATAAACTCTTCCCTTGTGTAAACAATACCTATCATCAGTACATGTCACTCTTTCATCTCCCGTTTCTTATCCAATTTATTGTATATACCGGCAACACTGGCTTCTTGTACATTTAGCATATATACTCGTTGATGTATCTTGTTTGTTACAATTCACCTGACGAAGGGGCAAGGAATAGCCCCAGAAACGTTGTGACATACAATAAAGTAGAAGTTGTCATCCATAATCTTTGCCTTTTACTTGAATACCAATTTCTAAATGCCCCTCAAGAATCTCCTTATGTATAGATTCATATTCATCATAATTATTTGCCTCAACCCCCTCCCATAGAAGTATTTCGCCCTTGCTAATTTCATCAGCTTAGAGTGACATTTTACTATGCGACTTCCACACATCTATAACTCACACGTCGTCATATCGTGTATCATTAACATATGATGTTTACATATTTATGCTAATTAGCTAAACATTAATCACAGCGAACATAATTAATAAGAATACATCGCATCGCAATTACTGTACAATTTAGAATGTAGTTCGAGTGTTAAAATTGGAACAATGTTTAGTGAATTTAGTTCTTTCTTGTATTTACCAGCACTTGGCGGTGGTATGGATTTCAGTATCTTTGTTGAAGTGACCTCACTTGCTCCCGTATTTACTTACGTAGCGCATATTTATGAACAGCGCTTTAGTAAGCCTTGAATATAGACACAAAACGTTGTAACACAACATGCAAATGTGTAGACAATACTGTATAACTTACTGTATAGAAGGCATGTGACTACGTGTCAGTCTAACACTCATTTGTCAGACGGTTGTTATCTGATAAGGTCATAGGTCACATCCTGGTCCCATTCGGTGATCACCACGGACTTTACTTTGACGTTGAAATGGACCATATCGGGATATTTATATAGTAATGTGATATTGCTCTTGTCTAGCTTTAAAAGTCTCAACAAACAAGTGTGTACACAGACGGTGTTTCGATACATCGCGGAATAATTTGATACTGTCGTTTTCTAGGGAGAGCTGGCGGCGACGAAGGGACGCTATTATGAACATACCTTGTTTCTTTGGGGTATGTGCCCTGTTGTTGTGGCATTTGGTTTGTGGTTCAGGTGAGTGTTATTGTGGTTGTTTTTGAGGTGCTCAATTATCTGTTTGTCAAATTAAACACTTCAAATGACATGGACTCTTAGATCAGTTCAAACCGCAGTATCGCCATCATATTCCCGTAATGCATATCTGGCAGTGTATCTACACATGTAGAAAATGTAGAGGGTTAAATTAATGTCTAGTTGAGGGACACATCTTCAATATTCATATTTTTCACTCGTAATATGATAAGTGTGGTACAAATAATGCATAATTTCATATCGAACGCATACACCCGTCCAGCCATTCGTTTAAACAAAATGGCGATATCATGTTTACACACTCAGCGGGACGGGCTCGGTTCAGTCAAGATAACCGTAAGTTGGAAAATGGCGTGGTATAAGACACCGAGGCTCCTAGATCAGTTGAAATATTCAATGGATATGTATATACTGGCACAAAAGAAGACTCATAAGGAAACAATAATCCCTTTTGTTTTGTACCGTCTATTTTCTTATGGAATATACAATAGTATAGTTACATTCCGGGTGCATTTCTTTGGAATATACATTACTGTTAAACAGTATTTAAGTACTTTTCTTCATAAATCGTATAAAGTATGTCCCTCCACTTCAACCCTATGTTTGATAAATCCAAAAACTTCACGAACATGAAGGCACTTCGCAGGTTTGAATTTTGTGAGAATAGATGCGACAAAACCCTTTCCACATTCATCAATATTCTCTGCCAAAAGCGGAGTCGATGGTACAATTGTGACTATATCATGAGGAGATATTTGTTTCAGCAGTATTACAGCTGTATGGTGTTGCTTGTAAACAAATCGGGTCTGAACTCGACAATTAAGTGATTATCACCATGCGATACGATAACAGAGCTTGTGTTTATCAATCACTATGAACAGTGATGATTTGGGGAATGGTGGGCGAGTTGGCCTAGTGATCCAGCGAGCTTGAGGTGCCAGGATTGAGCCCACTTGAGACCGGGAGTAGAAGCCTTGAAGTCAACTTTGTGACTCTCTCAGTGTTGTCAAAACCCCTAGTGTACAGTACACAACCCTGTGCACTTAAAAGAACTCACGAATCCGTTGGTATATGACCAGAGAGTGATCACGTGAATACCTGCAAACACAGCAACGTGCAGCTTGTACTGTAACTATGTGTCATCCAGCTGTGAATGGGTACCTCCTAAGGAAGGGAAAGCCGCAATAACTCGCTGCGTCTAGTGGCTGTAAGAGTTGCATGGTCCCCAGGGAATTGAAATTGATAATAACATGTGCCGTTGAGATTGACGTCCAATGATCGAGAGAAAAATACCAGCGCCTTGAGCATGTACTAGTTGCGAGGATATTTGCGCTATATATAAAATCCTATGATAATAATACCTGCCCCACCGGTGGCACCCGTCACTTTTCTGTTGTGTCATGTACAACATACACCCATCTGAAACATTACTAAAACACAATTCATGGCGTTTCACGTGATTTCGTGGATGTTTTAATCTAAATATCGAATACTTACTGGAAAATTTAAAAGCCTTATATCATTGTGATCACGGGGGCGGGCACAAGGGTGGGGGTGGGGATGGAGCTCTGGCCTGTTTTTTTTTTCGATTTCATAATGATTTCAATACTAATATTGAGGATTCTACTTTCAATGTGAGAACATTGAGTGTATATTTTCGAACATTAATATTAATTTATTTAAAAATCCGATTTTGTTTAAATAACAAAAAAAATCTATCGTGGACACTTCTCCTAAAATATTGTTAATCAGCTGAAACTGCGGCCTGTCTTCAGTGTAGAAATGCACGCTTATCCCTATTCTGTTACTGCTTATCACCTTTCGTTTGTTTGAACTAAGTTAGCCCGCCACAAGTTTCTGGATTTGATAACAACAGTTTGTTGAATCGTGAATATGATCTGGTGGTACTTTGATGGTGGGAAGTAAAGGGTTTTTTACTTGTATCCAAGGAGTTTATACTTTGTTTTCATTTGCATAAACCATAAGTTTTAATACATTTACTATTATAGGAATTTAATATGCTTTGTGTCACGTCAGTCTAAAGGAAAATGATTAATTTGAACGGATATGTCTTTTTACACATACTGCACGTTACATCAAATCTCTAGATTTTATGCCACCCGCATTCTGGAAAAAAACAGATGTTGACATTGGAATGAATGTACTTATGCCGACTGGATTGTGTCATTCCTGTGCTACATTGAAATTGATATATTTCGTGTACGTGGTATTATATTCATCTATGTGAAGAACATATGAAATAAGTTGATAATACGGAAATATAAATAGTAAGTAGTTTCAATCTCTTTCAATAACTGACATGTCTGTACCTAAACAATAAAAATACAAAACAAATTGTTTTATAGTTTATAATTAGTTAATAAAAACAATTAACTATCAATTGCTAACCTAGCGATAGTCACACATACTATCGATGCATTGATAGAGCCCTACTGCTCAGAGATCTGTTATGGGATATATCAAAGATGTGTGGTATGTATGTATGTATGTATGTATGTATGTATGTATGTATGTATGTATGTATGTATGTATGTATGTATGTATGTATGTATGTATGTGTGTGTGTGTGTGTGTGTGTGTGAGAGAGAGAGAGAGAGAGAGAGTGTGTGTGTGTGTGTGTGTGTGTGTGTGTGTGTGTGTGTGTGTGTGTGCGTGCGCCCGTGTATTGACATCGACACAACTCGTGTAAACCATCATTGTTTATATATATTATATATTGTCGTTTTATGTTGAGGCAAAATACTTGTTTCCTGACCATAAACACAGATTCATGCAGCTTACAAACTGTAGGTTAACCGATTAACCAAAAATCAACACCCTTCCCACAGTTAATGAAACTGCTGTCTTAAAGCAACAATGTATAGACACCAGAAAACTGTATCTTCACCTATATCCACCCGTGCATTCACAACTGACATTCGAAGTAATGTAGTTTTGATCAAGGTGATACAACGAAAGAAAATACTTACCTGAAGTCTATACTGTTGTGAGCGTGTTCTTTACAGGTGCGTGCAACGTTACACTCTATGCAGAGAGAGAACCACTGAACTTCACATCTCCTAACTACCCTAACAGCTATAGAAAGTAAGTGAAAGAATATTTATTTTAATCATTCACGTCATGTATGCTCTCCCATACCGAAATCGTTCATTTTTACCATTGCTGATTTTTATACATTCTATTGACGAAATACTGAGTACGTAAAACCGTAAACAGATGCTGCACATATGGACATAAACTGAATGACAAACGAAATTCCTGTTTTTTTGCGTCATATGTGATTATATATATATATTGTAAGTATCATTGTAAGCTTTCATATGACTGAAGTGTTATTCTTTATATTACTTTCTTTAACGCCTTTTAGTGAAAGGTCAAACATGGCAAAAGAGAATATTAAAATAGTGAGGGGATTTCAAATGTAATGTTCATGTGACTCAAATATAACCGTTGTTTCTTCAGTAATGAAACCTGCTTTTGGGACATCTACCCTCAGACAAGCGGCTACAGAGTTGTACTTGATATGGTGTACAGTAACATCGAAGGCTCACCTCCCACCTGTCGCTATGACGCTCTTTCCATATACACCATAAATAACGGTAAAATAGTTATGGTTAGAAATTACAAAACTCACTCAAACCTGTTGATGATGAAAATTGATCAACGAACCTAGAAATTTCACTGATTAATGTTGCTTCAATGACACTCTGGGTTGTTTTTATGTGGAATCATATACATGTATTCAGTTGAAATTTTTCCTTAACTATTACTGATGCTAACATAACATTTACAATTTATCTTTGTAATATGTAACAGTCCAAATGAAGGGACAGCAAATATATCCTGACAATTACATTTCCTCCCTTCCCAGGTGATCATACATCCGCAAATGTACACAGAATTTGTGGTTCAAACAGATGGACTATCATTGTCGATGACGACCAACACTTCCACGCTGTGTTCAAGACTGATAACAGTGTCACGAAAAGAGGTTTCCTAATTAGATATTACGAATCAAAAGGTGGGTAAGGCTTTGACGTTCTTCATAATCAACAACACCTCGTAAACATTTAAAGTATAAACACAACATTTCTGCAGTGCAAAATGACAATATATACGTAAGCTTATTCTGAATATAGTGATGCGGCATGGGTCATGTCAAATATTTTCTGCGTCGGGGAATTGAGGGATAAGTGAAAATGGTTTGATCCGAAATTGTGATTGCTTTTATATCAAAACTACTCTTTGACTTTAACATTTTATACCATAGATACATTAAATGACCCAGCCCAATATCATGTGAGCATTAGTGAAATTGAAGTAATAATTGGGACAATGAAGTCTCGCGAACACATCTGTACGAGAGTAATACTGTTGTAAAGACTGACGCTTAAGCATTTTGACCCACAACACTATTATCTGTAAGGGAGGAGTCCAATTGATTCTGAGTTCTTCAAGAAGTCTCGTCGAAAACAGGAGCATTTGTAGTGATCGAACTATAGCGCTTCCACAGATGTGCCTCCTTTATCCCAAAATTTATCTGTTTCTGGTAAAATCAAAACTGGATATTCCTTTGCAATGAAGTTACATATAGTCCATGGTCTAAACAATATCAAACAATGTATTTGAATAAATCTACATCTCTCAATGCCAACTGGGAGGTTTGCAAAGTACATAATTACACAGCGGGATCATGTACATTCGATAGCCCTTGCAGGGCCGATATGAAGTCATGTTTAAACAATATAAATATAAAATTTGTCATAATTTTAAAGAATAAATACTTAATAATACTTAACTATTTGAATAAATGCATTCACTGAGTGGGTAATATATAAACACTGTTATCACATTCAGAGAGAGCCCTCTGCGGTGTACCTCTCGTAGCAACTTCTGTCGGCAAGACATTTACCTCGCCTGGATACCCAAACTCCTACTTCCTGTGAGTAACTTTAATAACATATCATCTACAATATTAAATATATGTTAAAATATAGCACGATTGAATGAAAGAGCATACAATGAAATATTCCATATTTATTAATTGATAACTTTATCATAGAAAACAAACGGCAATTTTCAGGTTGATGTCCTAAATTCAGGACTGGGAAAGACAATTCAGCCACGAAAGAGTGTCGATCCTATGAAAGAGGCCCTTCTGGTTGTTGTCTCCCCTTGATCAGAAAACACGCTCAGATTGCGATACTGAAGTAACTTTAAATAAGCTAGCTTTATGATATTATTCCTAAACTATTTTTAAATGTCCGGCTATTGGCTTTACGACGATTTCAGTGATAAACCAAGAACATCACAGTTACGCTTCTTGCTTTATGCGAATTTCGGGAATTTAACTTTGGCCTTTGGCTTGACGAAATCAAATAGGCTAAAAAACTAAGCTATCCTACCTAACCATATGGCTCATTTCGCAAACTGTATTTTTTGGTGGCCAAACAGTTCAGAAACATGCGTCAGTTTTCAGGCTCCAGTCATGTACCTGGGATATTACAACAAAACACCCAAACCAAACTGTTATATTGTATACCAGCGACTCGGAACTTGGAGACGACTGCACACGAAGGGTCTGTGGCCGAGACTACGTAACTGTATATAACGGACAAAACAGTAAGTCGGGATCAATCTTATGATCTGTACCTTCTTCTTCATCCTTTTATGATGGAGAAATACATACAAAGCATCAAAGAATATATATAATGATGATGGCTCCATGATGTCTGTATCGGTGCGTATGCAGTGACATGCCAAGTTCTAGCATGGTAATGTATAATACTTCACTTCCGTTGATACTCTTGTTCTTCGAAGCTTAAATGTAGGATGACATTAGTTCTGCAAGGTACTTACAATGATCCATTTAAAAAAAAGAAGAGCTGAGGTAGTAAGTGCAATGTTGACCATTAACGTCTGCAGTGCCTGTTAGTGATTGAGTAAGTTACTATTTATTGGGACATTGGCAATATTTCAGCCATATCGTGACGAGAACCATTGATTTCTAAGTCATAGATCAAGGAAATTAGAAATTAAAAGTCTTTTGGTGAAGAACAGTAAAACTACTAGTGTATCACAGATATCAAAGTAAAACTAGCATATTATCATAAAACGACATCATTAAAGAGAACAATATAATATAAAACCAGGCTATGGATTGCCAGCAGCGAAAGTGACTGTGATGTTGTATTTTCATACCATGGTATGTATGCAGGCCAGAAATATGTGTGATGTTGGTCTTCCATTCCACGTTTGCTCTGCCACTTGACTCACGATTATGATCATTACATATTTTACCTTATTGTGGAACTGACACTGTATCTCTGTATGTGTACCCATGGAATCCTGAAAGGGACATTGTCGCGTTGTCGCATTGTCGCGTTTTCGCCCTCTCAAATACAAGCAAAATGAGGCAAAATTAACCAAAACGCGACACGCGACATCGCGACAACGCGACATTTCGCCCATTTGTCGCATTGTCGCATGTCGCGTTTTGAAAAAGTATTTTGTCTATTCCTCAAAAGGGCGACACGCGACATAGCGACAATTTTCAAGGTCAAAATATGTCGCGTTGTCGCATTGTCGCCCTATGTAGGATTTGTAAAAACAGTCTAAAAATTAACTAAAACGCGACACGCGACAATGCGACAACGCGACATTTTGATGAAATGTCGCGTTGTCGCATTGTCGCGTGTCGCGCTTTGTTAAAATATTGAGTATAGTATTTATTATATCTTATGACTAAATGCAACACGCGACAATGCGACAAAATATATGTCGCATTGTCGCGTTGTCGCCCTTTTCTATTACCGATGCGCATGTGTAGAAAGTCAATTAGTCTAAATGTTATACTCTTTTTCAGACTTCACTGGTCTTTTGTTACCTCCAATGGTTTTCAAAATGAAGTAGTGCTCGTAATGGCAATGGGGCTGCTTTTCCTGAACTTAACGCAAATCTTTTATTGTTGCTTTATTGTTTTATATATTGTAAGTGTGTTTAGCCAATAAAGTGTGTTTTAGCAGCCAGACAAATTATTAGCGCTACTATTCATTGCAATCACGGCACACGGTGGCCCTGTCATTCAAGGCGAGGCAATTTGCTGTGCAGGGTTGTGTCTCTTAGTCACACTAGATAACTATGATCATAGGTTCGAATCCCAGCACCATACACATTCATCACTTTGAACGTTTCACCCATATTAAGCTCACAGGTTGTGAAAAAACTGAAATATTGTTAAAATCCAGGCCACATCGGCAGAAACATCGCGTGTCGCGTTTTAGTCAATTTTTAGATGTTTTTACACATATTACATAGGGCGACAATACGACAACGCGACATATTTTGACCTTGAAAATTGTCGCTATGTCGCGTGTCACCCTTTGGAGGAATAACTAAATTATTATTCAAAACACGACACGCGACATCGCGACAATGCGACAAATGGGCGAAATGTCGCGTTGTCTCGATATCGCGTGTCGCGTGTCGCGTTTTGGTTTATTTTACCACATTTTACTTGTTTTTGAGAGGGCGACAATGCGACAACGCGACAATGTCCCTTCTCGGATTCCATATGAAACTGTATGTGAAACATACACATAAAACTGTTGATTTTTGTTCCAATCTAGGTTCTGAGACACTCGGCAGCTTCTGTGGTGACGAAAAACCCGTATTTGTCAGTGGAGGCAACTCATTGCGGGTTCATCTACACACTGATGCCACGACAAACCACAGGGGATTCAGAATGCTTTACAAAGCTGTACCTGGTGTGTTTGAATTCAGCAACTTAAATATAACTTAGTAGTCCAATCTCTCTGAAAACGATCAATATGTTCGAAGTCAAATCGATGTTGTGATTTACTTAATATACTTATTTTCTTACACGTTTATTTGGTGTGAATTCTTACACAAAAATATTGCGTTTATGAATGCTACACGAAGGTATATCGGGTTTGCAGTGTGTTTAACGTACCTTATCAAGGGACCTTTCTCTCTAAAACATCATTTTCGGAAAAAAATTCTATTGTGAGCTGCTCGTTGAGTATACTATTTGTGGATTGACGAAAAAGAAATGACTTCCGTACAAGAAGAGCGTTTCGTGTTTGTTCATGAATCACAACATTGAATACGGAGGGTAACAGTCCCACTGCCATTGTCCCGATTTAAAGACTGGATTTAATTGTAACTCTCTGGAATCATATCGCGTTTGTACACCGTATGCATTCGCAGTGGTTAATTGCTTTGTTTTCTTTTTGTGCTTAAATCAGTCCAGAGGAAACGCTGAAACATAATCAATAGGTTCAATAATTATGGGCAATACAAAATATGTCAGTAGCATATATTTATCTCAAAGTGGAATTGTAATATGTATTATGCATGATCTTGTCTCCAATGTCAGCAACGACTTGCAACGTTACGTTGCCTGCAGGGAAGAGTCCGATACAGATTGTCTCCCCTGGCTATCCTCACAACTACCAAAGGTGAATAACACTTGGAAAATATTCTGACCCTTCTTATCATTACTTATAGCTAAAATTGATAGAATTATAATTTAAACGCCCGCATGTTATCAGAATTGAGCGGGCCAATGTAACTTGTTAATGCCCCCAAATTGCTTCACACTCGACACATATAGATGTGATATTTTGCACTTTCTTGCCGGTGCCAACCTTAACGATTGTACCATAAATTGCAACATGCAGAAATACAAACATCGACTGGAACTGGAACGTTGTTGCGCATTGAAAAAATGGCGGCTGGTAGTGTGGGCAAAGGTCAAGGGCGAATGTGGTGACTCTCAATAGTGACCTCATTTGTTTTGTTCTATGACGTTTCCATACCTGTAAAACGTGTGTCAGTGAACTCCGTCGTTTGTTGTTAGCAGGAAATGCTTCAAAGCCGATACGGTTGTTTGTGTTCATTTTGTTAAACATTCTACCCATTTTAGCGATAATAACGGTAACGCTATTTTTCAGGGCATTATCATTTGCAGATGCCCTCGGTCTTCAACTGCCCTCCTCTGTCGGGCAGTTAATAAAAGACCTCGAGCTTCTGCAAATGATAATGACCTGAAAAATAGCGTTACCCTTATAATATATTACGATCTCTGACTGAATGTTCCAGAATGTTTACAAGATGAAAATATGCAAGTGTGCATGATGACCAGTTGTTTTTTTGGACTAGGTAACCTATGATCGAAGTCAAAATAAACATTGTGTCAAAGTTTACAAAGGTGTGCTTGATGTAATATTTTGTTCGCGAGTTTCAATCATGTTCAGACACAAACATTAATATAATTTTCATGAACAGTTATTGAGACAAAGACGGGTCATAATTCCTCCCCAAAGATACATTTTGAAACGTGAGGTTCTACAGAACGTCCTTGTTCTCCTTTCTGTATCTTATTTTCATATGTTGCAGTGGATTAGACTGCCAATGGACTATTATTGCGCCGTCTGGAAACAGCATCAGGATTGAAATTCTGTTTGTTGATATGGAAACAGCGCCATCGTGCGCAAAGGATTATCTATTATTCAATGACGGTAGGTAAAACTAGGATCTATGGAATATATTTCTGCAATTCGTTCTCTGCAGTAGCTGAGGCTGTCCGAGGCAATTACATGAATGTGTGGTAACAAGGAGACACTGCGATGTTAAATTGACCTGTTCAGGGGTTATTTTGTTATGAAATTTGACCACTTTCTAAATGGCATTGTCTATTCAGTTTTTGTTGTTTCTGTTTGAATGTAAAAAGTGAAAAAAATGTAAAGACCTGTTGAAATGCACTCATTTAATGTTTTTCGTCACATGCAGCTATTATACTTGTAACAACATACAACAGGGATAAGCTGAAGGGTATCTAGGAAGTGTTTGAGTGAGTGAGTGAGTTAATATTTATCGTCACATCGGCAATATTTCAGCAATATCGTGACGAGAACATATTTAAGATGGAATATGTGTATAGTATAAAAACCTGTCATCAAAGGACAGTAAAACAACTGGAATATCACAATTAGAATTAAAACTAGCGTGGAAAGTTTAAACTAATAGCACTATATAGACAATACAATATAAAAACAGGCTATAGATCGCCAACAACAGAAGGTAGATCACCATATCAGGGACAGGAAGTGTTTGAGGGTAAAATAGGTTCGAAAATGAAATTATTTCACTCAAAATGACACACCCCGAGAAATAATCAAGTCATTAAGTGACAGTGACATATATAAATGAGAAAATGATTTAAATCTAAACATTTAAATTTGGCATCTCCTGTTGTACACAAACTAATCCTGGTATCCTGTGTTTTTAATGTCACTACCTTAAATGTTTGTAAAGTAAGGTTTTCCCAAAACCTTCATTCAATTCAATGTTTCAAGAAAAACTCAAATGCTTGCCAGTTTTCAGAAACAATTCTGATTGTACTATAACAAAACCTCAAACTATTTTCATCCAAAAGAACCATTGCACAGTATTTGGCATATTAGTGATCATAACTGCATCGATAGTACATGTAAATGGAATTCGAAGACTACATTCGTCAGTTAGTAATATAATACCTTTTACATTTAAGGTTCTTCTGCCTTTGCTGGCCAGACAAAGGTCTGTAACATTACCTCTTCTCCCATCGTCAGCTCCAGTAACCATATGACCATCACATTTCACTCAGACAGTACAGTCACAGGGAAAGGCTTTCGTTTGCAGTACTCCGCAGATAATCCCTGCAAGTATTATAATTTTTGTGTTTTAGTAAGGTCATATTCTCGTTCGCATCTCCGTTTTGAAAATACTATTATTTGAGAACCAGAGATCTCACAATTTGTGAGAGATTTTTGTGCTTTTCAAACCAAATGCCCACAACAAGCTCGTTTACTTCGTTCACGGGTATTAATTTTCGTTCTATTTGGGTCAACTTTGTCCTTCCCACGTTGTTGATGCCAGTGTTAGAACGGTAAGCGTCAACATTGTTGAAAATCTTCAGGTACGCACACATATGTGTCCATCGATCTAAATCGGATTATTTTGGATAGAATGTTACAGATGCTATCCAGGATCTTCAATGTACCAGTCTAGATTCTTGGAATCATAATTTAAAATACCGTAAATTATTATGTTTGTCACATGTTGGCAGGTTCCAACTGTCTGTCATATCTTACGGCCAGTCTGTACACGGAAAGGTATTTGACGTCTCCCGGCTATCCCTCATCTTACAAGTAAGTAGAACCACATCCCTGTCAAGTCAATACTGCATTGCATCAATGGCACAACTTACATGACAAGAAGCACATAACAGGTGACAGTCCGCGGCAGTCCAAACTACAGGTAAAACTTCAAAAGCATTGGGGGCGAGCATGTAGCCTGCTGGGTAAAGCGTTCGCTCGTCGCGCCGAGCGTCCGGGTTGCGTCCCCTCGATGTGTGAACCCCATCACTGGTGTACCTCTTTGTGATTTTCCTATCTCCGGCGTAAACCAAAACTGTCTCACTGAAACGCCTTATGTCTACACACATGATAAGCACTGTCTCATTGAAACGCCTTATTTCTACACACGTCAAGCACTGTCTCACTGAAACGCCTTATTTCTATACACATGACAAGCACTGTCTCACTGAAACGCCTTATTTCTACACACGACAAGCACTGTCTCACTGAAACGCCTTATTTCTATACACCTGATAAGCACTGGCTCACTGAAACGCCTTATTTCTACACACATGACAAGCACTGTCTCACTGAAATGTCTTATTTCTATACACATGACAAGCACTGGCTCACTGAAACGCCTTATTTCTATACACATGACAAGCACTGTCTCACTGAAACGGCTTATTTCTATACACACGACAAGCACTGTCTCACTGAAACGCCTTATTTCTATACACATGATAAGCACTGTCTCACTGAAACGCCTTATTTCTATACACATGACAAGCACTGTCTCACTGAAATGTCTTATTTCTATACACATGACAAGCACTGTCTCACTGAAACGCCTTATTTCTACACACATGACAAGCACTGTCTCACTGAAATGTCTTATTTCTATACACATGACAAGCACTGGCTCACTGAAACGCCTTATTTCTATACACATGACAAGCACTGTCTCACTGAAACGGCTTATTTCTATACACATTACAAGCACTGTCTCACTGAAACGCCTTATTTCTATACACATGATAAGCACTGTCTCACTGAAACGCCTTATTTCTATACACATGACAAGCACTGTCTCAATGAAATGTCTTATTTCTATACACATGACAAGCACTGGCTCACTGAAATGTCTTATTTCTATACACATGACAAGCACTGTCTCACTGAAACGGCTTATTTCTATACACACGACAAGCACTGTCTCACTGAAACGCCTTATTTCTATACACATGACAAGCACTATCTCACTGAAACGCCTTATTTCTACACACATGACAAGCACTGTCTCACTGAAATGTCTTATTTCTATACACATTACAAGCACTGTCTCACTGAAATGTCTTATTTCTATTCACATGACAAGCACTGCTTCACTGAAATGTCTTATTTCTATACACATGACAAGCGCTGAAACATTCATAATCACCCCAAACATGGCAAGGGACACTAAACATGTGATGCACATAATCCAGTACACACATGACGAGCTCTTCATAATGAGGGCCGGCATTACCCATACAAGAGGAAAAGTATACAGTGTGAACACGGGACAAATATTAGTATACTTTAGGAGTTCAAAGGCAATAGACACGTGATAAGTACATTAGAGTAACACGTGACCAGCAATGTACATGAATTAACTTGGGCGATACTCATATAAGTAGCACTATAAAGGTAAAGTTGGGTGATACATGTGATACCTTGGATTTTAACATTTCGGAAACGAGAATATGGCACCGAATACGTATCACGTTGTATCACATTCACCAATTGGTACATGGGCCTACTTTTAATTCTTGATGCAAGAACTGCCTCTTGGTAGCATTGTCGAAATGTGCCATTTGCACGAGGCTGACGCATATTGGAGAGGTTTATCCTAGACAGTTTGTGAATGCAGGAAGTATGCCAATCATCATAAACACAGTGAGCAGGAATAACCCTGATGGTAAATGAGATAAATAGTATGGATATGACGTTCTGTGAATTGAGGAACACACTGTTATTATACTACAAACGTTGATGTCCATATCTAAACCCTGCCATCCCTTTTTGTGTGTCATTTCTAAATGTCATTCAGTCATCAGACTGTGTGATTTAGTTGATTGCTTGTCATCAGACTGTGTGATTTAGTTGATTGCTTGTCATCATACTGTCTGATTTAGTTGATTGCTTGTCATCAGACTGTGTGATTTAGTTGATTGCTTGTCATCAGACTGTGTGATTTAGTTGATTGTCTGTCATCAGCCTGTGTGATTTAGTTGATTGCCTGATATCAGACTGTGTGGATTACTTGATTGCCTGACATCAGCCTGTGTGATTTAGTTGATTGCATTTTATCAAACTAGGTGGCTAAGTTCGACGGAATAATGTATTCGCTTTCTCCCTCACTGGTAATTTTTTGCAAGTATCATAATGAAAGTCATACACGTTGTTATTTTGTTTTGTTTGTTTTGTTTTTGGTTTTTGTGAGAGTGTATCGATGTGTTTTTATACATATGTCTCTGCTCCTTGTGTACGTTCGGACATCTGTAACAAATTCTGTTTGCAGCAGCATGCACTGCACATGGACAATATCTGCAAGCATTGGATATAACATAAAAGTGGAAATTGTGGTTCTTTCTATCGACGCATCATGTACTAGTAACTATCTTCTCTTCAGTGACGGTAAGCACAATGTGGATATCTGCAACAAGTTCATTCATGATTTATAATAAAAATCTTCACATCAATCCAATTTTAAGTTAACTGTTTTTCGTGTTTTGTCCACAAACCTATTTTGATATAACCGTCTTCCCGCTCAAAACGTTTAGCGTCGTATCTGATGAATATTATCATAGGTCTTTATATCAGTTCAGAATATAACAGGATGAAGTTGTGACTATTTTCGTATTAAGGCCTACGTCAATAATGTTGTCAATCTATAACCTGATTTTATATTGTGTTGTCCTCTATAGTTAAAATGCTTTAGAGTAATTACTGGTTTTACGTTTCTATCTGTGATAATCTAGTTATTTTACTGTCCTTCGTCGACAGGTTTTTGTATTTATTATCAATGTATACGTCTTTAAGTCACGCAATGACTGAAATATTGCCAATGTGACTATTAATCTTAACTCACTCACTCACTTAGTCAATAATAATAGATTTTGGATATGTATTAGTTGGAAACTATGTTCTGAACCCGTTTATTCTTGAGTGATGATTACCATTAGGGAATGTTTTTCAAGGTTCCTCGCCTAATGTTGCTCAGCTGGGGAGATATTGTGGTTCTAACCATAGGAACGCCACCGTCGTCAGCTCAGGCAATCACATGACCGTCACCTTCCACACCAACAGCCCAAATAGAGGGTTCAAATTGAAATACAAAGCTGGATATGTCCTAGCAACTACTGGTATGTGTGTGTTGGTGAATGGACTATTAAAACAGCTTCTTGTTTGCATCCACGAAACCAGAAGAAAAGTTTTAAAACTGAAATAAAAATTTGAAAAGAGTTATCGCTCATTTTGCATTGCACTAACATTTTGCTTTTTCAACACTTTTCAATGTATAATAATTTAGGTGTAAAATGAGCAACGGTCGGGATTAAAAATACTTCAAAGGGAATTCAATGTGCAAGTAGTCATGTTTTGTTCAAGAAAATATTAGTGTTGGATTTAATACAGGACAAAACCGTTTTCTGAATATCTTTAAAAATACATATTTTGACATGCTTCTGCATAACGCTGTAAGAGAAAACATGCACATTTCGTCAGTATCATAAATGACCTTTCTATATCGTTACCTTAACATGATTTCAAAGTATCCTATTTATGATTTTTAATATCTGGATATAAACGAATTATGGACAGCGAAAAAGGCTAGTTCAACAAACATACCAACTGTAATTATCTGTGATACTTCTTAGATTGTTTGATTGTGGATGCGTTGATAGCTGTGACTTAAGTCTTCATTGGTTCCTTTAACGTAGAGACACCAAGTGACAGGAATTGTTCCAGTTCGTCGCTGAGCGCATCCACGTCCGTATGGCAACATTTGACTTCCCCCGGGTACCCTGGCAACTATGCTAAGTAAGTAGATACAGATGATACCATTACTGACTGACTGAGTTTGGTTTTACGCCGCTTTTAGCAATATTCCAGCAATATCACGGCGGGGACACCAGAAATGGGCTTCACTCATTGTACCCCTGTGGGGATTCGAACCCTGGTCTTCGGCGTGACGAGCCAACGTTTTAACCACTAGACTACCCCACCGCCCCGATACCATTACTGAATGACGACACAGTGAGTATACAACGTGTGATAACGTTTTGAGCATCAAATGTATCACCTGCCCTCCAACAATATGGGGTTATCATGAGGTAAATGTAATTGCTATTCCTTCTGCGAAAAGTCTGCACAGTGGGGTAGCCTAGTTAGTATAGCGTCCGGTCGACACGCAGAAGAGCCGGGTTCGATTCCCACATGGGTAGTGTGTGAAACCTATTTATGGGATATTGATGGAACATTAACCCCTTGCTCCTCGAAAAGTCAAGTACTGGACCCAATTTGGGGTTCAGATTTGTTGCCAACTTGTGGGCTGTGGTCCTATTGTTCTATGTTCGCCATTTGTTCTTTCTTTCGTCATCATGAAATATGACGATCCGGGTTAGAATTGGACTTATCAACCTTTGCATGTTGTAATCCGATGCGACTAGCGGGATCGTGGAGTCAGGGTCGCTGATTTGATTGGCACATGCCATCGTATACCCATTGCATAGTTCGACGCTCACGATGTCAATCACTGTTTTTGTTTTTCGGATCCAGACGCGATTGTGGACAGAACGCTATCATATAGCGGAAATACTGCTGGGTGCTGCGTTAAAAATTAAGCAAACCTTTTTCATGACATTCATTGCCGTTAGTGTTTCCTCTTGGTAAACGTCTGAGTTAGATCGGACTCTTCATTAAAGGCTTCCATTTTCCCTCACCTGAACGACTGGAAATGCAAAGTTGATCTTAAATATGCCTACACCCATAGGCGGATCCAGAGAGGGGTTGTGCAGAGGTGCGCTCCCCTCCCAACCCCTCTTTTGTCCTGAAAGTTTATTAAATGACCATTGAATCCCTCGTGAGAATGGGTGAAAATGAATTGCAACACACTCCCTGCCCCGAACCCCCATTATTGAGAAGCTATCGAGGAACTAAAATCTGCACGATTATGAAAGCCAACCTGTGGTACTCTTATAATACATTTACTTTTCAGTGCAGTTTGAACCCACTCACTCCACCCATCTCCATCTCCAATCACTCACGGGCGGTGGGGTAGCCTAGTGGTTAAAGCGTTGGCTCGTCACGCCGAAGGCCCGGGTTCGATTCCCCACATGGGCACAATGTGTTAAGCCCATTTCTGGTGTCCCCCGCCGTGATATTGCTGGAATATTGCTAAAAGCGGCGTAAAACTAAACTCAGTCAGTCAGTCCAATCACTCACACACCCATTGAGTGCTTGAAGCGTACGTAAAGCATGTGAAAGTCAATTTGTAATACGTCTCTTGATATTATGGAACGTCATTTGATATTTCAATGCATGACCTTAGTTCCATATTAGAACATCTAAGTGACATGTACATATTTTGTAAGTTTCTCTATCGTATTTACCTGTTCGACTGGTTGTCCCAGTGATCAACAGCATGACCACTGATCTACGCAATTGGGATATGATGACATGAGTCAGCAAGCCTGACCACCTGTTCCAGTTAGTCGCTTCTTACAACAAGCATGGTCGTCACGGTTTTTATCTCTCTGAGCAGTTACGGAGAGTAATCGTATAGTCTTGCCTCGTAGCCAAAGCAAATTGGATTGAAGTTGAAGGCCTGTCAGCAATTCTTCACAGGTTACAAGCTGAAAAGCCCTGATATTGCTTGACTACATTTAAAGGGGCATAAAACCTTATTCACTCTCTGAAACGGGTCTGATTTGAACATGTCTTTACTGATGTTCCAATTTCCTCTTTGCAGCAACTTGCATTGTCGATGGACAATTTTCGCACCGGTTGGACGAAAAGTAGTTGTTGAAATTGTCGATCTCTTTATAGAGCATGCGGTTTCGTGTGCATCTGACTATCTCTTAATCAGTGACGGTAAGTACAATGGAACGTTGTATGTTCATAAAAATACACTCTTTTTAGTTGAAGTGAACTGGGATTCAGTCAATAGTTGTCATATTGTATTTTGTATTAATTTAAACGGATCCAAGTTCACAATGTATTTGTCTCAACTAAACCCTTTGGACAACTCAACAAGTCAAAGCTTATGGTTTTGCATACTATTCAATTCAGGACTGATGATGACTAGTCATTAGCTAATTTATTTAAGGTTCATCGTCTTACGCCGCTCAGTTAGGCAAGTACTGTGGTTATACCATCGGGACCGTCTTCAGCTCCAGCAACTACATAACCCTCACCTTCCACACCGACAGCTCTGTCACCAGAAAAGGGTTTACGTTGAAGTACAAGTCGACAACGTCAGGTACTCCTTTATCTTTAATGTATCACAAGCTTTCATAACAACGTATGGTATGCATTTACAACTTCTTTAATATTTACAACACGACGTTTCTGGTCTACTTCTTGCACCTTCATGAGGTGAATGACAGAATATGATTGCAAGCAAAATATATATTTTTTACAGGAAGCCAGTTAGAGGCTTTCCTTAAATCACACTTTTCCTTTCAAGTAAATCATGTAAATCTTAGAGCAGAGTCAGAATTCGAATCCATAACAAAATGATTTTATTAAACCCATGCGTATTTTAATGAACACTCAGACTGAGGGATTGTGTCATCTACTCCAGGGCCCGCATGCACAAAGCAATGTTAGCGCTACAGCTGTTGTAAATTCTTAAGATCACGATCTTAGGATTCGGTTAGAATTGCCACTCGCTTGCACAAAGCGTTTGAAGGCTGAGGTCATTGAAAGCTGCAATCGAAACTTACAATTGGTCCGGACGAGTCTTTAGTAGCTAAGATCGTTGTTGTATGTGATCCAATTACGTTGAATTGCAAGTCAGGGTCTGTTTCACTCAAGTAATCAGCTTCACGTTTGAAGATTGTGAAGAGTCCGATCTTAGCTAGGATCCAGGCTAAAATCCACGTCGTCTTACATTCGCGCTAAGATCGGCTTTGTGGAAATGGATTAGTATACAATTGTATGGTGATTTAAAAATTTATTGTAGGGGCCTAAGGTTGATTGTAACTTGGATTGTTTCATGCAAGTGGGCCCTGATGAGCCTTCCATGTCTGTTTTGTATTCTATCCGTCTAAACCATTATATACTGAGCCATCGAGCAATCATATCCCCTGTACCGGCTATAAATACTATAGTATTCATACTGCTGTCACATATGCTGTCTAATATTACCCTCAACGACAGAAACGTATCGTACGTAACACTTGTCACATACCTGGTATTTGTCACCGCATGAATATAAAGTCTTTAAGGTAAATATTAATAATTTAAATTATAATTTCTAAAAAAACACAAAAAAACTGGCGTTCTTAGATGTACTGTCCGCTTATCTAGACTTGCCCCTTCGAGGGATAGAATTACTATACATCCACTGGCTCAGCATTCAGTACAGCCTTGGAGCAAGGCTAGAATATACTGTGTTTCCACAGAGAGACCACACCTATACCTGTAACATATGGCGGTGAGACGTCAGATATCTCATGAATAATTCTTGACAGTTTTTTCGAGCAATCATATCCCCTGTACCGGCTATAAATACTATAGCATTCATACTGCTGTCACATATGCTGTCTAATATTACCCTCAACGACAGAAACGTATCGTACGTAACACTTGTCACATACCTGGTATTTGTCACCGCATGAATATAAAGTCTTTAAGGTAAATATTAATAATTTAAATTATAATTTCTAAAAAAACACAAAAAAACTGGCGTTCTTAGATGTACTGTCCGCTTATCTAGACTTGCCCCTTCGAGGGATAGAATTACTATACATCCACTGGCTCAGCATTCAGTACAGCCTTGGAGCAAGGCTAGAATATACTGTGTTTCCACAGAGAGACCACACCTATACCTGTAACATATGGCGGTGAGACGTCAGATATCTCATGAATAATTCTTGACAGTTTTTTCGCAAAAATGGACGGCTATCATATAACCGGGGATAGCTTACTCCTTCTGCCTACAACAGCTGGTGGTTAGAGCATTCGCTCGTCACGTCGAACACCCGGGTTCGATTCCCCACATGGTTACAGATTGTGAAGCCCATTTCTGGTGTCCCCACCCCACCCCCACCCCAGCGCGATATTGCTTGAATTTTGCTAAAACGGCGTAACATCATGCTCACTCACTGATCATGATGGTCCGAAGACGTCACCAATTAATGCAATGTACCTGTTTAATGTGACGCCTTCTGTATTTCAGGGTGTGGTCAAGACTTACAACTCAGCGGTTCTGAAATAAAATATATTGAATCACCGAACTATCCCTTTAACTATCCAGCGTAAGTACACACCTTTACATTCTGCATGGTCAACGCGTCATCAGACCCTATATGTGATATAGGAGGTGTACTGATGTACGATATATGCAAGTTCCAGGTCTCCCAAATACCTTTTTGAATCAGATAGTCGAGATAACAGCTGAGTATGTTCTGAATAGTTCATGCTGAATAGTTTCCTCGAGTCAAGGATGACTATCGTATATTCATGTTACAGTCAAACACCGTTGTGCCGAAATTTCATGTGTCGAACCTATTGTTGTCTCGAAGTAAAAGCTTGGTCCTAGTGTATTCCTTATTCATTATCTATTGCGGTTGTTTAGAACCTCGGATAACTCGAAGTTCAACGTTGAAACGACAGTGTTTGACTGTATTGTCTTTTACCACCCATAGCGTAGCAACACAGAGCATACACCTAACACGCTTTAATGATTCGCTGGTGGTATTTGATAGTCATAATTTGGTTTTGATTACAAGAGTGGTACGTGTTGCACATACTGATGACGTTTAACTTCATATACATCACAATAAAACTGTCAAATCCATTAGTCATGTTGCAGCATCTGCCAAACTGTTACACTGAACTCCGAACGCAAGGAGTGGTGTGGAGGTACTCTATACACACCATATGTGTACACACATACAATGTGTATTACGCAAAATGTATTACACACATGCACACACACACTCATCATTACATACATACTTACACACAGAGACAGAGACAAACAACATGCACACATACATTCTTACATATATGCATGTATGCACGCACGCACACACACAGATGCATTCTTATATACATACACACATCTGCCTGCTTGCATGCATGCATGCATACTTACACACTTACTCTGTAAGATACATACTTACACAGAGACGGAGAGACAGACACATAGCATGCACACACATTCTTACATATGTGCATGCATGCACACGCGCGCGCACACATGTATGCATACATACATACATACATACAGACATACAGACATACATACAGACATACATACATACATACATACATACATACATACATACATACATACATACATACATACATACATACATACATACATACATACACACACCTACCTGCCTGCCTGCCTACTTACCTACCTATATGTGCCTACCTACCTACCTACCTACATACATACATACCTACATACACATATAGATACATAGTGTTACATACATACATACATGCACGCACGCACATACATACACACCTACCTACTTACATACATACATACATACATACATACATACATACATACATACATACATACATACATACATACATACATACATACATACATACATACATACATACACACATACATACATACAGTTATCTCGAAGTTCGGAAAACTCGGTACTATTTCTTGGTGCCATGAATATCGAGACAACGGTGCGCGACTGTACATACAACACGCATTCCCGCGCTAATATGAGAATATTGCTTCAATTTTAGGAATGCGGATTGTGCTTGGAAGATCAGCACTGGTGTTGATGGACCTTCAATCGATGTTAAGGTGGTGAATTTCAACCTTCCATATGACACGTCGTGTTCCAGGGATTATGTAGTTCTCAAAGAGGGTAATGTTCCAACCGGCACAGGAAGCTCTTTTATCCACTCCGTTTTGAGTGACTGAGTTTAGTTTTACGCAACTTTTAACAATATTTCAGCAAATATCACTGTGGGAGACACTCTGTAATGATGCACCTCGAACTCACTCGCTAAAACAGATGTGTTTGGATGGCACAAGCCTAAAGGCATCCGTCTGAACCAAATTACGTAAATAAGGTCTTTGGGCTCCGTCGAAAGGTAAAGGTAGACACGATGAATGCGGTGTCAGACCGGTACGGTTATATTGCTGCAATTAAAACCTTTGGCACAATATTTTAAAACACGGAATTCACAGTGCAGATTTTGTTTACGTTTTTCACAAAAGCTGTACACCACAGTGGTGATTTCCGGCTTCCCTCTCACATTTAGCTCCAATGTTGTGATATAACTTATAATTTATATTCCACACTGGCACAGAACACAACTGGCACGTGTGTTCAATCATCCAGATTATGTTTTTTTCCGGCAATACTAATCACGGGTTCGTTCTGCCCCATAATCATTCTTTCCATGAGTCATTTTATTTCCGGGAATAGCGGGGTTCGGGTTATCGATGTTTCATGTTATCGATGTTTCATGTTATCATCGCTTGATGCACCAGGAGGTGAGGTGAGGTGAAAATGGGTTTTGCGTCGTGCTTGAGAATCTTTCGCTCATATGACGACGTGTATGCATGTGTATGTGCGGCTGCTTGTACTAGCCCAGACTTAAGCTGGTTTTAAAGTGATAGCCCACTGAGATATCATGCAACAGTGAAGCATGAATACCCCACTCAGACACATTAGACTGACTCCGAGCCGACCAGTCCTTGTTGTACCAATTAATGCCGAGCGCCAGGCAGGGACCAACAAGTACCATATTTTAACGTCTTTTTGGTATGACGCGACCTTCCGCTCTCCGGGCGGACGGTCTAACCACTACATCATGGAGGCGATCGCTACACCAGGAAATATATGTAAAGTTGTCTGTAGTAATAACTACAAAGTTTATTTCATATCCCTATAATATGTATGGCTTAAGGTAAACTGGTTTTATGTTCTTGTCCTATCAAACATTTCTTGACGTGAATCGTTCTACAAACTCGTCTCACAATATGGATGGTGAACTGTTTTATTAGTTGACGGAACACAAGAATACTGGCTCGGTCGATGGTGCGGATCAAATGGACCAGAAACAGAGACTGTATGGTCAACTTTGAAGATTCTATTCCACGCCGATGGTTCGAGGTCTTCGTCAGGATTTAAGTTGTCTGTCACTGCCGACCATCCAACATCTGAACGTAAGTGTTTGGTTTCAAATACCAAGAACAAAAAACAGATGGCCTGCTTGACAAAGCGATCGAATCAGGCCTCCAGGGTGCATTGGTTCGATTTCTAGATTCGCCAAACTAATGTTCCACGAAATAGAGTGCAATAATCATCAATCATTAACTGATAAATTGGAAAACATGTATCAAATAAGTTTTAAAAGCTTGGTTCACATATTATAACTCCACCGTAGACCCTTTCCCCACCCGAATAATGGCAGCAATCTCATGGCCTTGACTTTTTCTCGGAAGTCATTGTTTACCTTCACGTTGCATATTGGAAATTTGGAAAGATGCGACAGGAGAGCAGCTGCAGTTTGCGCAAGGTTAACATGATTATATGACTGAGATAGAGCCTTTGATATCTAATTATTGGTGCCTTGCACAATGTAAGAGTGGAGGCGCTTTTGCTGTGATGAGAAGTCCGTGTTGTACCGAATTTAGATACTGTTGAATTTTGCGCCCTCTCAACTTGACGATTTCACGCACCTCTACGTCTGCGTGCGACAGAAGAGTCGCTGTGGTGGCTCTTACATACTCATGTGTGTACTTTGTGCTCAAATTCGATTTTAAGGATATTATTTTCAACAATTTGGAAAGTGTGTTGTGACCTAGTGGGTTCAAAGTGTAATGGATTCAAATTGAATCGGATTCGCTGGCATGTTCGCGAGGCTGTTGACAAAAATTCCGAAAGTATGGAACAGGACATGAGGGTGTACCTCTGGCATAAACACGTTAAGGTAATTAATTATACTTTAATAGACTACTTAAACTACTGTTGGGCAAAACAGAACGGTTTTAAGCGAGTTTTGTAGATTCTGTAATTGTGTTTTACTACCGCTAAATTTGAAACCGTACATATTTCTCATAAATATATCATTTTGTTTGAATTGATAACCCAACCGCTACTATGTATTTATGTGGACGGTCATTACTTCATCAGACTGTGACCACGGTCAGGCCAACAACCACAGTTGGTTGCCCGTCAAAACTTAACAACCGGGGTATCCTCCTATACCCAGAGAAAATTTGAAGATGTCTAAATACAGTTACTCAAACATTTCAACCTACATAGTCTGGGTTTTCGTCTTTGTTACATTATTTTCATGGTTTTAGGTTACACCTCTTTTCAATAAACCAGTAATGATGAATCAGAGGGACAGGTTAACGTTCATAGCAACTACAGTATGGATCACGTGAGCGGCTTATCTATTGATGACGTCACGGGTTTAAAAACTCATCATTTTTAATATGTGACACCTGTCATACAAGAAAACACACACACACACACACACACACACACACGCACACGCACGCGCACACACACACACACACACACACACACACACACACACACACACACACACACACACACACACACACACACACACACACCATCCCCACCCACAACATTAGTGGAAAAACAACAGAGTAGTGTATTATGAAGTGTCATTGTCCCGAGGAAAGTAGTTCACGATTATACGTATCTCAAAATACTTGAAACCAGACGACACCTAAAACCATCCATCGCAGAAGCGTAGTGTGAAATGAACTTACGCTGCGTTTACACTAGGCCACGATTAGGCCACGGTTATGCAGACCCGACGCGAACCAAATATCGTAGTAGATCTTCAAGATCGTGGAACGTTTTGTTTATTGTTCGCTTTCTTGACGCTCTGTTACGGTTTCATACGCTCTGATTGGATCTTTTACGCATTCTTACGATTGAGTATCCGATCAATTACACTTCAATGAAGATCTGTTGCGAATATTTGACGACCTGTAGCGACTTTTTAGGATCATCTTGATTTGAGTTTACGATCTGTTGCGATTTCTTGCGTTTTGAGACGTTCATAACGATCTGTTACCTTTTGTAACCTTCTGTTTAGACAAAGAAGGGCGAATAAACACGATTGTGACACGATTCTCGGACATCATGAGTAACTTTAGAACCTTTTCCTTTTCCCTTGACCTTTTTCGATCCCATTCCCTATATTCTACAATACAAATGACGATAAAATAGTGTGATATGCCTTGCAGTTGGATCACAATAAATTTCGTTTGGCAGCGTGACACAATTTATAGGAAAGCACACCAAGCGCAGAAGAACGTGTCGCAGCACAAGGGAGCGTAATAAATCGTGACGGGTCGAGATAGACCGTGGAGGTTATTCATAGTATAGCGTGTTAATAAGTTCATAGAAATTCATTGAAATCGAGATAGATTGTGTACAACGTGGCACAGCACAGGAGATCTTAATACAATCGTAACAGGTTTTTGTAGAGTCGCTATGGATCGTGGCAGAATCGTGGGATAATGGGAACTAACATCTCATACTGTTATTACGATGTATTACGATCATCCCGACACGCTCCATTGCGCTTTTTCACGCTTTCTCACGCTCTTATACGATTTGTTATTAAACATGTTTAATATTTTGCCACGATTATCAAGATGTCTCACGATCATGGAGATATCTTGCGATCACCACGATTTGGATCTGCGATCTCTCACGCTTTACAAGATGAGTTACGATTTAAAACAAAAAATCTGAATCGTGGCCATCGTAACCAAGTGTAAACGCAGAATAAGCAAGTTACTCTTTCTTAAGTTAAACGCTGTTTTTGTATTTTTACAGCTGCTTATAAAAGGAACTTTGGGGCAATAATTGGAGGTGTATTCGCTGGCATCGTCGTTCTTGTGGTAGTTGTGTGCTGCTGTTGTGGAGTCTGCCCCTTGAAAAAATCAACAACCAACGACCAACAGCGGGACAGATCAGGGAACAACAGCGTCTATTCCATTCCCCTTTCCAATCGTCAAGGACCTGTGGGTGTGTTTACACCACCCCCTGCCTACAGTGAAGTCGTGAAGGATGACCCCCCTCCATACTGTCAGATAGCTCAGCTCTCAGACGTACAGCCAATAGTGGCCCCATCTCCAAGCGGTGCATCCGGGATAGACAACCCAGCATCAGTTGAATGACAGTTTCCTACCACTACAGGAAATACAAATTGATGAATTGTTGGACTCGTCTTTGCGCAAATCAGCGTCTCTTTCCATTTGAACACATGTCTCAGTGACAACCCTGCATAAGCAAGTGACATCAATGTAAAATTAGTTTCGACGCCAGCAATGAGTATTATTTTTATCAAAAGCCATCACAGTACAGTCTTGTTAACACATTATCTGCTGCCAGTAAGTATGTGGATCATGTATGATGATGATTGTACAAGTGTGCACACACCAGGGTCCGATGACACCACTCCTGTGTAAACGCAGCCCACAATTAATCGTAAATCAAAAAGTACTATCCTGAACATGAAAGTACGATAATATGTCCACAAAGGAGAAATTGAAATTACTCCTAGTTAGCTTAGCATATACATGTGACTGTTTTTGGTTTTATTGTGACAAACCCGTGAAGATCCGGGTTAGACTTGATCTTTAGTAACCCATGCTTATCGTAAGAGGAGACTAACGGGATCGGGTGGTCAGGCTCGCTGACATAGTTGACACATGTCTTCTAATCCCAATGGCGTAGATCGATGATCATGCTATTGACCACTGGATTGTCTGGTCCAGACTCGATTATTTACAAACCGCCGCCTTATAGCTGTAATATTGCTGAGTGCGGCGTAAAAGTAAACTCACTCATTCATACTGTGATAAATTTGTTTTGGATATAAAAACGATGCATTGTGTTGGGTTATATTTATGAGTGATATGTAAGCTGATTACAAATCACATACCTTTATATGTGCATGTATGTATGCGTCTGATGAACGGACTGGTTTGTGCTATGAGAGATGACACTCATAGAGCGTGATAATCACATTGTTACTCAGATTTCAGCACGGCTTAGAATTGGTCTTCAGTTTCTCGTAACTGGCGACTAAAGGGATCCTGTGTGTAGATGCAAGAACACAACTTCTAGATTCGCATCGACAGGGATTTATTAAGGTTACAGTTTGTCGTTAATCGTTGACATATCACTTGCATATTAACGTTGATCCATCAATGAGGTTTACGAAACTAAAAGAAACAAAATGATTCATTTAGATAATACATTGATTGCAGCATTTCAATATAACTTTTCTGAATTTTCAAATATAGGATTTCAAGAGTATCAAATAAAGCACTTCAAAATTATAAGATAAAACGTTTGAAGATTGTCAGATAATGCATTACAATAATGTGCTTCAAAAACAGCTTTCTATCAAAATTGCACAAAATGATGGTCAAAATATTCTAAATGATAATCCTACAACATATACTATCCAAATATCATTTAAAGCGCACAAGATATGATTAAAAGTATTCACATTTGTGTTGCTATACAGGTTTGCAGACAGCCAGGTGACCATGTGGATATCACAGTGAATCAGACTTTGCATGAAGATTTTGTGCAAGGGTTAGGTCATGTGATCATCAATTAGGAAAGTGAAGCCATATATTTACTGATTGAATTTGCAGAAGTTTTTATGATTGAGCTGGATTTGAACCCTAACACTTTGGATTTCAAGACTAGTGTGTTAACAAGTAGGCCACCGTTCAAAACACTCGTACATGCATGGTTTAACAATGGTGAACATTACTGAACATAACAAAACTTGTATTTAGCATTCACATTGTGGTCAGGCTTGCTGACGTGGGTGACATATGCCATCGTATCCCAATTCCGTATAATGATGCTCTTGAGGGTGATCACTGGATTGTCTGGTCCAGACTGGACTATTTACAGATCGCCGCCATACAGCTGGAATATTGGTGAGTGAGGCGTTAAACAACAAACCAACCAACTATACAAAGAGACTGGACCCCGAGGCTGTAGCTGCAATAGTGGCAGAGGCAATGCTGTGACGCAGAATATATTTACACAATTAAACGAGACTGACCTGTAAGGTGAAGTCTGATAGAGATTCCATGAACCATCTTTCTGACTTCGGGGTTACGTGAGAGAGACGCGCATGCGTACTAGTCATTCTTGAGCGGCAAAACTGTTTGTATCAATAACCCTGGTTTGGGTGGTGGCAATTCAGGAATTTGGTTTCATAACGGTAATGGCTGCCTTAATGGTATCATTTTGAACGTGATCTTCTCTATCTGTGCTCAGGTAAGCGGGTTCTAATATGACCCGGATACCGCTCTAGTTTTGTCCCTACAGATATGAACTGGTCATTGCAGGTCTCAATCGTTTCGATGATGCCCCATCTGAGGATGCTAATGGTTTTATTACTGATATCCATTTGTTCACTTTTGCTAAACGTCAGTCCTTTCGGTTGTCGGGATTGGCAAGGTTTGTGTTCAAATTCAAGACTGAAGTTTATAACCTTCACTGAGAGGGTCTAGTATATACCGGTCAGAAGTAATATTGCTTCCCACTGCGGCAAACAAAAGCTTATGCCACCAACCATACATTTATCAATAGTGTGAATAAAATTGAAATTGTGTCTTCTCAACTCTCCATCCTTGTCCCAAGACCAGTCTAAAACTTGCTTTGGTGCTGGTATCGTCTCTTTATCTTGAATGAAGTTGGCTGGCTTTGTAGTAAAAAACCTGATCAATTTCACTGTATCTCTGATGCCGCTGATCCCTGTCATAGTTTCGTTTCCCATCCCGCTGTGGTCTCCATGACGACGGATCCAATCCCCTGCCAGCGTTTTTGTGAATCCGAGGCTGTTTAGCCAAACAAGACATTGTTGGTCTTGTCGTTTGAAGCTGTCATCATTTCAGTTGTCAACTCTGACATCGGAAAATTGTCTTTGACAGGAGACCTTGAGGTATCTGTTGTTTGAAGTGTTAATGATTTGCATATTGGCGTATTTACTCTAGGCACCGTCAGACTATGGCAGTTTTCAGGTATTCGATACTTCTCCCCCGTGGCTACATGAGTATTAATTTGGAAGCGCTTCATTAATTGCAGTAGCCAGGACTCCATTCCTTTGGATCCCAACTTGTCATCGGATTTCAAAAGGATCTCAATCCACACAGTGAGTGAATTCAAATGTACAGTCACATCTGCAATATTTCAGTCATATTGTGACTAAAAGAAGTATTAATTAACCATAAAAACATGTAAATGATAAAGACCTGTCAACGAAACAGTAAAAACCACTAGAAAATAATAAAAATAAAAATGCAAATATTAAATGTAAATTCACATTAAAAAGATCCTTCAATGTTTTGACTTTGAATACTTATCCCTTGTGATGGCAATCCGCACAGTCATCTGCCTCGCTGGCTGATTTTACGGCTTTCCTCTCGACTACGCTACTTACCAGAATCTCTGGTACCGCTAGCTTTCCACTTGAGTGAGCTGTTCTCTTGTGGCTCACGACTGGATCACGCCTTCTGATCATGAAACATTACTTGAGGGTAGTAGACAATTCCGTCGAGAGGGACTTCTGCTAAAACAATGGCTATCCCGGTGGCAGAATCTCGAAAAGGATTGGTTAATCCCAACTTGGTATCTTGAACTAAAAGTCCTCTTACTCACTCGACCAAACACTTCCGAATGAAGAATCCAAAGGAAGTTAACAATCGCAAAACAAATGAAAACCTAACTGAGAACACATTCGGATGCGCGTCTCTCTCACGTGATCCCTAAATAAGGATGATGGAATGGAATTTCAGGCAACTCTTCAAAAAATTCCCATCTGCATGTTCGGAAATATTATTTGCGTTAAAAAAATCTCAACCCTTCCTGACAAAATATAAAATGACGATACAACTGCTTGTCGCATTTGTTGATACTGTGAACATGACAATACAAATGTGAAAGACTTATTAGGAGAAGTTACGTGGACAAATCACACGCGTTCTGACGATGGGGACTATGTTTCTATTTATTTGAACAGATTCAAACATTCAGATTTAGCTAAATCACTCTTTTTGTGATGTACAACAGGTATTTTTTACTACTAATTAGCATAAAAATGTTTCCTTCATCACATTAAAGAACTATCAAGATATCTGAAATATAAAATGATTTCCTTAACGTACTGGGGATAATCAAAATTGTCATATGCTTCTAATGTTACTTTCAAAGTATATTAAAATACTTTAAATTGTGCTTAATTGGCTGTAGACAACACTTTACTTCAGTGCTGAATAGGTTTGATATGCTTGACTTGGCCGCCATATTTCCATCTCCTGAAGATTGTGAGAATGAGAATGAGGAGGAACTCTCCGAGTTCTGTGAGAGTCAGGATACTGGCTCCCAGACAGATGCCCATCTGACCTCCCAGGTTACCTGACAACACAAAATATATATACCCGTTAGGAGATGTCCTTTGCAGTGTGACGTTTAATCGCTAAATTAATATGAAATCAGATTGTGATTACAAACGTTGCATCCAACGTGATAGGTGATGTTTAGACCTGTTCACGATGGTCGATAACTTTGAAAGGTTTTTTGAAAGCGATAAATATGAATCTGCCACTCACCTATCATGGTTTCAGTTGTATACTGTGGAGCTTGTGATGTCGACTGAACGATCAGGTTGTTATAGAACAACCTTATTTCGAGATAGTTTTCTCTGAAATTATGTAGCTTTTATTAGTACAAGTTGTTGTACAAGGACAGGGAAAATAACGTACAGTCACCATAGTGAAATCCTACTATTCATATCAGTTTTTAAGTGTAAGCATTTGACAACCGAAGAGCCATGGGTTCAATTGGAAAATGTCAGGTGTTTCTTTCAGGATCACGACATCATTAACTCGCTTGCGAAATATGACCGGTCCTCGTTACTTGTAGATATTCTGTGCATCTTACAACTTATTATCATATGATTCGCAGAGGTACCTAATAAATGCCTCATCTGGTGCAAATCCAAGCTTGAGAATGAGCGCCATTGACACATTGGATGGGTATCTCGATGTGGATACTTTGACATCGTATGTCTCGAATGAACATGGCACTTGACAGCCGCAGGATTTCTGAATCGTCGCATTTTGCATAAATTGTTCTGACAAAAAGAAGTATATAATTCACAGGGGAGTAATTAAAAGCTGAATTAAATATGGTAGCATTTAAATGGAAGACAGCTGAATATTAAAAAGGGCCATTGCTATTGTGTTTTTTGTACGTGTCTTATAAGACATATTAAGTTCAAGTGCGGGTTATGCTCCCTAGATTTCCAAACCCAAACACGTTCGTGTGCAGGATATACCAAGAATACATGTAAGACATCACAATGTAATTTCGATATGGCTGCAATACTGCCGCTGTGACTATAAACTTTGACTCACTCACTCACCATTTAATTCTGTAACCTTAAGTCTTGAAACTGACTTAGGATTTGACAAAATTCAAGTAGCTATTTTCATAGACTGTAATGATGAAACAATGTCATTTCTTTCGTTCGGAAATTCATGGGCGACAATATTTACGTTTGCTCAAAACTGGTTGTATATGAATGAAAGTAAATCCATATGGCTCAAACTTCAACTAACAGTTGGCCCATGGGCGAGAATATCTACGTTTGCTCATAATTCATGCTTAGGTGATTGTAAATGAATTTTCGAAAAACCGAAACACGCATTCATAAACTCTCATAGCAGCAGAATGAACTCACTATATGTTGGATCATAGCAGGTTGTGAAGATATAAATGGAACAAATTGGTCCAAAAATTGCTGGAAATAAAAGCATAATGGTTAGAAAAATGGCATTTTAAAACAAAATGAGAAACAAGCCTAGGTACTTCTATGCTCATAACAACATGTTCATTTAAAACCCATTATTACAACCTACATGCGGTTAAGGTGTCGTCAGTTAATTGTAGATATTTATTTACGTGTTTATTTAATAATTGTATGTATTGACCACTAACTTAGAGCTTGTTTTATATTTGTGAGAGGAGACGGGATTCTATAAACCACAGCTTAATAGTTAACCATTCTGTTCCAGTAATTGTCAGTCAATCTTACCGTTATCTGAGGCCCTTATGCAACCACACCGGTCGCGTGTTATCCTGGTAACGCATTCCTGAAGACAGTTTTCATATGTGTAGGTGTCGAAATATTGCAGCGTGTTGTTAAATGAGGGTGATAAAGTATCCAAGCATGTCCGGTTCTTGAAGGCCTGATAGGGTGGTGGCAGGTACTCGTACTGATACAAAAAACTTCATAAATAACATGCATCTTATTTTGTCTAAACAATAATTGCATTATTTGCACAAAAATGATGTTGGTAGTGTTTATAATTTGATCCTTGTGTGCTAAAAGTAGTTCGATGCAGTAATCTGTGCTTTCAGTGCTACCGCGTTTTGAAACTTGACACCAGTACTGATATCAACTGTCAGGACGTAAATAATATCTAATTCAAAGCGTTGGTCAGTGTGATTTGAATTCCTATTCCATTGCTCACTGGGGTTCAGTGACCGTCATTCATGACTATTTCTTAAAGTTTGAGATGTTGGACTCTTTGCGTTGAAATGAGCATCCGTATAAACAACCATATCCCGTCACTATTAATTCTAAAATAAATCAAACGAACGGAGCTGAAACTCATTACTGGTATGGAAAATACAAAAAAGCACCTGACACATGCATATTTACAAAAGTTGAAAGTTACAAGATGACAGCGTGCTTTAGCAGAGACTATGGAAGTGAACGTGTAAGTGAGTTACCGTTGATCTGAGAACAGACGCGTATGTTGATGTTCCTGGAGCTGCCAGGAAGGAAGATGTCGCTATATCTGGGTGTACACGAGGATCGTGTAAGATTACCTGCAGTGAGTGAAACAGCAATATATTTAGTGAGTGTCATATTTGTATGTCACTTCACCATCAAATCACTGAACATGATAAACGGTTTCACACAAAAACCATGATTGTTCTGGTAGATGCATAAAACATCATCTATACACTATATATATAGTTTGCCGTTAATACATTTATATGCTTACTGGAATAACCCCAGGAACGATTTACGTGGCAGTTACATCGAGTGTTGGTACACATGTACAACTAATAAAAGGAAAACGCAAAGGTAAGCATGTGATTCTCAGTTGTGCATTGTGTAAATCATCTTCCCATTTACTGTGCATTACTTTGTTTTGCATACCTTTATCCCAGCAGCAAGCTGTGACCCAGGAACATAGTTGGGCTGATCAATATTGGCATACATGATAAGATTGTTGTCCGATCCAGTAAGTCTAACTTTAGCAACATCAGAAGCATTCCAGTTAAAGGTGGCACAGCGACCCATGTTAGTGAAAACAGGTTTCATTGCAATGGTGCAGGGGCGATGTTCAACGCCATTCATCAAACACATATAAAACATTCGGCTTAGAGTCATGGACATATTTTCCCACCAGTCATGTTTATGACTCTTCCGAAATGTTGACCCGTAGCCAGGGTCACTCCAATTTATATTCCCCATCCGTCGTCCTAACATGCTGACTTTTGTGTAATACTCCTCCAGATAAGGATCAACTGCTCTAATCTTGGTCAGATTAACCGGAGTCAGATTACAGAAGGTGACGGCAGGAAAAGGCAACTCCTCGAGGACTTCCACCTTCGTGTTAGTTATCACTGGGTATCTGTAGTAATTCATCAGCTCCTTTGTTATGTTGTAGGTCATGTATGCTGTCATCGCCAAAACTGCGACAGTCCACGAAAAGCTAACAAAACAATCCTATAAGAATATACACACTTCTCCGAAGAGAGGTAATATTATGTGTTTTTCAGGTATGACAAATAAGCCGGCAATTTTATTAAACTTGCAAGGGATATGCTATTCACTCATAGGACGGAAATTACTCAGCTGAATAACTCCTTACATCTTGTCGTCGTTCAGCAGTACATATTTAAACATGAGTATTAATTAAGCACCACCTAAATATAATTCTTGTTTCTCTCTCTTTTTTTAAAAATGACATGTTGATCCAAACAGGCGATCATGCACGGGGAGTACTGGAATGCACATGACCATGCGCTTCACACAGAACCTCAAAATAAATGGTTGGCATGTTAACGTTTAGTAAAGGTGACAGACACATTTGGGTTATGAATTCTGTATTAACATAGAAAATAAACTGATATTCTCATAATAAGATTCATTCAAAAACTGGCGCGCTATTGCAATTCGTGACGTAGAGATATCCTGCCTCAACACCATCTTGAACTAGACGGTTATAAGTTGACCTTTGAAGAGGCACGTGGCCACAAGTAAAGCAAAAGCTCGTCCAAAGCCTTGAAGACATTGGAAGTCCGGGACGGGCAAGGACTATAACAACAGCGTACGGATGTCTAGGTTTATGCAGGTTCCTAATGCCGGACCTTGAGGACATGGAGTAGAGTCCATTGGTCTGATGAAAGTCTCGACCTTTTGCGTGTTACAGACATCGTAACGGGGCACCGGGGAGAGGATCCATGCAGTTGATGGCTCCGTGATGGTGTGGGGTAACGCTTGATTTGACTGCAAGTTGGATACTCAATGGTCAACGTGTTCAACAGTAAGCACTGGATCCCGCCGCCGAGGTACATTTTGAGGTATTAGACTGCCTTTGAATTTATGCTGCTATTCTATTTTGCACCGAGACTGTAATGCCCTTATAGAGATTTGAATTCGTTGGTAATATTAGTTGATTTTAGATTACAGTTGCTAATGCTATCACATTGGTTTGTGTTTTCTTGGTTTCACACCAAGTTCTTTTACCGACTGATTTCCCATTCACTTTTAAGTTTCATCTGTGGAATCTGTGTACGTAACACTATTTTAATTTTGTAGGCACTCCATGAGAAGTCATCATTTGAGAATTTGGTTTTTAATGCTTATACAAACAAGTAATGTTTCGGTGCATATACTATCCATCAAAAGTTTAGACTCACTGGTGTAAATGTAGCCACTTACTTCAGTCAACTTGTCTAAACTTTGAAAAATAAACTGTTTAAAGGTACTGTTTACACATGAACTGATGTATTGTTAAACAAATTTGTAATGTTGAAAATATTATTGTCAATAAATGATGAAACTCAGTTGAAATTGGCGAATTCTTAACAAAACTGGGGGTTGAGGGGTAGCCTAGTGGTTTAAAGAGTTCGCTTGTCACGCCGAAGACCCGGGTTCGATTCCCCACAAAGGTCAAATGTGTAAAATGTGTGTCCCCCCGCCGTGATATTGCTGGAATATTGCTAAAAGCGGTGTAAAACCATACTCACTCACTCACTTAACAAAACCGTATGCCAAAACGCAGCTGTTCACATGCACGATATTTGCACAGGCTTTTCAGCAGTTTAATGCATGATCCTCATGCAATTCATCAGCATAAGATTTGCAGTAACTGTTGGTTTCCCCGAAGATAGTGGAGAATTTTATCTTCGATGTAGCCATACATATATACATGACATATAGCGAGTGCTTTAATTGAGTCTAAACATTTGATTGGTAGTATATGATAAAAATTTGGTGGTGCTTGATTAATAGTCATATGTGTATAATGTTGGACTGCGTTAGATATAGCTTCATTTTCAGTAACCATGATTGCAACATTGCCATGCAGCAGGTCCACACCATCAGGCATACTATGAACAATATATTTAAGGTTGTTAATGATTGTTGCTATGTAGTTCCACATATATGTAAATATATGTAGATCAGGTGAAGAGAAATAATAACAACAATACACCAGCACCATCTGTGCATCTGTGCAGTCACAAGAGGCACTTGAGTAGAAATAGTACTGAAGGTAAAACCTCAGATTATATACGTAGCTGCTCTGTATTCATCCTCACAAACTACTTGATACATGATCTTTCAACACTGCATTTATATTTTGTGAACACGAAACAGATGCATACTAAGTTTGAGTAGTTTGAAGAACATAAATATCAATATAGGATTACAAAATAAATTTAACTGAGTTGAAAGCGTTACACTCACTTCGTAAATGATACCTTCAGACAATACTACACTGGTCACATTATCAGATAATGCTACTTTGTAAGAAACAACTCACCATCTAATCTTGTAGTGTCGTCCGGGGGTGAGTTTATTCACTCCATGGAATCCTGTGTTCTGGGTAAAATCAGTCCACAAACTACCTATTTTCTTCTCAGTACATGATGGTTTCTCTGTCCATGCAGCTTTTAATCCTGTTTTAGACTCCATTTTACAGCGACATATAGTCCCTAAGCCACCCTTTGTAGACTGATGAATCACACATTTGGCTTCAGCAAACTGCCCCGAAAATCGATCTCGTTCTGAGCAAATAATATCATTATTCACTCTATTTGTATCGATCTAAATGTGTGTAGGTTGATGCCTGTGTTACAATACTGGCACTGATGAATCGTTGGCTACTCCACATTGTCTTTATATTTGATAGAATCAATGTGTATCCTTCAAAATACTTTGCTATTACTGATCATCTGAATGCGGTCTCAATCACATGTTCCACCACTAATGGTTCATTGTTTATTAAATATTATGGGGTAATTCGGTAGGGATTGTTTTCAACTTCTTTCATCTTCTATCATGAATAATGTCGTGCAATATATATGACCCGAAAATACACGTTAATGTCTACTGGTCACAGGCACATATTATCCTTATAGAATAATGCAGTCATAGCATTAAGATGTGCACAATTCCACAATGTGACAGGGGCACTCAATTAGGTCTTTATAAGTTATGTGCAATGAAACAAACTGCCGCTATCACCTATTTCATATGTCAGTTCATATATGGAATGATAAGTTTGAGACGATTCCGTCTTGGTCACAACATATATGATAATCAAAAGGTTAATATCATGGGTTTTCTATCCCTCGTGATGAAATAATTACAGTCAAACGTCCACAGGCAGTACAGGGCCTTATTAGTAAAGATAATGCATGTTAAATATAAGTTTTAAAAAAGAAAGTACAAAATGATGTATTTTATAAACTGTTAGTGTATGTTAACGGAGATTGTTTGTGGTTGTCCCTTCGACGGGGTTTTAAGTACCGTAACATTACTGTCCGCTCCAGAGAGTATGCGGGACGGTATGTAAGGCCATGTAAGACGAGGTATCTACCATTGTTTGAACAGTAGAATGTATTTGTTAAATAACTGACGAAGTTTCTAATCAACCGCCAACACCTTAAAGGAAATATATTGATTAAAAACGTCAAATGGACAAACAAAGTAGGTATAGTCATGAGTACTTATTGGAAGTAGAACATTCTCACTTTTGCATTCCTTGTGATGAAAGAATCACGGTTCAGCATGTCCTGCGTGTTCATTTGTCAATCACAAGGGATAAATATTTCAATGTCAAAACATTGAAGGATCTTTTTTATAATGTTACTTATCATTTTATTATCGAATTTTAAAACAAATTGAAGTGATTGATATATTTTGAGACATATCTGTGGTAGATAGATGTATTTTATATAATTGGTCGTTTAAATCAGTCACTGAGATTGTTAGTGGTTGTATCCTCCAAGGGTGTAAAACTATTGCCCTCCTGAGAGGATACGTAAGTCCCAACATATTCAAAGGCAGTTTAATCTCTCCACTGTTTTCAGTCGTAGAATATGTGCCATTTTAATTGTATGGGTAGATGTGTCTAAATTGCTAACAGCTGAAGGGATGGTGTAAATCCAGTTAGGGATTACGATATGCATACGACCTGGTTGTGGAATTAGAGCAGTGAGTGAGTGAGTGAGTGAAGATTTACAGTCACATATTTCAGCGATATTGTGACTAAAACAAGTTATAAATTCACCACAAATGCATGTATATTATAAAAAGCCTGTCAACAAAGCACAGTAAAACAACTAAAATCTCAGATGTGAAAAAATAGTGTATGAATGTACATCTAAACTATTTTACCCACAGCAGACAGTACACTATAACAGTAGGCCATAGATTGCCCACAGCTGAAGGTAGTTCACCATATTAGGGACCTTTGGAACTTACAGTACATATGCCTCCTGTATGGACCCTAGCTGGGTTGACACCATCCCTTCAGCTGTTAGCAAGTTTATACAATCTAGCCATGAACTGAAATAACATAAATTCTACGATTAAAGGGGATGACATGTTTAAATCTTCCTTAAATGTTTTGGGATGTACGTACCCCCAGAGGAGGACAATAATTTTACAATGATTCAACCACATATGACAATACAGACACTAACAATCTCAGCTACTGAATTAAAAAACCAATTTTAAAATATTGATGTAATATATGTAACAAAAATGCAATGATTAAATGAAAATTATCGTTAAAAGGAATTCTCAATGTCTTGACATTGAAATAATTATCCCTTGTGATGGAAAAATCAATATAGTCAAGCAGGACATACTTGACCTTGATTCTTTCATCACAAGGGATACAAAACGGATGATCTTCACCTTTTAACAAATGTTCGTGGGTTTAACTTTATAGCATAATGACACCTTCAAATTTGGACTGACAACCAGGTTGGCGTAACCGATGGTTAAATGTCATGTAATTTATTCATACCTACTTGGGCGTCCCACTTCTTTTGCATCAGATGACGGATGGAAGATCTAATGACAGCGTTGTAATCAGCGTATTGAATTTTGGAGTGGTCTCACAGATTTGTTCAGTGCTGCCTTAGCAGCAAGATCGGCCATTGTGTTACCAGAAATGCCAACGTGGCAACGTAACCAACAGAGAACTATGTCGCATTGGCCAGTAGCAAGATGATTATTCTTCAATAATTTCCATTAAGTCTGGATGTTTACAAAAGAGATTTTAATAGCCCGGAGGCAAGAAAGAGAGTCTAAAATATTATGTATTGTTTATATTTACTGTCTTTATTAATATATGTAAGAGCTGGAATACGACGTTAGCCTGCTGTGAAATTAGAACTGTTATTTGGTAATTAAGAAGATATTTGTTCTGGATCCAATGACAGTAGCACAAGCAACTACGCCACCCTCCTTGGACCATTTGTAAAGAAGGATTTGCATGTATTTATTATATTTATTTCCTTATTGATTAAATTCGTGTTTATATTGTAATTCATTTAGATTCTGAATGTTTAAATGCTGTCAGTGTTAGGTCAACTTGTGGCCAAGGTGGAGAAGAGTGAAGGCGGGAAAGAGATATATTTTCTACCTCAACTCCAGCAGCAGAAATGAATGGTTTTACTCTTATTCCTGAAGGCGAGAAAAGAGAAGACCTTTTGCTGTACATATCCTCATTGAGGGGTTAAAGACACAGTTTTATTCTTAGTCATAGAGGCGGAATAAGAAAAGACTTTTTGTTGTGTAGAACATCACAAAGAGGATTGAAAACACAGTTAAACGCAGGGTTAGACCCATTTGAATATAGTTTTGTTATTTACTGTAAAGATAATTTTAGACGGCGTTGGTCAAGTGATTGCTCATTGGCCTCGAGGTAGAGACTGTCTATTTCTGAAAGATGGTGGACAGAATTTAATAGGTTTAGGTTGCTTTTGCTTTTGTGGAGCCATAATCAAGTTTCGATCGGACCAATGATCGATATAGGTGTAAGAGGGTTTTACCACGACAAGAAATATTTAAGTCATCGACAAGAAGTGATCCATCGACTGAATCATTTAAAATCTTACAAAGACTAAACTCGTACTATATGATCGATAGTACTACGAATTTTTCGGAAACCACATTGAAGATTAAAATTAGTAGAGGTTTCCAAATACAAATTCATCTATTGTTAACCATTCGTTCGATGGTTTTACAGACACACCTCGTTAAAGGAAGTGATCACTCCCACATATGTCACCATAGACAACACATTTAAATTCATTATATGAGGAGGGATCGGTGAGTGTAAGATCTATGGCAGAATATGTTTCAGTAGCTGGATGTAGATACATGTAGGTGCTTGTATCGTCGTTAACTATACAGAGATTATTTTCTGAAATAAATTTCTCGAGAAATTTACCTTTATTACTAGTATGGAGACTTACCCCAAAGCGTGTTGTGTCCGTTCAGGTCGCCTATGAAAACACATGGCTTTGGAAGCTGATCATAGAGATTTTGAAGATCCGAACGTTGAATATTAGACGAAGATGGAATATACAAGCTGCACAGAGTCAATGCAATGTGCAAAGTTAAACGAACACCATCAGTCTGAAGATTTGTATTAATAGGGACAAGGCTATGTAATACACACGGCCGCACCACAATGAAAGCACATCCTGTCGCTCTATATCCTGGAGGAGAGAAGGAATGGTTATCATTGTACTGTCGTAAATCAAAGTTATCTGAAATTGTTAGTTATGTCTCTTGGAGAAATAATTCTGACGGTTGAAAATATTGAATTAGTAACAGTATTTCGTTGAAGTTCTTTTAAGTCCCCTGCAGTTCCACTGAATTATATTGGCCAGTTGAGTCATGGTGGCTCAACTGGCGATCGTTCTCTTGAATGGGAGGAGGAAATATTCCTCCGCCTGTCCTCTGGGGACAGAGTAACCTCCATATCTAGAGGTCCAAATACATTTTAGAGAAGAACCTCTGAAGGTGAAGAGTCAGTAGATGGCAAGTTTCTATTTAATTTGGTTTCCTTTCTTCTGTTTGGACGCCTCGGTGGTTGGCTGTGAAATGGCTCGTTGTGAAGCAATCGATTATGATGTCTCAGACCCAGACGTCGACAGAGTGACTGGGGCAGTAGGCTTTTTGGATGGGGAAGTATATTTTTTGGATGAAAAGACATGTTTTTCTGACTTGATCCATTACATGTCAGTCTGGCATGCAGCTGAGGACATTGCTACAGAGCAGGTGACTGCAGCAGAATACGGGATGTTTGACGCGTTTGAAGATTGGTTTGTGTAAAGGTTTTTTCCAGATAGGACATTTGTTTTGTAACATTTTATGTTGATTATGTTTGATTCCCTTTGGTATTCAGGGCATGACCTAAACAAAGCAGGATGCGCCCCGTTACAGTTTACACATTTGAGATCATTCTGATAGTCTGTGTCGTCATGGTGATCTCCACAGCAATGACACACTGCATAATTACGGCATGAGTTGGAACCATGAGTGGATTGGGGACATACACATCCACTCCGATGTTAACATGTTGAAAAGTTACTGTAGAACAGATGATCTGGCAAATGTTA